TATATAAAGAGAAAATACACTTCGAATATGGTATTCTCTGCCATCGGGTTTGCCCAATATTGATAACGAACGAATCAAGAGATATACATCTTTACAACAACGTAAACGAGTGGGAAAAGTGTCAGCTTTTGCCATCTATTGTATTTTATTCAAGAAAACCTCTCTCAGAAAGAGAATATCTGCTAAAGGTAAGAATAGAGTTGTGTGAATTATGTCACTAAAGTGTATCTTAGGTGCGCGCATCTGGCATGAGACATTAAATATTGATTCACTGGCAGATAAATCGCTATTTGAATTTTACGAAGCACTTGCTCATGTCACATCAAAATTTGTCGATAAAGCTGAACGTTATGATTCGAAAATCGTTTACGATGAACTTTTCAAAGCGAGTCGTTTAGTTTGGTGGATGGCTGCCTTTCAACTGCAACTAAGCCTGCCATTGGATTTTACTGACTCAATGTTCGGTTACAACATGCTCTATCCTTATACGGATGACTTGGTCGATTCGAATGATATACCACGAGAAGCAAAAAAAGATTTTGCTCATGCATTTCATCAACGATTACTTTTTGGCGAATCGAACTATGATCCAAAGTCACATTTCAATGGTCAACAATCGAACGCTGACGAATTAGATTTACCACCATCGTTGAAACCCTATGCTGATCGTATTGTAAAGATATTCGACATGGTGAAATTTATTGAAAATGATTGGACGCGTGACGAGGAACACAGTGGAGTCTATATGAGCTTAGCGACTATTCACGATTGTCAAATGAAATCAACGTTGCAACATGCTCGACCCAAAGATGGTTATGCACCAAAAATGGCACTTATTGAAGAGATTAGTGCGCAAAAGGGTGGCGCATCGATAATTGCTGCCGGGTTTCTCATCGAAGGAAAATTGACACGAGCACAAATGGCATATTTAGAATATATCGGTTTTGGTCTTCAACTACTCGATGATTTGCAGGTATATTCAATTATTTCTGAGGTAAATTTATTTTCTGTTTTTCATTCACAGGACGTCGAAGAAGATATGAAGAATAATCATCGAACGATATTTACCCAATCGATTGCTGACGGGCAAACATTGGATGCTCCTACAGCTCGTCTAATACAATTTTTATACAGCAAAGAAGCCAATACCAAATTTGTGGATAGTTATCATCCGATATCAGATAAAAAAAATGAACTGGAAATCTTTCGTTATATTCATGATTCCATGACTGTGTTTGGTATAATTCTCATCTTAGAAGCTGCTGGTCGTCTAAAACGATATTATTCGAAAGAATTCTATCGTGACTTGTCTAAGCGTGCACCAGTAACATTTCGAAGTCTCAAAAAAGCACACATTGAAAAGCATATGTGGTCGGTATTCCGACGAAATTGGTTTTAGAAAAACAGCTAATCTTTAATCATTTGTCGATACATATCACACGGTTTTCTTTTTTACTTTTCGCCCTTAAAATATACAGAGAACGATGATGATATAGTTTTATTTATTCTGTGAACTCTGTGTCATCGCATTAACAGCTATACACAAGAGAAAGTAGAAGTACGTCTATTAATACAGAAATGCGCTTATGTGACATTTACTTCAATATGAAAAAGTTAATCTTTGATAACATAAGATTGAAAACAAGCTTAACATTTAAAGCATAATTGAAATTTGTTGTATAGAAATTTTCTCAGTTCATGATTGTATACGTATAGGTCTATTATAATACCAATTGCACATAGTTCGCCGAGCAACATGGAAATGAACACAAGAATGGCACTAATGGATTTCACTTGAATGATAATATTAACGATCAGAACAGCAGACCAACCTGTAACAAACATGATAAACATGAAAACCATTTGCCGTAATAATGCAATCTCTCGACGACTAATTTTTGGTAGTTGCTGCTGTTCACGATTGAATCCACTCGTCCATGCTGTGGCGATGTTCGGCTGTACGCGACGAACGGATGATCGTACATGAACAAAAATCAAACTATTAAGTATGATATTAATCAATGAAGGTAATACCACAGCCACAATAAATGTATAGATGCTCAGCCACAGTTCATTCATGCATTGCTACAATGAGAGCAAATCATTAGTATTTAACTAGCTATCGTGTAGTGTTTTATCTTAAGAATATTTACTCGTTTGCTTCGAAAGATGAATGGTAATGACAGTATAAATTGTATAATCCATTGAAGTGTGATGCATATAGTAATCCATTGTTTGGTTTTAAAGAAAACTTTTGTGTGATACAATAAAGAGCAGCAACGATGAGTTGTAAATGCTATGAAAGCAAATGGAATGTCCATACAGACAATATTAAAAGCATAGTAGAAGAAAATACATAATTCTGTTTTTGTGTTATCGAAAAAATTGAGAAAGAAAATAGAAGAGAAAACGCAAGTGAGAACGGTAGATATACAGATATTAACGATAAAGGCGTTGTTTTGATGACGAAAACGTCGAATGAATAGTATACAACATGTGTATAGTATGCAAAGAAACAAAATAATAATGATCAATATTTGCATGGAGAGAGTAAGCGCAGTATAGAGCAGTGCCATAATGCTCAGACATAAATGATAGGAAAAGAATGAAGGAGAGTGTATGTGAACCGTTAAAAGTTCATCAAAATGAGTGTACTTAGTTCTTATTTTCTGAAGATTAGAAAACTTATTTTCTTACTACAGAAACGTTTTACTCTCTGGATTGAAATTTTTTAATTAGGTTTTGTTCGAATGGTGCATCCTTTCCACTGAAAGTCATGTCAAATGCTTTCTTATTTTCAGGTACGGGCGAGTATGGGAAGACCGGTTTCTGTACAGCTCTATACGGATAGATTGTTGATCAGCTCCTCCAATATGATATTCGCTTGGAATCAGAAACAGATGGAAATTTTTATTATCAGAGGAATCTTGCAGTCAAAAGAATATGATACAAAAATGTTTATTAAAGTTTGTTGTAAAATAATCTGAACTCTAAAAGGATAGCGACTCGTAATCGTACGTTTAGACAAGCTATAGGCATCAGACATTAGTATATCATAATAACTGCCTTCATGTGAAAAAGAGCGTCTATATAGTAATTAGCTGCTGTATCCCATGAAAGGAAAGTGAATAGGTTTTATCTTTCATGCGGAGGCTTATACTGAATCAACGACTGAATTATGTAACGTCGTTGCATTGCTCATGACAGCTCAGTGATCGACAAGTGTTTTTGCGGTCATATAGATAAAGTCTGTTGATATGAATCAAGAAGATCTACAGTTAGTTTGTTTTTCCAACGTATACATTATCTAATGGACTATCAAAATGATAACGAACAATATTTGTATCACGAGAAATTTGAATGAGTTCAATTATGAATAGTTACAGGTTTATCCAAAAGGATACAAACTTTTGTTTTAATATTGAAAAACAAAACAGAATCAATACACACATATTAGGCGCACGTTGGACAGATTTTCAGATTGCCTGTCTTCGTGGAATCAACAGACTTCTAAAATTTCCATCCAACGTTACATACGAAAGGAAGCCATCACAGGATAATGATCAGAAAGAAATTCAGTTTGTTCATTCTTTAATACGTTTGCTTCTGTCAATTTGTCCGTTAAGCTCTTCGTTGCTAATATATAATCCAATCTCATTGATAGAGCGTGCATTGGATCTATATCTAGTTTTGTCGGAACACTTGACTGGAATGTACTTGATTTTTGAAGAGTATCTATGTACCCTTGCTGAATGAAGTGCTGAATCGTTGTGTAATCTATTGAGTTACCATCAGAAGTTAAAAACTTCGCTTTTAACTTGTCAGTAGCCGTAAACTTTTGTATTTGTTGATAATACACCGAGTCGAATTCTGATAATGAATTAAGATCGCCACCGATGATCCAATCTTTTAAATCTTGTTTTTCAAGTTGATCAGCAATCAGTTTTGCTTCCATCGTTCGTGCATTTGCTGAGTGTGGATTCAAATGTGTGCCTACCAGACCAATTTTTGTTTGATTGTCTAGATTTACATGAACTAGCAGAGCACCATGATGCATCTCATGTTTGATTTGAGTAAGCTCAATCAATGGAAATGATGACGAAATACCCAGATGAAAACCGGTCGATGCTTTGAGAAAGACACTGTAGGAATGGCTCCATTGTTTGGCAAAATTTGAAAACTGTAAACTATCAAAATGATTTAATTCAGTAAGAATAACTACGGTTGAATTTTGACTTTTCAGATAAGCAGCAATCGCATTGAGTCGATTAGAACCACATCTGTCAATCCCTCCTTCAAAAATATTGTAGGCAACAACCTTGAAATCACTCATAAGAAATGATAGAATGAAATTTGATAAAGAAGACTACCAATCCAGTTTGAAAGCATCTTCGATAGAGGTCACCCAGTATCAGTATGACGAAATTTCGTGATTATTCATTCTCGATGTGACTCATTTAACCCATATATATGTAGAGCAACATGGAAAACGTGTAAATGACAAAAATATGAACGATAATTCAACGGCTGCTGTTAAAATCTCTTCGAACCAAACGACACACAATTCCGGTGAGTCGTATGATGAGCAACTATTGAAACGGAGCAAGAATGTGAATTTCGATGTGGAAGCTTGGTACAAAATCATTAAAAGCGAAACATTTCATACGAAACTTCTTCCAGTATCTCCATCATTAGCTCAAGCTTTCGTTAACTTCTATCAAACACGTTTCATGTTGAAAACTTCCTTAACTCTGCACGATGTTGAACTTATCCAGTCAATGCGACATCAATTGAAAGAACAGATTTTCAATTCGAATCATACTTCTTTCATTCGTCTAAGCGCTCGAAGTCCGAAAGATGGGAAACCTCTCGACTCTGGAAAGATCGGTGAATTTTATCAGGAAAAATTAAGTGAATTACAAGCGAAATATCCGAATGAATATCAAACAACCAAAGGCAAAGCAAATATCCAAACTATTGCACTTTACTATGCGCAGTTTCATTCGTTGAAAGTAACTAATGAAGACCAAGCATTGAATTTGATTTTTACCAGCGAACGCATTTACCACGATCTGATCGAAATACTCGATTGTCACGAAGTGAAGGAAAACCAGGTCGAAAATGTGAACCATACGAAAGTATTCGATTGGGATAATCATCTGATTATCCGACAGTGGAACGATGATTTAGATCCTTCCATGGAATTTCGCTGCTTTGTTCATCAATCAAATCTGACGGCAATTTCGCAATATAATTATCTTTGTAAACAGTATCATTTACAAGATGAGAACACTGTCAAATGTATAAAAGCGACAATTGAAAATTATTGGAGAACTAGAATTCAGCCACTTTTTGATCCATATTCTGATCAGTATTCGAACTATGTCATCGATATTGGACTGATTGAGAATAAAACAACCAAGCAGTACGATTGTATTGTGATTGAATTGAATCCATTTGAAAGAACCACGCATCCAAGTTTATTCGATTGGATCAAAGATGCTGATCAATTGAGAGGAGAAACAAATCAGCTGGAAATGCGTGTACAAACAGATTATTATCCGTATATTGAGGATTATATTGAATTTCTACTTGAAGTAAATTATTGTAATGAACTTAATGAAGCATCATCTGATCGCCCCGGTATGGAACCGTATTTTATGTTTTTGGATCAAATCAAAACACAACTTTCTTCATAACAAGCGAGGAGAGATTTCGGAAAGGAATATACTAAAGAATTGGTAATCATTGATTTTCTTAATTCCGGCATATTTTTGAAAATAAAGAGCCTTGATGATACAGATTGAGAAAAGATCAATATGAGCTATCAAATTCCTGTCAGTACAATTCGAACGGTAATATCATTTCTGATATCAGCATATCGGAGCAATTTTTACCATCGTGAACGAAGGATAGTGGTTTGTCTCAAGTAAAAGTAAGACATTGATGCTGGTCTTTTCTTTGTAGTTGTCTAAGATTATGTTGTCAATCTGAATTCGTGGAGTAGTGATATAGTATTAATCAATTATGGTAGAAGAAGGCACTATGCTATAAAAAAAATCTTGTAACTGTTATAGATGCGTCAATCTTTACCCTTATATTTGCTTCTCTTTTCAAATGGCAGCTACAACATTTTAGCAAGAACACAAACGATTCGTTACTATGATTCATTGGATATCCATCGCACAGAAAAGAAATTGTACTCGTACATGTACTTGCAATTGAACCAGTGTCTCGTAGAATGATTAGTTAGTGGAAACGCGAAAGCTAAGAGAGATAGATCGAGTAAGGAATTCAACGACACATAATAAAGACAGTTTTGTCAACATATTCTATTCATTCTATCACTCATCTTTAGAACGAGATCAGAACAGAATTGATATTTGAAAATCAGTTATTAGTATATTGACGAAATAGCGCACAGATAAGCCAAGTATATTCGTCTTGGAATCTAGCGGACTATAAGAATGAGAATCCTAGAAAAATTGTTCAGCTGAAGTAAAGTCATGAAACACTTTGATTCTAATCATGATAGCGTTTGAAATATAGCACTCATCTGTACTATATTGTGTAATCACTGCGAACATAATTGAACATGTTTTAATTCGTAAAGACGTCGGATCAAATCACTTTTAAAAAATCAACCAACCGCACTTCACTCATGACATTCTTTTACTTCTTCTAATGGCATTAATTCATCCAGAAAAAAAAGAATGCGCTTTTACAGTCTTTTTACAACATCAATGGAGTATCGAGATATTCAGAATAACTTCTGTTCTCAAACTTTTCGAGTGTTTACGCTCAGCTTCACTTCGTTTAGTGGCAGTACTGTATTGTGGCGACTGTTGTTACCAAGAAATTTTCTAAATTTCTTGCTCAGCTCAGATGTTGCCAGACAGCAGATGAACGGAAAGAAAAAGATCAGTTGAATGGCAAAATAAATGAAATGACTGTTTAACTTGATGAAGATATATCCTGACACACCGCTTAATACCATTGCTCGAACGATCGATCGAGGAAGATTGAAAACGAAATAGAGAAGTGAGATGGACAATAGTTGGATTGTCATTTTACGCTGCTGACCCCAATGAATCGATCGATTCAATCGACTCTTTTGCCACAAAACTCGAATGAGAAGAGCAACACTGGCAAGGATTATAGTGAACGTTGGCAGAAGCTGATTAAAGATGGAGTCATATGTTCCCCAAAACTTCAGAGTTAAAGTGCAAGTGCCTGGAACACCGTTCATAGGAGACAATATGAATAAACTTACACACGGTGCGAAAAAGACAATGAAAAACCAATAGGTGTAGCAGTAGGTCAACACCAGCATGAAAGGAAGATAATGAACAAAGAAACGCTGTCTTTTGGTTGTCATCCAGCTGTGATGAAAGATGAGTATGTGTCGTTCGATGGTGGCCCAAGCAAAACCTATTAGTACCGATGTAAACGACGAGTTGTCGATAAATGTCCAAAAGTTGGCAAAAGCTGGTGTGATTTTCCAAGAATATCCAACCCGATAGAAATGAAGCATGAATGGAACAGTTGTCGACTGGTAAATAAGTCCAACACAGAGCAAGACAATGATGAAATGATTGCGTGGAGCTTGACGGAGTGTTCGATCAGAGAGAAGATGGTAGAGTATGACGAGAGCACATGTTATTGAAAGAACATCCAATATGAGATAATTCCAAAATCGAACGGAAACAGGAATATCTATATCGTATATGGCGAGCAATGCAGCCAATTGCTGTGCAGTCAAGTTGAGATAGCTTGTCATTGCGATATGTGTATTGTTAGTGGTTATTATTTCAGAAATGATCTGTGAGAAATACGAATACGACTCACTTCGCCGTAAAGCAAATAGCAAATATATGAGAGGAACATTGGAGAGAAAAAAAAAAGTAGAGTACAGAAGAGATTAAGCATGATATAAAGAGTGCTTCTTTAAATAGAATAGTTTGAAATATTTACATGGTTCACAGCCTTTTTTTATACAAGTAATGCATTCCGATAATTGCTAGGAAAGAGGAGATGGATCCATATAGGAGAGCTAATTTTGTTGTCTCTATCGTTATGTACTTCTAACTGTGCTCCTCTTTAACAGAGAGGAGAGCACTAAAAAAAGCATTCGTTTTTGTATGAAATAATGAATGTGACTGAAAATGGAACAACTTAGTGCCAACGTAAAAAGTTTTTTCTTATGTAAATGCGACAAAAAACGGAATATTTCATGCATTTAGACACAGTTAGAGACCGTTTTTCCTGTATAGAATGCGTTGAGAAGCATTGGAATAGCGCTTGGCAAAGCATTCCCACGCGATTGTTATCATGATGAAACATTATAGATGACAGGAACGCGTTTTTTCAGTGTTTGACAGTTACATGGGTGTTCATTGGAAACGACATGAATCTATTCTGACAAGGTGGGATACGGACGATGAAAAATCAATAGATGTAGCAGTAGGTCAACACTAGCACGAAAGGAGGATAATGAACAAAAAAACGCTGTCTTTTGGTCGCCGTCCAGCTGTGATGAAAGATGAGAATGTGTCGTTCAATGGTGGCCCAAGCATAACCTATTAGCACCGATAGAAACGGCGAGTTATCAATGAATGTTCAAAAGTTGGCAAAAGCTGGTGTGATTTTCCAAGAATATCCAACCCGATAGAAATGAAGCATGAATGGAACAGTTGTCAGATCATAAAACAATTCGACACAGAATAGAATAACAATGAAGTGACTGTGTGGAGCTTGACGGAGTGTTCGATCAGAGAGAAGGTGGTAGAGTACGACGAGAGCACATATTATTGAAAGATTATTCGGAATAAAACAATTCCAAAATCGGACGGCGGCAGAAATAACTATGTCATATAATGCTGCGTATGTAGCGGACTGTTCTATGGTCGAAGTGAGAGATGTAGTCATTGTGAGAAAGTCCATTCGCAGTGGTTGATGTATGACTGCGATTTGGCTTACCCTACAGACTATAATGAGAATAGTTCAGATTTATGAGAACGGAATTTTAACGGCTGATGTTCCTTTTTTTTAATATAAGTGCCGCGTCGACGTGACTTCGAGAGAAAAAAAGGCAATGTGGACTGCAAAGCGCGTGTCTTCGAAAGGAGAATAATGCCGTTTTCTCTACCATTACGACACGTATGTATACTTCGCTCCGAAATAATCCAAGCCCAGATGTCAAGTTTGCTTCTGGAGATTTATTTTAAACAATGAAATAACGCAGTCGTTGATTTGCCACTTCTACACAGTTAAGAGCAAAGCAGAAAGATAAAAATATTAATATGAATTCTAAAGTGTTCGGTACATTCACAACAGCAAAAATTAAAAGTTCTTCAAAAGCGCTGGTTGTCGAAACGGAATTCTATGACAATTTCATCGCATATTGTCGTTTTTTTACTCACTTTCAAAGCTGGTGAGTCTATTTCACATAGCCGAAGTTAGAAGTTGAGAAAACTGGTAAAAACTTGAAATGGTAATAACGCTGAACCAACACTAGGAGAGAAAACGTGAATCCTGGGTGTTCGGAGTCTGTTGATTCACTGGATACCTTTAGATTCTATGCAATCTATTGTTCTAGGTATCTAACATTCAATAGAATTCGCTTCCGTTATGTTGACTAACGCTGAAGTGGCACAAACTATATTTCAAAACGTTTCTTCAGAATCTTTACTCACGGTGAACAGAAAGATGTAGATATTCTCATCTACAGAATCGAAAAAATAGGCGATGACAACTGTGGACAAGGATTAATTATAACTACGATTAAACGTTATAACTAAAATAAATTTCGGGCCAGAAATTTGATCGATCATAATTCAAAAGTTATAACCTCACCAGTTTTAATTCGCACCATGCTGTTTCATGACTACTGAGTATAATATTACACCTGTACGCGCCTCAAAATAAAACGGAAGGATCACAATCATTCGTCTCGTACGTCATCTATTATTCGTATTCTCTCGCCACTCGAAATTGGTTCTGTAGTACACCAATGAATTTCGTTTCTGTTCTCCCTCATGTATCTAACGGTATAGTCAATGTGAAGGTATGAGTAATTCATAAGCATGATTAAAAACGGCAATGATGAGATAATTTGAAAAAATCACGCTGCGCGTCGCTAAATACTTCTATGGCAAATGGACGACAAAATTCAAAATTACCGCTATCTACACAAAGTATTTCCTCTTCGACTAGATCATGCATAGTTATCGTTACTTTTCTCAATCGTTTTTCTGGTATTGACGTTCTGAAAGAGTACTATTCGAAATTTAGTCAAATAATGAACATTGAACGGTACGATTCGAATACTTTCATGATCGAATTTAGAATGAAGGAATGTCAGACAACAACAACATACGAAGATACTTCAAAAATCATCATTATCAACAGAATTAAAAACTATCTTGCCATAATACCTACAAAATTATTGCGAAGATCTTCTAAAGGCAACAATCGTTCTGTGTATGACGAAAACACTACCAAGGATATATTTTTCTGCGAACGATTCGTCAGCGAGGCGCGACAACAATTGTACAGCAGTAAAACACCTTCCACTAAATTGGTAGACGTTGTCTTAGAGATTACGAGTGATGATCATTCAGCTGTGAATCAAACGTTTGCGGCAATAAAACAGATTAGAAAAGATTTTCTCTCGACTCGAAGCGAACAATTTTTATTAGCTCGCGTTGAAATAATATCTCAAATTAGTCATCTACTTGAATCACAAGCACACTTTGATATGCTATTGGTCAAACCGAATGAAATGACATCAAACCACATATCGTTAGAATTGGACACAAAGAGTTGTACGAAAAATACATACGTCGTCAAAGTATTAGCTATGGACGACTCGAAGCAATCGACTCAGCGCTCAGAAGCAGATGTTGAAAGAACTCCTAATGGATCATATCAATTAGAAATGTTGAATGTAGTCGATGAATTTATGATCAAATTCGAATCGTTCATGACGACGTTGAAGGAAGTCCAGAAAGGGCTTATTCAATCGTCGAGAAGTCAGTATACACAAGGCAATGTGTCAAGTTGTGTGATTTATGCTGCAGAAGCTTGTTTACGATTGCTCAAAGGGGAAATACCGACCGTCGCGCTACTCGACGAAGTTATCAGTTCGTTTGGAAGCGACCCAGACATGGAACATTTAGCCATTACAGATGTATTAAGCAATATCGATCGATTTTCCATAGGTCTACAACAACGAGAAGTATGTCTGATTATCCTTGACGATTTAGAAACAGATCTTAGAAGATTAATCAATAATCATATGAACTATGGTCCCTTTGGATTGTTAATCGTCAAACCGCCTGAAGCAATTTCGCTCATTGTTTTATCAGTACAGATATTCATCATATTCGACTCTCACAAAAGAAATAATACAACTGGCGCTTACTTTGACGTTGAAAATGATGCACGACAAATAGTGAACAAAATCACAAGACTTTGGCCTGTAACACAGATACCTTTTGATGAATACGCTGATGATCACGAACGGTATCAAATGAGTCTTCTCAACATGTGTGAAGTATACGTCGTAGTTGCATCTGAAGCAACTGCACTACCTCCGTTAGATATTTCTCAACTGGAGAGGAAACGATTGGCGAAAGAGATGAAAGAACAGAAAAAGGAAATCGAAATTCTACGGCGACAAGTTCAAGACTTAAAAGCAATCATTAATATCACTTCTAATGGAAAATAATCACATGGTATTAATTAATATGGGTGAAGATACTTGACAAGAAGCTATTTACCATCTCGACTTGTGAACAAAATCAAGTTCTTCATACAAATTCAAGTTTTTTTTTGTTAAAACATTGATAATAAATGACAAAGAACAGGATAGCACATTCAAAAGACAGTCGATTGATCTACAGGAGCGTAAAATCAGAAACTTTGATCAGTATATGTATCTGCAAGGATTTGCTTATTTGCACAATGGTGTAATCACCAGAAAAACACAAATCATGCTGAAGGAGCGACTAAGTTATCATGATTTTTTATACGAGGAAAAAGATTAGTTGAACAGAAAAATAAATGAAGGGAAAAACACATCCGTTTTCGTGCCGCCATTTATCGCAAATGCTTGAACGATCGATCTATGCAAACGATATTTGTTGCCATAAGATCCGAATGAAATGAGCACGGCTGGAAACGCCAACAACAACTATCGGTAAAAATTCATCACAAATGAGTCATATGTCGTGTACATAGTGATACAGTGGCCAAACAAGGAGTAGGAACAATATTCAGTGAAAACTGAAACAGCGAGGTTTTGACAGAGTGGAAAGAACACGCTGAAAACCAAAATGTATAGATAGCTATAAATCAAAATTAATATCATCGATAGGTGATGAATGAAGAAACATTGTTTTCTTGTTGCCATGTGATCACGATGAAAGTTGAGAATATGTCGTGCGATACAACAATCCAACACAGAGCAAAACAATGATCATGAAGAATTTGACGAAGTGTTCGATCAGAGATCATATATTATCGAAAGAGCATCCGAGATAAAGTAATTTCAAATTCAGATAGAAACAGGAATAGATATATCAACTGGCGCGAGTATAATACAGCCATATTTTGCATATTTGAACTATCGCTGTTAGCAATTGTGATAAAGAATATTCTTCTCTATATGAATAGAATAAAAGGTAATGTTGAGGAATGTCTAGTAGAATACTTTTAGAGTGTTGAACAACTAAGTTTTGTGGCTGTTTTTTATGAATATTGTTGCTATATGAATCGTTTCCAGAGAAACGAAAGAGAAGTAGTGAGAACTAAATCCTTCTTGTTAAATAGCATAGTTCACATGCTACAGATATTTGAGTTTAACACTAGACGTGTTTCACAATATGCACCCTCAAGTTTTCTTGTCTGGAGATCACATATAGCTATCTAAACATACAATATAACTGAGTATTCATTTGCAACATGATTTGAATCGGCTATATAAAAATACCGCTGATAAATATCGACGAACTTATTGTTCTATTTCCAGATACAGTGACTACACTTGGTTTTTCTATAGGATAAGAGTCTATACGTTCAGTTTGGCTAGGGAGATATTTTCGGCATCTTCATTTGATTTTATTAACACTACTCACATCTTGAAAGACAAAGATATGGATCTTTTGTTCAATTTGTGATAGCTTCATAATTCCAGTACGGTAGTAGTTATAATCTTCTTGAAGAGTACACATGAAATGATATTTATTACTTTTTCCCGTGATAAAGACTTGACATAAACATTTAATTGATGTTGTCTTTCGCATATTCAACGCGTGTTTTTCTCGGCCTGTTTTATTCGAAACGATGGAAAATTTGTGCTAATGCAGCATCGGAACTTTCTTTCAGTAGTTTTCACATACGTTTGATTATGTATCATTTGTTGATATACAAAAAGAATCGATAACTTCGTCTTTGAACAGATTACGGATCGAAGTTCGCACTAGACGTACCATATACCGAAGAGCAGATTTACTTAGTCGTGGCATAAAACAGTATTCGAGTCATCATCTCGTTTTGCTACCTACTAGAATATGAATAATCCTGACGTACTGTGATTGAAAACATCGACAATACTAGGCTTTAGCAATATTTATGTGTCATAGAAACATTCTTTAAATATTTCATTTTCGTCATTCCCTTCGCTTGTTCAAAATAGTTGTGCTCATATCCAGTGTTTCTCAAAAGTACTCCAATCCAAAAATCACGACTTTATATTGATTCTAAGTTTGTTGTGAATACTGAAGAAACACAAAATACGTCATTGAAGTCAGTCGTGACTTAAGAGAGTGTTTATTCGCATCAATCATTCTTAATTCATTAGAAGAAAGAGAGATAAATATTATGCAAAAGCAATAAATGAACTCAGTTTTCGTTTGTCGTATCAGTGAGTATGTTGATAAATAATAACTTGAACATATTTATTGTTTTTCTACTGTTTCTCGTCGATGGAACATCAGGTAATTATTTCTTTCCGAAACAATTCATTATACGAATGAAGACTGACAAATTTTCAAAATATCCTGAAAATTTGAATATGTGCTTGATGTAGAAAAATCTCTTGTTTTGCAGTGTAATTCTTTCATTGAATCCGTTGAAATGATGTCCCCAGTTACATTTGAAGGACGGTATTAAATAATCATGGAAGAAAATATATTTTTGTTTATCTTCCATGTATATCCTACGATAGATTTTCATTATTGTTGATATTGATACTATCTAATAATTCTTTTCCTTGAGTTAGTTGATGTCTCATCAACGATTGAAGCGACGTATTCATCGGTCTTAACAGAAAACCACACCATTTACTCACGTCCTTTTAGCACTGGTTCAAAATATTACTATGAAACTATTGAAGTAGTTACCACTAAGAGTGGCGTATACACTGTTGTTATTGATGGTAGTTTCGATCCCATTTTTTATCTATACAAAGGCTATTTCGATCGATTAAACACTGCCCACAGTCAAATGGATCCAACTACGGCATATAGCGATAGGAACCACTTCAACGTCACGTTCGAACTTTTGATCGATACAAGATACATTTTGGTTGTAACAACTGCCAATCCAGGTGTAATTGGTCCATTCTCGATCACTCTATTCGGTTCAAGTACAGTACAACTTGAACGTATTCGTGAGTATTATATATCACTATGGAGAGGATGTTCAATTTGCAGACAGCATCACCTGATAATCTGATTCACATTTGACCAAATTCGGTAGATCACTTTTATTCAGTTTTGAGAAAGAAATCAAAATAAAATTTTTCTTTTGTACTAATCCATGATAACCAAACATTTCGAGTATATTTTGAACATAAAACTAGTTGAATATGTGATCCACAAAAGTAAGTTAAAGATACTTTTTACACTTGAATATAGATATTGAACGATTCATCGAATCAAAATACACATCTGCGCTATCAAAAGCTCATGCCAAATATTATGCTTTTTCTTGTGACTTTGTCCCTGAATACTATTATGAAGCAATACAAATCAATGTGAATAAAAGTGACTTTTATACTGTTTTCGGTAGTGTTGCAAATATTAACATAGGACTAGTAATTTTTATCTATAAGGGTGATTTCTATGCACAAATCCCAAGAGGTAATTTAATTGTGCAACACGATATTTGCACTCAATTGGATTTGGGTCACACTACTACTAAACTCTTAGCCAATATTCGATATATATTGGTTATAACAACGTGTTCACCATTTGAAACAGTAGACTTCTCTATCAAAGCGCTCGGCAGAAACAATGTTAGTCTTCGACATATAGGTGAGTAGTACTGCAATACACAGCTCATAAAATTTATCTTATGAATAGTATCTGAAATGAAAACTTGATTTTTGTTCGAATAGATCCCTCGTTAGGTATTCATTCTAATTATTCGTCGGAACTAACAACAAAAAGTCAAATGTATGATAAAAATTGTATTCGTTCATATTATTACTATGAGAGTCTACGATTAACCATTCCCATCGATGGATATTATGCTTTTTCAACTGGTAAAAGTTCTGATATAAACATAGATCTCTACAAGAATCATTTCGATCCGTTAAATCCACGACAAAATTTAGTTCCAATTGTTAGACATGGTTGTTCTAACGGTGATCGTGATGGAAGATATACAGTCCATCTTGAATTTGATACGATATATATTTTACTTGTAACAACTTCACGATCAATGCGGATGACATCGTTCTTAATCGATGTATATGGTCTAAGTAATATTACTCTTCAGTACTTCGGTAAGTAACGGTAATATTTCATAAGTATTTGATATTGTTGATTATCGACTAATCTTTTAGTTGATAATTCGACTTACTGTTATGTTGGTGGTGCATGTAATATTCAAGTAAAAAGTATTGGTCTCACTCTCGACGATATTTTACGATTGGAAGTCAATAGAAACATGATGATAGGTGATCAGCCACTTCTGATCAAAATCAGTACTGCGTTTGCAACAATCATGTTTATTACAGGGATTATGAATAGTCTTTGTTCAATTTTAACTTTTCAGAATGGAAAGTCGCGAACTGTTGGATGTGGATTATATCTTCTTGCATCATCAGTTACTTCTCTTTTTACGATCACATTATTTATGCTTAAGGTTTGGTTCGTTGTTGTTACTAACATGAACACATCTGTTCATTCATCTATTCTGAAAGGTGGTTGTAAGTCGATTGAGTCTATTTTGAAACTCTTCTTTTATTGGGACGCTTGGCTGAATGCGTGTGTAACAGTTGAACGTGCAGCGAGTGTTTACAAAGGTGTCAATTTCGATAAAGAGAAAAGTAAACGTTTCGCTCGATGGATCATATTCATTTTGCCAATTGTAATTATGGGTACACTTGTTCATGAACCGCTATATCGTCAAGTATTCAGTCATGAAACAAACGAGACGAAACGAATTGACGAAACAAGAAATGCATTTGAAGAAATTGTAATAGATAGACGTTTCTGGTGTTTGACTTCTTATTCTCATTCTATTCAAAATTATAATACAGTTATTCTCTTTATTCATCTTCTTGGTCCATTTCTTGCCAATCTCTCCTCTGCTCTATTCATCATTATCAGAAGTGCTCGTAGACGGCTAGAAACTCAAAAACGACAAAAATATGGAGAATATCTTCGTGAGCAATGGAATGAACACAAACAACTTGTCATCAGTCCCATAGTTCTACTTTTTCTCTCTGCACCACGCCTAATCATTTCTTTGTTATCGGGATGCACAAATGTTTCTGATCAAGCGTGGCTATATCTATCTGCGTATTTTATTTCATTCATACCATCGATACTTGTCTTTGTCGTATTTGTTCTTCCTTCAAGTTCCTATCGAAAAATTTTCAAGGAATCATTTCTTCAAATCTGTAAAAGACAACGATCATAAAATAAATCACCAGCGTCTCTTGTCTTCTAACTTATCTGAAAGATTATGCTTATTTTATGTCGATTATGTATTCATTCCACACAGATATAAATCCGTTGTACCACTGTATACTTAGTTCTATACAATGTAATCGACAGATTTCATAGCTAATTAACACATGTTATACTTTTGATATAAGGTGCACGTAACGCAAAATTCGAGTAAATTTTTTTTTCAGTTTTATTACACATATTCTGATCCGCCAGATTACGCTGATCATGAATATCACGTTTCCGACAAAAATAGATGCCTTTTTCGTGACGAAAAATCGGCTACACTGGAAAGGTCTGTAAATGCATATATTAGCGACCCCTACGGGACATTAGCATCTTCGACATAATGATACGCTCTCGAGACCTCCTATTATTTTCTTCTGATTCGGCATCGAAAACTGGTCCAGAGAATTGACTGTTCATTCCTTCACAACCGTCAGTACCTGTTCGCAATAGACGTCCACCAAGGACACTCACCGATCATGGTGGTTCATCTTGCAAACCTATCTAGTTTTTCAAAAGGAGAGTTAAATCTTTGATTCACGTACGGTTCGATAGCCCATGAGATGGGCATAAAAACTATGTTGAGCTTTTCGAAAAATCTCTTTTCGATAGCTCAGAAATCGTGTCTAAATCAGACTAAAGACAAAAACGGCAAGGCTATGGTCAATGAATTTCTACATGTTCAAAGAAATTTCAGTTTTGATCAACCCAAATAGGTTTAAATCGATGGAAAATTCGGTAGAAGTGCTTTCAGAACGTCCAGTTCTGTTTGTCCAAGTGATGGACAAAAACCTCTATAGCGGTCTTTGCTCATGGTGCGGTCAAATATATTGACTCGTTCGGTCTTGCGTTTAGTTCCAAGATATAAAGAAATCCTTGAAACGTTTTCAGATTTCTTGCTTCACCTGTGTCTTACAGTAACATTATGCCAAAGATCTCGAGGCGTCGAGCGCATTGCAAAGCAATTTCCCAACGCTTTTCAACAAATGAAGATTCTGGAGATGGAACAGATTATTCGGATTTCGAAGAATCGCTCGAGTCGACAACCAAAGCGGTTAAAGACCTACCAGTGGTGAACTTTCGAGAGGAAAACGTCATGAATGACATCGGGGACCTGTTTGAGCTGTGTCGAGCTCATTGTCCAATCAAATATCTAAGTGTTTTACTGTATATGACAATGAAGCGTTTCGACATCGGATGGCAACAATCCAACGAATTCTTATCGGCGATCGGCGGGCTCACTGTGGAAACAGCTCATAAGTGGACACAAATTTACATTCATGGTGACTTCGACGACTTCTGCTCAGAGAACAGAGGTGGAAAACATTCCGACGGCTTCTATGATCTCTTCCCCGACATCGAAATCGAAGCGAAGTCGTTTGTGTTACAACGTTGCTCTCAAAAGACTTCGAATTTCGTAGTCAATGATTTAGGAAACTTCATTGACGAAAAATTCTATTTGACAACAGACATTGTGAAAGTGAAGGACGCTCCGTTAGTACGATCGATCGCAGCTTGTCGTCTTGACATGCGCAACTGGGGTGCGCGGTATGACTCAACTGGTAATCGTCCTTACTTTGCTGGTCACGAGAGACCAGACGTTGTCGAGCATCGCAATGAATTCGTCAAATATTTTCTCAGTCGAGCAAACAATTATTTCACAATTACGAATGGAGATATGCCTCAGTGGCATTATCCAGTCGGCGACTCGCCGACCATTTTGATTTGTGAGTAATCTAAGAAATCTGTAATATCAAATACTGTATTCTGTATTTTGGTCATGCATAGTTCATGACGAATCGACATTTAGATCAGGGGAAATTCATCACAAGCGTTGGTTTTTCGGTGATGGGGCACCGCTATATAACAAAGGTCGTGGCAGGTCCAACATGGTGAGCGACTTTATCGTTATGCATCCATCTGGACCGTTTTTCCGATTGAATGCCGCTGAATTTGCTGAGGCAGTGAAACACTACCCCCAATTACGCACGAAGTGCGACATTGATTACGTCGAAGGGAGTGCAACTGCATCAATTCATGTTGGCCATGATGCTTATTTCGACAACGCAACTGTACTGCAACAATTCGAACGTCTTTTCCAAATGATCAAATTCAAGCAAGCATTCAAAGGGCACATCATTGAGTGTGTGGTCGATAATGCCCGTACTCACACGGCCAAATCTCATTCTGTCTTCGATTTTGGCAAGGGTGTCGGTACGAGGTGTCCTGTCAATACCATTGAATACGTCGATGACCGCGGCATGAAAAGATCTCTGTCTTGTCTCTTCGATGCAGGACCCAATAAGGGTCTGAGCAAAGGTCTCCTAGAGCTTGCCCGTGAAATTAAAATTAGAATACCACCAGGCGCTACGCTACAATGTATTCGTGAACTGCTTGCTAAACATCCTGCCTTTAACACCGTAAGTCTTATGCAGATTTTCATCTCTCATGTGTTGGAGAATTCCTCTGCTTTGATGCATGAATAGAGTTAGATTCTAGAGATACAGACGCTAGTATTGTATCGAGCCCCTAACGATAATAGTATTTCAACGTTGACTGAGTCACTTTCCGCTGTTACTTTGAGGTCTTTGGGTCAGTTCAGAAAAGATGTCCGTTTTTTCTAACTGCATTTTCGTGCGAAATTTCGTAGACGCTTCAGAAAAACAACATTCATGAACTTTTTAGCTATGTTCTCTATTTATATTCTAGACATCTCGTCTGCAACAGCTCGGTGAACAGTATGGTATCAAAGTGATATTTTGTCCCAAGTTCCACAGTGAATTAAACGTCATTGAAGGCTTATGGTGTTCACAAAAATTATTTGTTCGAACCCGAACGGACCAAACTTACAATACAATGTTACGCTTGATTTCCGAATCACGTGTTTATTTCGAAGAAAAAAGGTTACACTTAAAGCTGTTTCGACGATTCTGGAACTGTTTAAGAGCTTATGACGACGGACAAGCATACGAAAAAGTTCTACAAATGTTCTTCAGTANCAATGGTCGGCGGTTTATCGTGCTAGTCTTGAACCATACTGTACAACACCAGCTGATCGGGAAACACCAGGTCAAGAGGGTGGAAAATATTTCGGTGGAAGTTTGGAACTTCTTTGGCATGGAATACTTGAAGTATATACCACGGTGGATATGGCTGCGCCGATAATTAGAACTAACACTGATCTGTGCCATACGTTTCGTTCACCTTGTATCGGGAAAGAATGAATTTCTTTTCGCATATCTTATTCTGTCGAAATGTCGAAAAGGAAAAGCTATGTGAAATCAATTATTCGTTCTACACTGCGCAGTGTTTGTAAACCATGTTAACATCTTTTATCACTCCATGTAATGCTATTTATTCTTTCTTGACGGGTTTGACACAAGCATTTTCTTTATCATCTTTTCGGAGTTTTTTGTGACTGTACAAATATTAGATATGTATATAGCTAAACGTGAAATCCGCTACATCATTTGCAAAAAAAATGAAAATACTGATGTTCTTCTCCATTTTGTTTGCGAGTGTCTTCTATGCGCCAGCAACAAATGAAAATCTAAACAATGGATGGACATTATTCAAGCAAATTCACAGAAAAGAACATCGATCATCAAGAGAAGAGTTGCGTTGGTATTTGTAATAGTAACTGTTTTTGCCTAATATCGCGTCGTTTTGGTTCTATATAGGCGAAGTATCTGGAAGAAAAATATTGCCAAGATCCAACAACGCAATCTTGAAGCTGATTGATGGATTCATACATATACACTAGGAATGGATCGATTTGGAGATATGGTGAGTTGTTTTCTTTCTCACTATAAGCAAAACTCCGTTTGATTTTGTTAGACACATAAAGAATTCACAAAGTAGATGAATAGATTTAAACCTTGATCATCTGCTTTAGAACATTATGCGAGCCGTACATTTCAAATGCTAGCTGATTTCGGTACTTCGGATGCTTTTGATAAATCCTCTTTTTTGATTATCCCGCGAAGCGAATGTTTTTCACTTGTTGAAATATGTAGATCGGCGTAAAGAAGGCTATTTGACGCCAATCAAAGGTGAAGGACAATGCGATTCATATTGAACTTTTTCATCTGTCAGTGCGATTAAAAGGCAACATTTCGTCAAATCGAAACAACTTGTTTCACTTTTCGAACGAAACTTAGTCGATTGTTCGGGTAAATGCGGTAACATGGGTTGTGACGGTGGTTGAGTATACACATGCTGTTAATATGTCAAAGACAATGAAGGTATTGATGCCGAGTCAAGTTATCCATACGAAGCTCGTGACGGACAATGTCGATTTATAAAGGGAAATGTGGACGCGACTGATACTGTACGATCACTATTCATATATGCTTGAAGTTTCGAGTATAGTTTGATTATGTTTTAGGGCTATGTTAATGTACTAAAAGGAAGTGAACAAGATCTTCAAGTTGCTGTTGTTTCTATTGATTGGATTTCTGTTGCCATTGATGCATCACAAGATCTATTTCAATTTATATGCACGGTGTTTATCATGAACGACACTGCTCAACAGTAGATCCGGATCACGCTATCTTAGCTGTTGGTTAGGATAGATCAGGTTATAAAGATTATTATATCTGTATAGTTTTATGAATACACATTTTATTACTAAACTGATATAGTATGAAACTAAAATCGATCAAGTAATCATGTTATCAGAAGAATAAGTTGGCGTGTTTTTTGTTTTTCTTTATCACGATACAGAGTATCTCAGTGCAAGTATTGTATTAACAGAACGCACGTATGCTTATACACAATAATATCCTATTTGTCTTATTCTTGACACTACTCCAATACTTGCATATCGATCAAAGCGTCAGTCATATTAACATCGGTCAGATAGTGAGTTTTCACTGTGTATGTGAACAAATGGTAGGGACTGCCATCACTATAGCAGACCGATATGTACAAAACCTACAACGCAAAGGAAAGACTTTTGTTTGTCGATTCGTAGAACATATTTACTTCACTATTTGTATCATAGACAGCGGTAGTAACGACTGGTTCCGATACTGACGACGAGGTTAGCGAACCTAATGATGATGCACTGCAATCGGTACCAGTTGGATTCATTCACAACATATAAAACGACAAGCCAGACAGTGATGGAGTAGATGTCGTGGTGCTAGTTATAGCGATCAAACATCGATGTCTATTGTCATAGTAGAGATAATGAAGACTGATATTGGTTGAGGGACAATTAATCTAGGAGAAATAGTCAAATCTTCCATCGCTCTTTCGTCATTCAAGCATACTTGAAAAAATTTGAGAGTACTAAACGAATCTATGTTAAAATATCCAACGTATTGAACATAATTGTTGTAGTATGAAAAGTAATAGTGGCTATGAATCCAGTCAAAAGCAGCGAATTCAAAATATCTATAGCCGGTGCTTGAGAGATTTGCAACGATCTTTTCGAGAAATAAAAGTAAAGTATCTGAGTAGATGTTGGAATAATAGTTTACTTTAGGTGGTAAATTTTGCATCGATCCGAAGGAGATCACGTAGCTAACATTATTTTGTTCAAAACCAGACAATGCAAATATTCTATTTTTCTTCGTTATCCCATTGAAGATTAACAAGAAACGACGCACCAGGGATAGCTATTGAAGAGAGAAGACTATTGCGTTCGAGATCCACGGCGAATATGAACGAAGATTGAAAATCTACTGCATAAAACATTATCTGTAATATAAATCAGAACATGTGGTGATCGAAAACGCTCGATGTACTAACTTGATTTTTATTATCCATTGTAGAGCATGCATCATAAAGCAGCAGCGCCCCCAAGATAACAGAATGTTGTTGTTCGGTTATGAAACTGACCTGTTAATGGATCTACAGACCCAACATTAACAATGACGCCCTCCTCACTGTCCAGCATGGTTACACCCCACAGGTTATTCTCAACACCTTCTGTATGAAGTGTCACATGTGCTAGTATAACAAGTCCAAAAGTGAAGAACAGAAATGGACCATCCATGCTGCATATGACTTTCGTACTATGAATTAAGTGAATGTGATCACGTATGACAGTTTGCGCGTGAAAAGAACCGTCAGATGGTATTGGGCACAACTATTCACGATAGAATCATATTCATATTTTAAAAATAATTTCTCACTGATCTGTTCGCACTTTAACATAGTTTTCAAAGTTGGGATGTCACACTGATAAGCAATATCTCGGCTTACTATTTTCACTGTTCGAGCATAATCTACAGTAAGATTTGAAGGATGAAATGGTATATGTGAAAATAGACCATCTGCTATGTACTTTTTTCTGTCAAGGAGGAGAGGACCAATTCGAATAACGATTTAGCAGAGAACGTAGAATTCGGCACGATCGCAATTTAACAACCAGCTTTCTCACCCTGGCGTTGACTCTTGATAAATCAATAGAGTATATGTTTATTAATTTAAATAATAGTTAGACATTTATCTTAAGAGAAACCGACGATAGTTAATTTATGTTCAGCCATCAAATATTATCTATAGTTAAAAACCGAACTTCGACTTAACTCAACTGCGTTGTTCGTCCATTTCCAATGATAATTTCTTTCCATCTCTCCAGAATTGTCCATTCTCCAAGTTCTCGGTGTAAACACAATGTAAAATGGAATCAGCGCCTAGTTCAGGCGGTCGTGCACCTTCTGCTTTGTTATTTAGATCGGTGGAACAAAATCCTGGACACACAGAACTAATTATCACGTTTTTTGTTGAGTAGTTCTTATCCCAATCACGTGCTTCCAAACGACTTAGAACGGTAACACCTAGTTTTGACGCCGCATAATACACTAAATAGGCATCTCGAAGGCCAGGATATTCAATAGGATCGAAGCCAACCGTGTCCGGATCTTTTCCTTCTTCAACTGCTTTGAATAAGCTGAAAAGAGAGTCAATCAATATATATATCACTCGATTCTTTTTCATACGCCAGCTTACGGTTCAAATAATTCTACCAATTCAGTTTCTGTTAAATTTGGATTGAGAAATCTAGCTTTCAAATCTGAAGAACAATGTGTAATCGAGAGTAAGGCTGCTTCACTGCTAACATTAACAATACGTCCGTTATCTCTTAATATCGATGCCATCGTGTCATTCATGTGTCTAACGCCATAAAAGTTCGTATTAAAAATATCTTTTAACTCTCGTGAAGATTTCCCATTGGGTGCTATGCCAGCATTGTTGATGAGAACATCGAGATGACCATTGTACTTATTTTCAATTTCTTGTCTTACTTGTTCAATACTTGCTGTCGATGATGTGTCAACCTGGACGACTTTGACATTCGAAGGTGATCCAAGTTGTACTAGAGCATCTTCGCCACGAGTCTGATCGCGACTACCAAGCAGAATCAGATCGTTTGGATGACTCACCGCGAGCTTTTTCACAATTTCGAACCCAATACCCCTATTGCCCCCAGTGACTAAGAATACCCGTTGAGAAAACATTTTTCCCTTTTTTTTGTATCTTATCTGAATAAAACGATACAATGAAGACGTATATGTATGTATGTAAGTACGTATATCCGAAAAAGAAAGAAAAATAAATAATTGCTGCGACTTTTACACTGGATAATATACGTTTTTCATTCTTTATTTACCATGTGTAGTGCATTTTTACTTTATACCATCCATGATAGAATGAATAGAGCGTGACTAGCCTTATTGTTCGAATCAAAAGTATATATATTTTTTTATTCACGGAATAATACGTTTCTATTTAGGCGAAGTTAGAAAATAAAGAAGTAAAAATTACTCTTTTGTTTTACATGGAGAAATGCTAAAATTTGGAGTGTATGTGTGGTCGACATGTGTTAATACGGAGTTGACGGTAACACAAGTTCAATTGCTTTCACAAACTTCTGTAGAAAAAATGTGTGTTATTTCGAGTGGGGGACGATAGACGTGATTCAGAAATAGCAGGCTGAGGTTATTTGGAAATTGTGAGGACAGCAGCAACAGACAACATACGACTGATGACCTCTCTTCTATTTCCCAATGGTGTTTAGACATTTGCTAGACCACACTAACGACCATTTTAATAATTCACGTCTTAGAATTTTTCTTTAATCAGTATAAACGAAGCCAGTGAGGAACGACCACAATGAGTTCTTATATATGCAGATCTCAAACGGCAGTGATCATTTTTTTTCCAATATTTGTGTAGCTTTATAACCTCACGAACAAATGCACACCTTTCGTCTGTCATTTGAAGAGTAACGTGTAATATTCTTGTGCTGCGACATCTCTTTCACTTTTCACCATTGGTTATCATTGATTTTTTTTTCTCTGTTTATCATTACTCATTGCAAAGATATTGTTAGATAAAACTACAATTTTTCCTTCCGAATCGAAAAAGAACTAAGGATGTCGCTACTGACATTTCCAACTGAACTCATCCATCACGTCCTGGATCAACTGGATATCAATGATATTCTGTTTTCATTGCGCAACGTTTGCAGACAGTTTTATGCCCTTACCAATAGTTACAATCGGTACAAAATACGATTCACGAGCAGTACACCAAAAGCTGATATTTATCGAATATGTCGGATAATTCGACCGGAAAATGTGATATCACTTACTCTGATACAGGCACATTCCGACAGAGTAGTGGAACGCTTCAAACTTATTCTTTCTCTCGTCAATATTCATCAATTTACTTGTCTTCAATCGTTAGATCTTTATGAAGTGGACCCAGACACTCTCGACAACATTCTACAACATGTCATCACCGTTCCCACTTTCACAAAGCTGTCAGTCGCGGTAAAACCTTTTCAGCCTATGAGTGACCGTACGGTTGATCTTCTCTCATCAATACTTGCCGCAGAAAACTTTCGAGAATTTAAGCTGTACTGTGCGACTGACCAAATAGCAGCACTCTCGTGGTTAAGTAAATGCAGACTAGAACGATTAACGCTTGGCAGCTGCGATCAGAGAGTGTTATGTCACATTCTTGACCGTTTACCTAATCTTTGCAGCTTCCGAGTAGATGATTTCTACACAAGCTACCTTGATCCATCTGATATAAGTCTGTCCACCGCTCATATGTTAACGTCACTAACATTGCGCAGCAACAAAAGAAGTATTTATCAATATGAATCGTTGCTTTCATATACACCCGCACTCGTTCACCTTCGTTTGACCGATTATTTGACTAAATTTGCTTGTTTACAACGTCTATCTCAATGGGAATCGTTTATTCGTCAGAAACTGCCTTCATTACAAACATTTAAATTTCATGTCAATACAAATGAATATGAGCGTCACGATGCCAACATCATAGAGCCACTTGTCAATGCGTTTCGCACCCCATTTTGGCTTCAACTCAAACGTTGGTATGTTACTTGTCAATATACCGATGATGGCACAAAACCGAATCTGAGTTTGTATTCACGATCAGACTCGTATAAGAATTTTCCTGAAAATACGTCGCGAAGCAATTTATCATACTCGATGTCGACAACTGAGAATGACAATGTGATCGATATGAACATTAACTGGAAGGTTCGTTTAAATGCATTTTACATGATGGGTTCTATCGGCCTCCATGAAGTATGTGTAAATATGCATTATTCAATATCTTCCTTTTGTATTTTAGCCTAACAAAACAAATCACTACATGTTTCGAAGTATAACTTATTTAGCGCTCGATTTGCATAGCTCCATCACTTCGTACCAGTTTCTATCGGCACTCTCTGATTACTCACAATTAACGGAAATCTGGTTATTCTTCAACACAGACCATCATCATCTTGGGCGCAATGCGATGCAAAATATACTCAATTTAGTGGGCAATGTTCCTACCGTTGGTATCTCCTATACCAATGATTGGACGTTAATACCCGAAGATATCTTAGATACAATAATCTCTCATCAAGTCAAACATCTTATCATACGAACGGTATATGAGGAATGTATGCAATCAGTAGTGACATATGCTCGGCAACTGACAACTATCACATTTGTTTGTGACCAGTGTTCATCAAATGCATGGACACATATGACGAGATGGCTGGACAAGAACGGAAACAAATATTCCGTGAAAGATGACAGTCGATCTCTTTGTGTATATTTCGAATAGATTTTTTTGAATAAAAGTCGTTGATGTTTCAGATGAGATTCAGTCTGTTTTTCGGATACATCGATAGTAAACGCAGTCTGTTGAGAATATTGATTTGGCATCTTTGTAAGTATAAGTTGTTTGAAGTGATGTTTTGCATCTCGTCTGATTGGAACATGTTCATAAGACAATAACGAAAAAGAAGAAATCATTTTGAAATGAATAAATCAATGGTATAATAATGTAGACCAATTCGTCTTACTTCTTCTGTGGAAAAAGGACGAGGGAGAAATAATCGAGTGTCACTGGATTTTGTCTTTCATGAATAAGAACAGAGCGAAGGAAAATGTTGTACGTGAATAATTCGCTCCATAGTATTGTTACAGTCTTTCAAAATCCTTTAGGATTATGGAATCTTCAAGCCAGCTCTTTCCCTCTGATATTTCGCACTCAACTTTAGAATCGAATCACAACTCAAGCAGTTTTATCTGAAATGGTATATCGACGTATCTTTTTTACTGCGACATCTTTCTCATACCTTTTCTACAATTGTTATTCTGTCTCTGATTGCATGGATTTTGTCACTGGGGTAAAATACACAATATACTTATGTAATATATAAGTTACTGTGAAGTTGATTTTTTTTATTTGTGTTTTCGCAATGTCAGTTGATAATAGTGTATGTCTTCAGGAATTACCTGACCTAGTCTTTTACCGAATCTTGGATCAACTGGATATACACGATATATTGTTCTCGTTACGGAGAGTCAGTAGACATTTTTATAATATCGTTAACAGTTACAATCGATTGAAGCTGCAAATTATCAGTACGTCGCCACGGGCTGGCATCCACCGAATTTCTCGGACCGTTCAATCGGGTAATGTGTTGTCAATTTCTCTGATGAACACCATGGAATGGAATCAATGGAATGGAGTTCGGGTATTTGTTTCACTCAACAATTTGTCACAATACACCTGCCTTCGCTCACTATCTTTGTTTTACATCGATATAGACGTGCTTGAAAATATGCTGCAAGAAGTCACAAGTCTTCCTGCACTCGTCTCACTGACAATCAAACCAGGAAAACTTGACAATTTAAGTGAACGTCTAGCGATGCTGCTCTCATCGGTGATAGCCAGGTCAAACCTACGTAAACTTAGTTTATACGCCATGTGTGAATACATTTCAAAAATATCAGGGAGCAAGCAGTGCAAATTAAAAGAACTGTTTATTGACAGTTGTAGTCATAACCATGTGTGCCATATTCTCGATCGATTACCCAATCTTCAAACTTTTTCAACGCGTGATTATCGGCTGCCGATGTCCGAAACCCCGATTGTCCTAACATCTATTCACCTTTTGACTTCGTTGAAATTGTATTGTATGCAAATTCCAATCGGCTTGCTAGAATCGTTACTTTCGTATATGCCTGCACTTGTTCATCTTCATCTATCAACTTATTTTACTACGTTTTACTTTTTGCAACGTTTATCACAATGGGAATCTTTCATTCGTGAAAAACTACCGGTGTTAAACACATTTAAGTTGTATGCTAGTACTGAACAGTATCAATATCTAGATGTGAAAGATATCGAGTCGATGCTCAATAGATTTCGTACACCTTTTTGGCTTGAACTCAAACGATGGTATATCACTTGTGAGTATGTCAAAGATGGCAACACATCGAATATCAGGCTATATTCACGAAAGGACTCTCATCGCAATTTTCCTGCAAAATCTTCGCCAGCCATGTTAACACACTCTGCTTCGACAACGAGAAATGATGATATAACGGATATGTCTATTAAATGGAAAGTTCGATTGAATTTATTGCTAATGACCGCCGTTGCCATTTCACAACAGATTTCTATTCAGCCTATGTTTCGTTGTATGACTCATTTAGTGCTCGACATCGATCAGCCCATCGCCATCAGTTCGTATCAGTTTCTTTCCGAATTTGCCGACTACTCGCAGCTTACGGAAATCTGGCTGATTCTCATTTCGCCCCATCATTCGTTTCAATCCGATGCGATGGATAATATACTTAATTCAGTGGGTAATGTTCCTACCGTCGGTATCTCCTATCCCAATGATTGGACACTAATACCCGAAGACATCTTAGATGCGATAATCTCTCATCAAGTCAAACATCTTATCATACGAACGACATATGAGAAATGTATGCAATCAGTGGTGACATATGCTCGACAACTGACAACTATCACATTTATTCGTGATCAATGTTCATTAAATGCATGGACACATATGACGAGATGGCTAGACAAGAACGGAAACAAATATTCTGTGAAAGATGACAGTCGATCTCTTTGTGTATATTTCGAATAAATTTTTTTGAATAAAATTCGTTGATGTTTCAGATGAGATTCAGTCGGTTTTTTGGATACATCGATAGTAAACGCAGTCTGTTGAGAATATTGATTTGGCATCTTTGTAAGTATAAGTTGTTTGATGAGCTGTGAATTGATGCTTTGCGTCAAATTTGGATTGTAGAAAAATATTTGCGTCTCCTTTGGTTGGGACATGTTCATAAGACGAATAGCGAAGAAGAATATACACGTTTCCAACAATTAGGTCAGTAATTTGAACAATCCCAATCATTTCGATTGGTTCTTCGTCAAAATCAACATTGGGTTCTTCATACGAAGAAACTGATAATTGAATCGGTAATGTGACTCGATCTTCATCAACAATACCAGTGATAGCAATTCCATAGTTAATCTAAAAGAAAATACTTCATCGTGGTGTAAATAGTTCGATAAGAGAACGCTTTACATTCAACGGTATGCATCCATACTCTGCATAGTCCTTCTCACACATGATCGTTGTCGTTGATCCGAATTCTTCTTCATTCATATGCCTTTTCATTTCATCTCTGCTAAATAAATCATAATAGATAAGTTCATCGTTGGGATCATATTCATCTTCATTTCGATAACGTATTCCAACTGCTGGTACAATATGATCGTAGGTTTCAAACCCCGAACTACTCTCAAGGCAGACACCAAATATCACGGGATGTCGATGGAGTATTGATTTTTTCATCCAGTAACAAAATGATCGAAATTGCGGTTCAGGAGAGTTTTTCCAATCCCATTCATCGTAAGTAAAATGCAGAATAGATAATGTACGAAGTGGATCTCGACAATCGTCGTCTGATACGCGTTGCATAAGATATTCACCTTGATTTATAGTTCGAACAAGCTTTTGCGAAAGCCAAGCGCCATAATATAGACCTAGACAAACAAAACTCATATGTTTTCTTTTTGAAATTTCAATAACAATATGACATACCGATAGACTGAATAGCTGTTTCTCCACAGAAACCGTTGTCGTGGTCCCATTGTAATCGAGAGGGAATATCAAGCCGTACCATTTGTTCTTCGGTCATATCAACGATTTATTTCACTGTGCTGAAAGAATATGTGAGCAAAACAGGTGGAGATCTCACCGACAAGTTAACAAACAACTTATGAATCAGTCGTGTTTTCTTTTTCTTTTCTTGTAACACAATATTTCATGTACTTGCGCAATACAAGCATCAATGAGAAAGATATTTTGTAGCATTTCAAAACATGATTCTGTTCGATTTGTCAATCCACCTCGATTAGAATATTGACGAGAGCAGAACGTGTTCAGCAAATAATATTTCAATAAACTAAATAAACGGAACGTGTTGTAGAGCAATATTTATCCATTATTGAGCTTTGAAATTTATCTCAGTTAACAATTGAGCCAGAGAGACAAACATGTTGGATTGTTTTTCCTTCATAAATGAGTTTTATTTTTCCTGTTGTCTGACTTGGCACAATAAAATTGATCTGCACAAAAACGACGATAGTTATTTTCAAATCTGACAAAAAAAAAACAACAGATATGTGGCTTTTAGGATGCTTGAGAAATGGAAAGAAAGGATCGATTTATATTGGGATTGGTGTATCTCTCGGTTGTGCGATTTTAGTGGCTGTAACTGTTTCAACAGTTATCATCATCCGGAATAAAACTAAAGCAATGATTACGCCTATAGAGAATATGACAAGCGCCTCTGTAATCTCCATAGAAACAACAGAAATGAATATAGCTCCGATGACGACGACGACGCCTCCTGAAATAATCACTACTACTTCTGTTGAGAGGGAAACCACAATCGACAATTCGGAAGACACTTCTTTTTCAGAAATAATCAACTATGAATCACTGACAACAGCATTGACTACGGAAAATGCCATGATATCAACAAAAACACAAATGACAACAGCAAAAGTGACAAAAACTAACGCTAGTCCATTGCCAACAATGAAAGGTATTGCATATCCTAATCAATGGCTTAGGAAACGGTTTGAAGAGAAACTCTTTTGTCTTTTAGGCTGGTCCCTAACTGGTTCAATGAAGTCACCTCGTTGTGCTCACACAGCATCCGTTTTGCAAAACGGGAAAGTGTTGGTTGTAGGTGGCAGAGATAGTAATCATGCTCTAGCCAGCGCTGAGTTGTACGATCCAATCGCAAAAACATGGACATTGACAGAAAATATGACACATCCGCGTTATCTACACACAGCGTCTGTGTTACCAGATGGAAAAGTGTTGGTTACGGGTGGAGTAAACCACGTTAACTTTTATATGAATACAGTTGAATTGTATGATCCATCCAGTGAAACTTGGTCAAGTATAGCGCCAATGCATGAGAAAAGAATTAATCATACGGCTACACTACCGACCGATGGTAACGTATTAATTGTTGGTGGATATAATGGAAGCAAGGCAATCAGCACTACTGAATTGTTTCGTTTATCGACGAACGGTTCGAAAGTTGCCGGAAAGATGAGGAATAATCGGTGAATGCATACAGCGTCTGCGCTTCCACATGGTAACATATTAGTCGCCGGCGGACAGACTACACGTCAAATTTTTAACACTATTGAACTGTATAATTCAACGACCAATTCTTGGATAAATACGAAAACGATGGCTTTCCCACGGATCCAGCATACTGCATCTTTGGTGAAGGATAATAAAGTGTTGATTGTCGGTGGTAATAATGACGGAGGTGTCCTAGATAGCGTCGAGTTATACATTCCCTCTAACAACAAGTAACGCTCATCCTTTGGATTCGCGGACCCTTTTCTGAAAGACTTTTTCTAATGCTGAACACATTCAGAGACTTCGAAAGAGAAAAAACGCACTACGATTGCTACTAGTATTCAACTGAATCATGGCACTATGTCACACACTAGAATGAATATGATGCAAAAGTCTTTTTAGGAATCAGACCGATTAGTCATTTGTCAGTGGATAATTCTCGAGCACTAACTATGTTGACAGAAAAATTCATCGCTCAACGGCTAGTCAGTCGGCCACTCACGGCCAACCATTGACCTTTGTCATCTGTTTTTCTATTTTCACATCACGCGCATGGAAATTTTCATAAATGCTTTACTAAGTCACTCATAGACGGACGATACACAGTAGACTACTTGAAAAGTGTCAACATTCGCCTTTGTCTTCCAGCGATAATCCGATTCTTTTCTCTCCTGTTAACAAANATGACTACTATGACGACTTGCCCGATCGAATGTTGTTTATTCATGGTAATCCGATTCGTCATTCGCCATATCCGATTGAAACAGCACTCTGCGTGCGTGATGACGTCCATTATGCAAATATCAACTTTTTCTGGGTTAATGAAAAAAGATGGTCAGAATGGCTGCAAGATCCAAAAGACAGTCTCAGTTTTATGTATAAATGTGCTGTTCGCCTACTAACATTGTTTGGTTATAACGGAAAAGCTCAGGTTAACCCAGAAAGCAAACTACCCAAAGATGGAAATACGGTTACAACTTTATGTTGTGCACAGTTTTATGTTACTAGAGATAGGATTCGTCATTATACTTATAAACAATGGTCGGCGGTTTATCGTGCTAGTCTTGAACCATACTGTACAACACCAGCTGATCGGGAAACACCAGGTCAAGAGGGTGGAAAATATTTCGGTGGAAGTTTGGAACTTCTTTGGCATGTGATACTTGGACTTCATCCCGTGAATATGGCAGCGCCGATACCTAGAACTAACACTGATCCGTGTCATACGTTTCGTTCTTCTTGTAAGAATTCACCTTGCACCGAGAAAGAATGAATTTTTTTTCGCATATCTTATTCTGTCGAAATGTCGAGAAGGAAAAGCTATGTGAAATCAATTATTCGTTCTACACTGTGAAGAGAATATATATTTATCAAATAAATTTATCACTTCTCTATTCGAAGTAATTTTTTTCGAATCAAATGAAAATGAAACTCAAAGTTGCTGTTAATCTCGTGGTTCTCAAATGGTTACCCATAAAGAAATGGAGTTGTTTCTATGTGATGAAAAGCGATCTTCCTGGGCTGAAATCAATAATTCATCGTGATATGTCTGAGGTTCAAAAGTAAATACTGTATTCATTGAAAGTTCTTTAGTTGAATTTTATGTCATACCAATTTATGCGATCCGTCTGATCGTGTTTATTCAACTACTATAATGTTAGTGTCAACCGATGTGACTCGTTGCCACTAACTATATCGGTATTTATATTTATATATACACATATTCTTTCTTTCCTGTCCTTTACGTTTCCGTTCTGTGACTTTCGAGGACATCTTTGATGATCTTTTGTTATGCAATACTACGTCCGTATATTATTACGTCATTATATTGCGTAGTTGTTTTTCTGTTGTTTGTCCCAGTTACCTCTTTGTCTCGTTTCTCTCTTTCACTGCGACTTATTTTTATTTGTTCATTTATTGATTATCATCAGTACAAACATTTATATCCCTAATTGCACTTATTATCATTCACGGTAGGCTATTTTGTTTATTTACGTGAGTTGCCTTCCACTAGGACAGTTCCTGATAGAATGAATAGAGTGATTGGCTTTATTGTTCGAAACAAAAATATATTTTTCTTTCATTCAAGAAATAATACGTTTCTATTCGTGCGAAGTTAGAAAGCAAAGACAATAAAAATTACTCTCGTATATCTTACATAGAGAAAATACTAAAATCTGGAGTGTATCTGCGGTCGATATATACTAATACGGAGTTGACAGTAACAGAAGTTCCGTTGCTTTCACAAACTTTGGTAGAAAAAAAATGTGTATTATTTTCGAGTGGGGGATGATAGATGCGATCTAGAAACAGTAGGATTAGACTATTCGGAAATTGTGAGGACAACAGCAACAGACAACATACTGCTGATTGGCTGATGACTTCTCTTCTATTTCCCAATGATGTTTAGACATTTGCTAGTTCACGTCTTAGAATCTTAATCAGTATAAAAGAAGCTAGTGAGAAATAATCACAACTACTGCTTATATATACATGTCTCAAAAGGCAATTGCCATTTTATTTCAATATTGGCGTAGTTTTATAACCTCACGAACAAATCTACATCTTTCCTCTGTCATTTTAAGAGTAAAGTGTAATATTCTTTTGCTGCGACATCTCTTTCACTTTTCACCATTGGTTATCGCTGATTTTTTTTCTCTGTTTATCATTACTCATTGCAAAGATATCGTTAGATAAAACTACAATTTTTCCTTCCGAATCGAAAAAGAACTAAGGATGTCGCTACTGACATTTCCAACTGAACTCATTCATCACATCCTGGATCAACTGGGTATCGATGATATTTTGTTTTCATTGCGCAACGTTTGCAGACAGTTTTATGCCCTTACCAATAGTTACAATCGGTATAAAATACGATTCACGAGCAGTACACCAAAAGCTGATATTTATCGAATATGTCGGATAATTCGCCCGGAAAATGTGATATCACTTGCACTTATACAGGCACATTCCGACAGAGTAGTGGAACGCTTCAAACTTCTTCTTTCTCTCGTCAATATTCATCAATTTACTCGTCTTCAATCGTTAGATCTTTATGAAGTGGACCCAGATACCCTCGACAATATTCTACAACATGTCATCACCGTTCCCATTTTCACAAAGCTGTCAGTCGCGGTAAAACTTTTTCAGCCTATGAGTGACCGTACGGTTGATCTTCTCTCATCAATACTTGCCGCAGAAAACTTTCGAGAATTTAAGCTGTACGGTGCGACTGGCCAAATAGCAGCACTCTCGTGGTTAAGTAAATGCAGACTAGAACGATTAACGCTTGGCAGCTGCGATCAGAGAGTGTTATGTCACATTCTTGACCGTTTACATAATCTTCGCAGTTTCCAAGCAGATTATTTCTACACCAGCGATCATAATCCATCTGATATAAGTCTGTCCACCGCTCATCTGTTAACTTCACTAACATTGCGCAGTAACAAAAGGTGTATTTATCAATATGAATCTTTGCTTTCATATACACCCGCACTCGTTCATCTTCATTTGACTGATTATTTGACTGAATTTGCTTGTTTACAACGTCTATCCCAATGGGAATCGTTTATTCGCCAGAAACTGCCTTCATTGCAAACATTTAAATTTCATGTCAGTACAAATGAATATGAACGTCACGATACCAACACCATAGAGTCACTTGTCAATGCGTTTCGCACCCCATTTTGGCTTCAACTCAAACGTTGGTATGTTACTTGTCTATATACCGCTGATGGCACAAAACCGATGCTTAGTTTGTATTCGCGATCAGACTCGTATAACAATTTCCCTGATAATATGTCGCGAGGCTATTTATCATACTCGACGTCGACAACTGAGAATGACAATGTGATCGATATGAACATTAACTGGAAAGTTCGTTTAAATGCATCTGACGTGGTGGGTTCTATCGGCCTGCATGAAGTATGTGCAAATATGCATTATTCAATATCTTTCTCTTGTATTTTAGACTCACAAAAAGAATCGCTATACGTTTCAAAGTATAGCTCATTTAGCGCTCGATTTGTATCCCTCTATCGCTTCGTACCAGCTTCTATCAGCACTGTCTGATTACTCACAATTAAGGGAAATCTGGTTATTCTTCAACGCAGACGATCATCAGCTTGGATGTAATGTCATGAGAGATATACTTAATTTAGTGGGTAATGTTCCTACCGTCGGTATCTCCTATACCAATGATTGGACGCTAATACCCGAAGGCATCTTAGATGCGATAATCTCTCATCAAGTCAAACATCTTATCATACGAACGACATATGAGGAATGTATGCAATCAGTGGTGACATATGCTCGGCAACTGACAACTATCACATTTATTCGTGACCAATGTTCATTAAATGCATGGACACATATGACGAGATGGCTGGACAATAACGGAAACAAATATTCCGTGAAAGATGACAGTCGATCTCTTTGTGTATATTTCGAATAGATTTTTTTGAATAAAGTTCGTTGATCTTCAGATGAGATTCAATCGGTTTTTCGGATACATCGATAGTAAACGCAGTCTGATTGGAACATGTTCATAAGACGAATAACGAAAAAGAAGAAATCATTTTGAAATGAATAAATCAACGGTAGAATAATATAGACTAATTCGTCTTACTCCTTCTGTAGAAAAAGGACGAGGGAGAAATAATTGAGTGTCACTGGATTTTGTCTTTCATGAATAAGAACCATATCTTTCAAAATCCTTTACGATTGTGGAATCTTAAAATCAGCTCTTTCCCTCTGATATTTCGCACCCAACTTTAGAATCGGATCGTAACTCAAGCAGTTTTATTTGAAATGGTATATCGACGTATCTTTTTTACTGCGACATCTTTAGCATACCTGTTCTACAACTGGTATTTTGTCTCTGATTGCATGAATTTTTCACAGGGGTAAAATACACAATGTACTTATGTAATATAGAAATTGCTGTGAAGTTGATTTTTTCATTTGTATTTTCGCAATGTCAGTTGACAGTAGTGTATGCCTTCAGGAATTACCTGACCTAGTCTTTTACCAAATCTTGGATCAACTGGATATACACGATATATTGCTCTCGTTACGGAGAGTCAGTAGACATTTTTATAATATCGTTAACAGTTACAATCGATTGAAGCTGAAAATTATCAGTACGTCGCCACGGGCTGGCATCCACCGAATTTCTCGGACCGTTCAATCGGGTAATGTGTTGTCAATTTCTCTGATGAACACCATGGAATGGAATCAATGGAATGGAGTTCAAGTATTTGTTTCACTCAACAATTTGTCACAATACACCTGCCTTCGCTCACTATCTTTGTTTTACATCGACATGGACGTGCTTGAAAATATGCTGCAAGAAGTCACAAGTCTTCCTGCACTCGTCTCGCTGACAATCGAACCAGGAAAGATCAATAATTTAATTGAACGTCTAGCGATGCTGCTCTCATCGGCGATAGCCAGGTCAAACCTACGTAAACTAAGTTTATACGCCATGTGTGGATATATTTCAAGAATATCATGGAGCAAGCAGTGCAAATTAAAAGAATTGTTTCTTGACAGTTGTAGTCATAACCATATCTGCCACATTCTCGATCAATTACCCAATCTTGAAACTTTTACAACGCATGATTATTGGCTGCCTATAGCCGAAACCCCGATTGTCCTAACATCTATTCACCTATTGACTTCGTTGAAATTATATTGTATGCAAATTCCAATCGGTTTGCTAGAGTCGTTACTTTCGTATATGCCTGCACTTGTTCATCTTCATCTATCAACTTATTTTACTACGTTTTACTTTTTGCAACGTTTATCACAATGGGAATATTTAATTCATGAAAAACTACCGGTGTTAGACACATTTAAGTTGTATGCTAGTACTGAACAGTATCAATATGAAGATGTGAAAGATATCGAGTCGATGTTCAATAGATTTCGTACACCTTTTTGGCTTGAACTCAAACGATGGTATATCACTTGTGAGTATGTCAAAGATGGCAACACATCGAATATCAGGCTATATTCACGAAAGGACTCTCATCGGAATTTTCCTGCAAAATCTTCGCCAGCCATGTTAACACACTCTGCTTCGACAACGAGAAATGATGATATAACGGATATGTCNGGTTTCAAACCCCGAACGACTCTCAAGACAGACACCAAATATTACAGGATGTCGATGGAGTATTGAGTTTTTCATCCAGTAACAAAATGATCGAAATTGCGGTTGAGGAGAGTTTTTCCAATCCCATTCATCGTAAGTAAAATGCAGAATAGATAATGTACGAAGTGGATCTCGACAATCGTCGTCTGATACGCGTTGCATAAGATATTCACCTTGATTTATAGCTCGAACAAGCTTTTGCGAAAGCCAAGCGCCATAATATAGACCTAGACAAACAAAACTCATGTTTTCTTTTTGAAATTTCAATAGCAAGATGACATATCAATAGACTGAATAGCCGTTTCACCACAGAAACCATTGTCGTTGTCCCATTGTAATCGGGAGGGAATATCAAGTCGTACCACTTGTTCTTGAATCATATGAACGGTTTTTTTTATTATGCTGACAGAATATGTGAGTACAACAGGTGGAAACCTCAGCAACAAGTTAACAAAGAACTTACAAATCAGCGTTTTTTTTTCTTTTCTTGCAATGCAAGCAAACATTCACAACTTTTTATATTTTGTTATTGCATGTACTTGCGCAACACAAGTGTAACTCTTTAAACCTTAATATATCGGTATTAACTTATCAATAAAAAAACATCACCGACTAATTAATGAGAAAGATATTTTGTAGCATTCCGGAACATGATTTTCTTTGCTGTGTTAAGAATATTGACGGCAACAGAATCTATTCATTAAATAGTATTTTAATAAACGGAATGTGTTCAAGAGTAATATTTATTCACGATTGAGCTGTCAAAATGATATCATGTTAGATTTTCTCCGATCATAAATATTAGAGATAAGAATTGACATGTTTTCATTTGTTCTATTGTTTGACGGTCACAGTAAGATTGATCTGCACAAAATCCATAGCAATTATCTTCAGAAGTGAGACAAAATAAGAGATATGCGAGTATTAGCATGTTTTCAAAATACGAAGAAAAGATCGGTTTACATTGGGATCGCTATCTCTCTCGGATGTGCGATTTTGGTGGCTGTAACTATTCCAACAGCTGTCATCATCCGGAATAAAAGGAAATCAATGAATGCGTCAATAATCTCAATGGAAATAACACAAATGAGAATGATTTCCACAACACTACTTGGAAAAATCCCTGCTATTTCAAATGACAGCAAATACACAATCAACAACTTTGAGGATATTTCTCCTTCAAAAGTAACGAGATATGAATCGGTGACATCCACATCAGCTATGAAATCTACGACAGCAAAAGCTAACACTGGCCCACTACCAACAATGAAAGGTGCTTCGTAAGACATAGTGTAAAAGATCCCGTGTATTTTTACATACTCTTATCAATGACTAAGGAAACGGCTTGAAGACAAACTCTGTTGCCTTTTAGGTTGGTCTCGAACTAGTTCAATGAAGTCACCTCGTTGCGGTCACACAGCATCTGTTTTGCAGAACGGAAAAGTGTTGGTAGTTGGTGGTAGAGATGATAATCATACTTTTGCTAGTGCTGAATTGTATGACCCAATTACAAAAACATGGACATGGACAGGCAATATGACAAATGCGCGTTATCTGCACACGGCATCTGTATTGCCGAATGGAAAAGTGTTGGTTACTGGAGGAGTAAATAATGTTGATGATTGTATGAATACAGTTGAACTCTATGATCCATCAAGTGAAACTTGGTCAGCTATAGCGTCAATGAAAGAGAAAAGAGTCAACCATACGGCCACGCTAATGATTGATGGCAACATATTAGTTGTTGGTGGACATAATGGAAACAAGGCAATCAGTACTACTGAATTGTTTCGTTCATCGAAGAATGGTTGGGAAGCTGCTAGGAAAATGAATAACAATCGACGCATGCATAGAGCGTCTGGGCTTCTAAATGGAAACATATTAATCACCGGCGGACAAAGTGTAAGTAAGATTTTTAACGCAGTTGAACTGTACAATTCAACCACAAATAATTGGGGAAATACGAAACAGATGGCTATGGCACGGATTCAACATACTGCATCTTTGATGAGTGATAGTAATGTATTGATTGCTGGTGGTAATGGCGACAAAGGTGTCGAAAAGAGCGTCGAACTGTTCCTTCCATCTAAGAATAGATGCACAGCTCTTCGTCCAATGACCATTGGTAGATTTACACACACAGCAGTCACATTAAAAGATGATACAGTGCTAGTGGTTGGCGGTCAAAACAGAGAGGGCATACTAAACCATACTGAATTATACAATCCGACAGATAACAAATGGTCTGATGCGGGGACTATGGCCTATCACCGGAAAGATCATACCACTTGTCTTTTACTAGATGGCACAGTATTGGTAGCTGGTGGACAGAATTTCAATGCAGTTTTAAATAGTGCTGAACTGTATGGTTCATAAAAACATATTTTCTCAAGACTTTTCATATTCAACATTGCAAAGACCATATCAAATTAAATAAAATATAGGAGCTCCAATCATTATCTGCTTAATGTATTTGCAACATTCGCTTTTTCTAGAATTCAATCTGGAGCATCGATTTCAAGATTTGAATCCTATTAAATAAAACGCAACTTTGAAGCTTTATGCATGTAAGACTTGGTAGTCAGTATTAGATCACTTTACATAGTAGATAGCAAGTTAACTAACGTGTTCTGATGAAACAAAACATCCAAAAGTGTGCAAAACACAAAATCTTCTTTATTTATCAGCGAATGAAACAACTTATGTCTTTACGATGAAGAAAGAACAATAGCATTCGTTTGTATTTGGTAGTTAGATAGATATCTTTATGATCAGGCGTCATCATCTTTACACAAATATAACCACTTGTTTGCTAATGACCGTAGAGATGCTAGACAGGCTTTTCGAAACATCATGCTCGAATAATAATTAACGTAAAATGCCATGCCATACTTTGCGTAATAAATCACATCGCTCACTTGAACGATAAGATATTCGATCTGCTGTCGTTCCACGCTCTTTTTTACAGAACTAGTAAGCATCGAGTATGTGAAAGTAGCCGTGCGTTGAGCTTCTATTACACTAGCCAGAAACGCATATGGAAATATTACAAGAAACAGTTGACGATTTGTTCGTCGAACGGTAAGCGTTTGATCATTGGAGATAGAAACAATCACAATACGACGTTTGAATCGTTGCAGATGATTCCATGTAATGACACCAAACATGAGCATGCCACTATGTGGCAGGCGGTTACGAAAATGTTACCGTACAGAGAGGATATGATTGTTTGAAAGCCAGGAAATTATGTACATGTACGATTACGGATGTCGAAGCCATTGCTGGTACACATACGAAAGAATAAGTGCGCACTTTGCAAGTATCACTGTTCATCAAAGAGAGATTGTTTCCAAAGTATTCAGTGAAAAAACGTAGTATGATACCAAAATTGCTGAAGAACAGATCAAACAGCGACGAGCAAACAAGATAAAAGATGCAAGCTCTCGTCCGAAAGTCTTTCGAGAAAATTGTAATAAGATTAAGTACATTGCCAATGTTGCCTAATATGAGTAGTGTGAACAGACTGTGGATAACGAAGTAGGATGTGATTTCTGGTATGGATGCCATGACAATCGAGGATACTGAGTGAATATTTCGAGATTTACATTCATATAATGCGTGACGTGACGAATGAGACTATATAAGTGTAAACTATAGCAACAAAATAAAAATTCTTTTAAAATCCTTCTTTTCCTAACAATTATATCGCGAAGAGTTTATTATTATGAAAATGAGTGAGTAGAGAACTTCATTTGTCGTTAAGAAAGAACAGATATAACTATGAAAAATTAATGTCAATGGGCGAGAGAAAAATCGAAGTAATTTTTAAGTATAGCCATGCTTTGTTTATCATTTTGTTTCTCGGCTATGTCGAGAGCACTTTGTCCATGATTATCTTGCGCATTGATATCTGCACCAAGTTCAATGAAACGTTGCAGTAGAAAATAATCCTGATGATGAGCGGCATGTAACAGATGTCGAGATTCACAAGACAGATCAACCTTCAGCAAGACAGGGTCAGCTATTTGAGTCGATAAGACATATTTCAAGCGAGTAGCTACCTGTTCAACATTTTCCCTTGCGAACATTCTATGATGTTCGCAATTTACACTAAAGACCTCCAATTCAGATTGCATTATATTTTTACATCCATTGAACGGGTCGACGAAATCCGTGTCATTCTTATTATGATTGACGGAAGCTTTGATCAGAACGACACGTCCGGAATAAGATCGCGCCTTGTACTTGGACGATAAAAGCAAGTTGTTTCTTATCTCATTCTTTAAATATTCGGCTTCCTTTGAACATAATTCTACACCTTGATTAACAACATGCTCGCGAATAGATTGCTCAAATGCTTCATCATCGCATATATTGAATTCTCGGTATGTTTCAGTTAGATAAGAGTCTAATAGGATGAGAACTTCGGTACGCTCATCAAGTTTTTCAAGTTGACAGGCCATTTCGAAGGCAACTTTACCTCCAAAGCTCCAACCACCGAGACGGTAAGGGCCTTTCGGTTGTTTTTTTCTTATCAATGATATATAAAACGTAGCCATACTTTCAATATCGTTGAATTTGTTCTCAACATTCGTAAACATAGGGTCATTCAAAGCAATCACAGTGTGTCGACCATGAAAGTACGGCGCCAACGAAGAATATATGAATGAAATACCTTCTATCGCATGGATCAAGAAGAGAGGCGTTTCGTCCGTTCCCGAACAGATCGACAATACTGAATCGTCATCAGTCTCTTGAAGTTCTTGATTGATATATTTACTCAATTTCTCAATAGTCGGGTTGGCAACGATGGATGTTACGGTAACAGCACGTGTAAAGACTTGTTTGATTTGAATAATCATTGAAATGATTAACAAGGAATGCCCTCCTAATTCGAAGAAATTCTCGAGTATTCCGAAGCTGTTTGTGCCTAAAATTGACGACCATATCTGATAAAGACGAAATTCGGTTAAATTTCGTGGATAAACATGATTTGTCTCATGGGTTTTCAGATAGCTACTGTCTTTAGCGAGATTCATAAGGAATGTCGAATCGACTTTGTCATTTGTCGTCAAAGGAAACTGATCTATAAAGACATACAGTTGAGGCCGCATATATTCCTGTAGTGTAGAATTGAGATGATTACGTAAATCGAATTCAACTTGTGAGTGATTTTCTCGGAGACTGCCGATGAAAGCAATTAGTTTTGATGTGCTATCCGTACTTTTTAGTACATGGACTTGAGTCAGGTTCAAATACGATTTGATTCGATACTCGATTTCACCTAGTTCCACACGGTAACCACGAATTTTTACTTGATGATCGACTCGACCGGCACACTGTACATCCATGGTCGACAAATAGTACACCAGATCGCCTGTTCGATACACACGTGTCTTCGTACTTCCAAGTTCAATTTCAACAAAACTTCTGTGCGTCAGATCATCGCGATTTAGATAACCTCTAGCAAGACTGGGCCCACCAATGCATAGTTCGCCAATGAGTCCTCTTGGTAAAACTTCGTTGTTTCTATCGAGAATATAGAACGCTGTATACGGATAAGGTTTGCCGATCGGTAGACCCTTTTCGTGCGCGGCCACATTTGTAACACTTTTCGCATTAGCAAGAAACTCCGAAGCGCCCACGGTTGTTTCGGTCGGGCCATATTCGTTGAAAATTTTGTGGTGAGGAAGCTTTTCAAGCCATTGACGCACTGAATCAACGGGCAGAATCTCCCCACCAATAACGAGCGTCGTTAAATAAGGTAATTGGATCTTATCATCGCTACATAGAGCATTGACCATCTGTATAAAAAAACTTGGTGTGCATTTAATTAGCTGGATACGATTTCGCTCGAGATGATCATGAAATTTGAAAATATCACGCTTGATGTCGTCATCACAAATGATCACAGTTCCAGCAGCTAGCATAGGAATCAAGGTACTGGTGACGGACAAGTCAAATGCAATTGACGAAGAGAAATCATAGAGCATGCCGTCTGTCAGTGAATAGCGATGTTGTAATGAATCATAGTACCATAAAATGTTTTGATGCTCAATAAGAACGCCTTTTGGAACTCCAGTCGAGCCCGATGTGTAGATTACATAAGCGAGATTACGAAAGATGACAGGTTCGCATCCGGAGGGTAGAATGTATTCGAGTGTTGTATCATCCTCGCTGCTTTCAAGTAAAACAGAGTCAATCTGACACACAGCAATCTGTGTAGAGAGCCGTGTCTGGCATTCGGACACTCGTTGTTCTGAATCGACAAGTACCAGACGTGTTTTTGTATCGTTCACAATGAAGAGAAGACGTTCCAAAGGTGTCGCGATGTCAACTGGTACATAGGCACCACCAGCTTTCAAGATCGCCAAAATAATAACAAAAAAATTAATAGATCGATCGCAGGAAACGACAACAAGATCGTCCGGTTTTTGTATATATCCTTTAAGGATAAAAAATTGAGCCAGACAATCTGCCGCTTTGTTTAGTTCACTATAACTAATGGATATCTGGTTATGAACGATAGCTATGCGTCTCGAGTGGCACTTCGCGACGTCCTCTATGAGTCCATGAACGGTCGAATTCGGCTTTCGTTTGTACCAAGGATTCTCAACTGTTTGATTGTTCCACATTACCAATTGTTCATTCAGCTCTTCGTTCGATAAAAGACGAACATGTTGCGGCGAACAATTTGGCTCAGTGACAATATTGTCTAAAACAGTCAGATAGTGTTCCGCTAAACGTTTGACAATCGATGATGACGACGGAAAATACTTTGTTTTATAGTTGAGAGTAAGTCGAGTGCTTTTATCATCGAAAGTAATACATACAGTAAGAGGATACTCTGTCTTTTCAATTTCACCCAGAGCATGTTGATCACATTTCAAAGAATACGTATGTCGTTTCGAAACGTCAGGATAATTTTCAATGATAAAAAGAGTATCGAAAAGAGGTTGTCCATTACCCAGTTTTCCCCACGATTGAATCTCGCCCAATGATACGGCAGTACCCATTTCTTGTAGACGACAAAGTTGTTCTTGAATGGAAATCAACATATCGATCGATTTGTTGTAAGCTGTAGATATACATAGAGGTATTGTATTGATAAAAATACCGATACTACGTTCAATAGATGCGACTGGTACAGTGCGACCTGAAATTGTTATTCCGAATACGATATCTATACGTTGCAAGCATCGTGAGAGAATGATTGCCCAACATCCAAGCAATAAGTTACTCATCGTGATGGGACAACGGCGACAAAAAGCATCGATAGATCCGAGTAATTGAGAAGGTAAATGAAGAACAATCTCATCATGGTTTTGTTCGCTCGAAGTTTTTTCAGTATTGGTAATCAGATGTTGAAAAGCCGATGTCAAATAGCACGGTTCCTTGAGATCTTGCAAATAAGTCTGCCAGAATGTTTTGATATTGTTTAAGTATTCGGTTTTTTGCGTTTCAATGTATTGGATAAATTCACCGTATTGAGATCCTCGACAAATGAATTGATGACGTCGATCATAAGCTTTCAAAAACTGTTCGAGTACTAGCGGAGTACTCCATCCGTCGAGAAGGATATGATGATGCGTGAAAACAAGTAAATATTCACCAGAGGATAACTTGATTAATGTAATGCGGCACAAGGGTGCTGCATGGAGATCAAATAGTTGACCACGATCAGCTATTAAGAAATCGTTCAGTTTCGTTCGTTCGACAGACCAGTCGAGAAAATCAAAGGGGATCCGAATACCAACAGGTTCTACTCGTTGATATAGTCCAGCAGTCGCATCCCAATGAAAACTCGATCGAAGTATGTCGTACGAATCGATCAGTATTTGCCATGCATTCAGCACACGCTGTGTATCGACGATACCGCTCAATTTGAACACACCTTGAACTAGATACTCATCCGAATGTGGATACTGCAAACAGCGGTATAACATCCCTGACTGCATAGGTGATAAAGGATAAGATACGACTGGAATACAACTAATTGGTTCTGACGTCGAACAACTCAGTTGAAAGTTACTTATTTCTTGGATAGCTGTTGAAAAATTCTTCACTAATTGTTCGATTGTCTTAGATTCAAAATGATTCTGACTGTAAGTAACATAGACATGTAACTGATCGTCTATGATATAACTTTCGAAATCAATCAACCGTTGACGATGATTCATTGGCCCAATCTTGTCAAGTGCTGGACAACCTTTTGTTTCAATTAACTGTCGATCACTCTTAGTCTTCCATATTCCAAGATAATTAAATAGTATATCTGGCTCGGGCAATGCTGCGAGAACGTCGTGTATGTTGGCATTTTCATTTAAATATTTCAGTAGACCAAAACCGAAACCTCGATTAGGGACAGCTTGCAGTTGATCATGCACATTTCTCAAATGGTGTATACTCAGTTGTTGATGAGTGCAGTTAAAGTCGAAGAAAATGGGAAATTCTGTTGTAAACCATCCGATTGTTCGAGATATGTCCACGTCAGCGTCAACCGCTTCTCGCCCATGCCCTTCTAAAACCAAATAGAATTGATCGTGATGACACCACAATCGAAGACTGAATAGTAATGCTGTCAAAAGGGCGTCGTATATGGTGATACTGTAGGATGAAAGCATAGGTAATAGAAGATCTGTAACTTTTTGATCTAGTGTTGTGTGCACAACACTACTCTGCTGCATAGTGTTCGTTCCGTGATCGAAGTCACGTGGTATTTGTGCGGCATTTTTCGACTTTGAATTCATCTGAGACCAGAATTCAAATTCATCTGTAATCGTGGTAGATTGAGCTTCGTTTACTAGAGCTGCAGCCCATTCTGAAAATGAGTCTGATGTAGAAGGTGACATTTCGTTACGACCGAAACAGTGTGAGTTTAGTATATCTTCGAGATCTTCGGTGAAAATTCTCCAAGACACGCCATCAACTACCAAATGATGTATAACAATGTAAAGTCTCAGCCCGACATCGTCACCAATTGATACTAAAAGAGCATGCCAAAGTTTGCCAATAGTAATATCAAGAGAACTATCAGCATGTTCAATTTTATTTGCTAAGATAACATCTCTTTCATTTGCAGGCAAATTTACTAAATTTAGAAGTTCTAGGCTTGTTTCGAGATTAACGGTTGAGGAATCGAAACATGGCAGATGTAACCAACGATTTGAAGTTTCATCTTTGTAATACTTTGAAAATAGACCTGGATGTTTGCGTACTAATTCGAACAAACCTTCTTTGGCATGACTAGACTTGATTTCGATGGGAAATGTCATTAAAGCACATTGACTCCAATGGTTGAAGTTCTCGAAATTTTGTTCGAAAAACCATTGTTGGATAGGCGTAAGTGGAATAACACTATTTTCGTTAGTCGTTGCTTTTTTTTCACGACAGTTTTGACTTGCATATGAAACTGACGAATCCTTTGGCAATAAAGGTTGAAGTTCATCTGCTAATTTCCGAATTGTCGGCGACCGGAATAGCTGATTAGTTGTCATCGGTATTCGATACATTCGCCGAATGCTGGAAATCAGTTGAATGGCCAAGATCGAATCACCTCCGAGTTGAAAAAAATTGTCATTGAGACAAATCGTAGTTCGATGCAGGACACGTTGCCATATATTAAGAAGATCTTTCTCAAGACGAGTTTCGGCTTGAATTTGATTTTCATCTGATACTCGGTCTAGAAGTCGATCAACGTCATTCGGCATTGGTAATGCCTTTCGATTGACTTTTCCGTTAGGTAAAAATGGAAAACATTCCAAGATAACGTAGGCATTTGGCACCATATAAGCTGGTAGATGTTTCATAGCATGATCACGAAGGGTACGGCGAACTGCTTGTTTCTTCTCACTGTCGAATTCGGTCCTGAGAAGAACATAAGCAACAAGTGAGATCTGTTCAGCATTGTCTTTTTGAGCCATTATGATTGTTTGCCGTATTTCAGGTACTTTCGACAGAATGCATTCGATTTCGGTCAATTCAATCCGATAGCCACGCACTTTGATCTGCTCATCTATACGACCAACAAATTGGAGTGTCCTTCCATCAGAAAGATAACGTACAAGATCTCCTGTTTTATACAGGCGATTATTACTCAAATGTTTCTTAAATGGATTTACAAGAAATCGTTCGTCCGTCAATGTTGGATTATGTAAATAACCTCGAGCTACCGATGGTCCACCAACAAAAAGTTCACCTGTAACACCGCATGGAACGTGCATAAAATGCGCGTCAAGTACATATATTTCAACTCCGGGGAAAGGAATGCCAATGGGAACTGTTGCAGTTTCATTGTTCCAAGTTAATGTATTACATTCGAAGTATGTCGAATCAATTGTTAGCTCAGTAAGACCATAAGAGCTGACAAGTCGTGCTCCAGCACGTAAGCTTTTTCTGATATTTTCATATTCATCTATCGACCACTTTTCCGATCCGCAGATCATCAACGATAGCGATGCCAGATGGCGTTGTCTCTCAACAAGACTGGTATTCTCAATAATAGCACGCACACTTGCAGGAACGAATTCAGCGCATGTTATACGTTCACGTTCAATGAGAGTCAATAATTCTTTTGGTTGAAATAGAGTTTCTCTAGGACAAAGAATCAAACAACCACCGAAGCAGAGAGATCGAACGATATCTCCAACAAATACGTCAAAGGCGACATTTGCCATGGAAAGATGGTGCATTTCTGGAGATAATCGATAAATGGTTTTCCATGCCTGAGCAATATTCTGTAGACTTCTGTGTTCGATCATCACTCCTTTTGGAGCACCAGTCGAACCTGATGTGTATATAACATAAGCTAAATTATGATTTCTCACCGTTGGCAGGTGCTGGTCATCATCAAATCGAGTATTCTCTGGATTCTTCAACACGTCAAGTTCGATAATCGTACAAGTACCATGATCGATCATCAAATCAGAAAACACAGGTAACGTTTTGTCGATGACCATAAATTGACAGCGACTGTGCAGAAGCATGTCACGGATTCGTGGTGATGGATGTTGATTGTCGATAGGTAGAAATACACCACCTGCTTTGAGTATAGCAAGAATCGTAGATACAACATCAGAAGATCGATTAAGACATACAGCAACGATTGTGTCGGTATCTACACCGTACTGAGCAAGTGTTGCAGCCATTCTATGCGACTGCATGTTAAGTTCTGCATACGAAAGAATATGATTAAGATCTGAAACGGCACGAGCGTTTGGACGAAGTGCGGCTTCGCGTTCGAACATCTGGTGTACAAGTAGCGTGTCATCATACTTCTGAGTTTGGTATGTATCTTTCATCTCAAAGGTATAGATATTCAGTTGTGAGATTGGAATTTGTAAATTTTGAACCATTGATTCAAGTAATTTGACGAGATTATTTCCAATGGAGACAACTGTAGATTCATGATAAAGTCCTGGATTATAATCGAATTCAAGAACCAAAGAACGATATGTATCGTTGATCAACCACAAACATTCCTCGTGCACGGTTACAAACATATCATACAAACAAGTGGTACGTGGTACATGATGCATAGACACTTGAACTTGTTCGCCGAGAATAAAACTATTTACCGGAGAAGACGATGCATACTCGACATTGAAAACCATTTGAAAGATTGGGTTATAATTAAGTGCGCGATTGACTTCCAGTTGATCAATTATCTGTTCGAACGTTACATCTTGGTGTGCATAAGCTTCGATGAGTGTTTCATTGATTTGACGAAAGAATTCGATGAAGTTCAGTTGATTGCCACAGGACATACGTACAGGAAGAATACTAACGAAGGAGCCAAGCATATTATCAACATACGGATATTGTCGATTAGCAACGGGAATTCCAATAATAACATCATCCTGGTGTGTGTATCGATATACTAGAATACCAAAAGCTGTGAGCATCAGTGTGAAAAGTGTCGTGCCGAATTGTTCAACCATACTCAGAAGAGTGTTAGTAAGAAATTGTGGAAGAGGAAGTTTTACAGTTGCACAGCGATGTTTCATTGTCACTGGTCGAACAGCATAATCGCTGGGGAATACAGATGTGTCCGGTGCCTCGTGAAGTTTCGTTTTCCAATAATTGAATTGTTCGTCAACAATCTTACCTTTTAACCATCGATGCTGCCAAACTGCAAAATCAGCATAATGAAATCGAACTGGTTGGATCAACGGTGGTGCGGTCGACTCATCTTCTCCCCATATATTGTAAAACGACGATAATTCTCGAAGAAAAATTCGTAAGGACCATGTATCCATGATGGTCGGATGAAAAACTAGGACGAGCATATGTGTCGACTCGTTGATACGATAGGCAGTTGTTCTCAGGAGAGGACCATATTCTAACGAAAAAGGTTTGTCTAGTTCATCTCGAATTAAATCATTTAGACATTTTTCATCATTGACAGTATCGATAAATTGAAATGCAAGTTTCATTTGGGAATACGAAACGATCATTTGCTCACGATGCTTAACATGTGTATCCTGTGCTTTATTTTCATCATTTTTCTCGATACGTTCTACAAACACAGTGCGTAGTTCTTCGTAACGCTCGATCATATAGGCTAGCGCAGCTCGAAAGCGAGCTACATGAAACGGACCATGCACTCGCAATGTAATATGAAAATTGTCTGCATGATCTACACACCAGCGTTTTTCTTGTTGATATGCCATTGGGAGTGAAGAAGTGCGATCAAATCGTTGCATAACGGTTGAATTGTACTTGCAAGCTGTATTTTGAAGCTGTATATGCGTACACAGAGCACTCAATGAAGCATCGCGTATCAGTTGGCTGAATTCTAATTCTACTTGATGTTGCTTACGTAATTGTACAATAAGTTGCATAGCAAGAAGTGAATGTCCACCAAGAGAAAAGAAATTGTCATTCATACCGATCTGTTGAAGAGACAGAAGATCGCACCATATCTTTGCAATTATTTGCTCGATTTCAGTTGCCGGTTCAATGTAAACATTAGCTTGAACAAAATCGCTTGTAACAGCATCTGGTAGGAGATTTCGATCAATCTTCCCACTCGGTGTTAGTGGAAAATCAGCAAGGAGCACGAAAGCGTTCGGTAGCATATAGTCAGATAGAGTTCGTTTTAATTGCTCATAGAGTAGAGAGATTAGTTTAGTTTTCGAATAGGAATATTCCATGTTTCTTTTGACATAAGCAATTAATACATTACCATCATTGGAAGATAGGCAACGTGCGAGTACAATGACATCTTCTATGATAGATGTAGCTATGAGAGCTTTTTCAATTTTTCGTAAAGAAACCGTGTGACCTGGTGTTTCCACTTGATCGATAGTGCGACCTATGAACTGTAGGTAGCCACTGAGTGAGCAGCAAACAATATCACCTGTACCAGTACCGTCAATGTATAACTCTCCGTGTGAAGCGAGTTGGTGGTCATTCGAAAGGATGTATGCTGCACCATTCATAATAGGCTCTCCAATTGGAACGTAGTCGTCTTCATTATTGGATCCGAATGGATAAGCGTGACTATAAACTTCGTCGTGTCCGTAAACATTGAGTAGTGTTGCTTGAGGAAATGTATGAATAAATTGAGTTGCCACAGAAGTTGGCAAAGGTTCGCCACTTGAGATCATCAATGACAGTGCACTCCAATCAATCATAGTGGATTTTTGCAATTTCACTAGAAGCTTCAGAAGCGATGGAGTCATTGTTAGACGGTTAACACTATATTTGATCATTAACTTGATCATTTCCAATGGATTGTTTTCGACGTGTGACGGAATCACCAGTAACGGTATACCTTGGAGCAATCCTCCTAAAGTTTCCCATAATAAATCTGAGAAACTTAGTGCAGTCTTGTAGCAACAAACATCACGTTCAATTACGAATGGATAGTGTTGCCACATCCATTCAAAGCGATTTTTCAAGTTCTTTATTGTTCCTAAGATTCGCTTTGGAGAATCTGCTGATCCAAATTTATAAAAAATATAACCGATCGTAGTTGGTTCATCTACTATATGTTTCGCCTTCACAGCACGCACATTGTCTGCATCAGAATAATCAGATTCCGTATTGAAATATATTATATGCACCTGATCTTTATAATCATATTCGAGAAAATCGTACGGTTTCTCAGACAATATCCAGTTGAGACCAGTATCCTGTACAATGTAATGAAGCTGTTCTATTGAATAAGTTAAGCCGAGTGGTACTATCGTACAGTTCATTTTCAATAGAGTTATTAGACATACGATCGAATCGATTGAACGGCACACATTAACACCAACAAGATTCTGTTGGTCGATCCCATGACGTTTCAATTGAGCTTCCAATTTGTGAATACGTTCGTTAAGATCAGCAAAGGTTTCCCGTCTAGCACCATATATCAACGCTGTACTGTTTAGTACGTTTTGAACTAGACGATCAAGAGTTTCTTCAATCCAATTCATCACTGTAGAGCAAAAATCATAATTTCCCCAGCATGTACCTTCAAAATTTTTTGTCCTCAAAGTAGCTCTGAAACGAAGAATATTTCACGACGTTAAAAACTACTTTCTTTTAGATATTCCCAACAGAAAAAACCGAGCGCTGAATGCATCTACACTTACGAGTTACTCAGTGGAATCGTTTCTATTAGAGAATACTACTTTCATACGAATCAGTCGACGAGAAACAATCTACTGCAGTATAGTTAAGTACGCTCCGACGAAATGAAAGCACAAAAGCCTCTTTTACTTTCGCTTCATTTTTCATCTCACGAAAGCAAAAGAACACTTCACTGTATTTTGTTTATTCACCATTGGTTGAGCATCACGCGTATGCAACACTCTAACAAAAAAAATGTACCTCGCACTAGTTCCGTGGAGTATATGGCTCAAACAAGTAACATGCTACAATGCTTCTGGAGATTAACTTCGTTATGCGAAAATGTCTCGATACAGATGAAAACATCAGTTAACCTCCTCTCCTAAAGAAAAGTTTGCGAACTTCGATCTCTGTGAAAGGGCAAAAAAAGAACATTTGTGTTTGTATAGCACACACACACACATGGGTGAGAAAAAACCATTGTTTATTTTTTCTATTCTGTATAGACGATCAGTTTGAATTGGAATTTCACTGAGAAAATGACGTATTCTCAATTATTGCAAACACGAATCTAGTGTAATATTCATAACCAGAGCGTACGTTATCAAGTTGAAAAAAATTGATCTTTATCACATAAGAATATCCGTTTTTATTTTTTAATTAAGTTATTTGCTTGTAAACAATATCCTATAAGCTGGGGTTAAAGAGAAAGGATTTTTATTGTTGACATAGAGATGTTTCTGTTTTCATAGGGAGACTCTTTTCCATCTCTTATAATAATTATTCATCACATTGTATATGGTGAGACAAGATAATTAGAATTTATAATTGCAAAAAAAATGAAGAGTGTTCATTCCGATAGAACAACGAAAGTCTTTTTATATCCTCAAAAAACCTCTATCTCACATCAACAACAGCTCTACAGACAAGATGATGAGCACTGTTGCGTTTGTGCTTAACATCATTGCACTAATTATCGATCTATGTACCTGTGTGATTATATTGTTCATTATGGGTATCATCATTTACCATATTGTTTGTAAAAATCTCAAACAAGAAGATCGAGTAGTTAGTTGTGTTTGTTTAACAATCTATCCTGTGATTTTTCTTTTCACCATAATCGCAGTTTCATTTCACATTCAAACACTTCTCGGTGATCTATACGGGAAAACGTTCAATTCAGCATCATGTACTCCCATTGGATATATATCTTATATTCTTCTCAACATGTTTTACTGGGCTTTTATCAATCAAGCTCTATTCCGTCTCTGTCGAATCAGCTATTCGCGATACCAATATCTTCAATCTTTCTGGTTTTACATAAGTTTATCTCTGATTGAACTAGTTTTCAGTATCATTGTTTTATCTCCACTTCTGTTCTGGCATGCCATTGTTTATCTAACAGAGGATTTCTATTGTTATGTGAAATTCACACATACTCGAGGCATACTCTGGCTTGCATTCGGTATTTACGGAATTCCACTTTCAGTATTATCGTTGATCTATTTACGTATTGTCATCTTTCTTCGTCGACAACCAAAGAATTTAGCAGTAATCGTCCAACAAAAGCAACAACGAGATTTAGTCGTTTTCCAACGTATTCTCGTAACTATCGGTATTCTAGTCATTCTTGGAATCGCACCAATCATCTTCTTAATAATGGCACAGATAACCGGTGAAGACTATTTCCTCGCTTTTCGACTTATCTGGCCTTTTATTAGTTTGACGATGATTGGATCAAGTTTAGCATTGCTTCTATTTACACCACAATTAAAACATATGATTTTAGAAATACTCCATCGAACTCAAATAGTACCTTTTGACAGTGCTGCAGTGAACTCAGTCGAACAGCAACGCGTTACAACAAGAGTATAATTATGTATGTAGGTGTTTTTCGATCGAAACAGAACTATGAAAATCAACCATTTACACTCGACACGGTTTGTTCAGCGTTTACTTCGCAGTAATAAGCCATACCTACGAATTTCTTTCTAATAAAACATCAATTAAGTTATTCATATTCGTGATATACACCCGCGTCGTCTTGCACTTTTTTCTTCGAGAACGTACTGTTTGATAACGAGGAAGATATTAATATCAGCATATATTTATAGAATTGAAGTTGACGCACATGTAGACAAGTATGCGTAAAATCGAGAAAAATCAACATCGCACAAGAACAGAATAGAAACGATCGCGCACAACTACCTGCTGACGTCGTTTATTTGTTGTGACGAACAAGGCAATCAATGATAGAAAAAAGGAAGCGCACAAGTCGATGCGTTCGCACGACAGATGAGTCACACGCTTGCCAGTAGATAAATACACCTTGTAATTATAATTTCAAACATTAATATATTTTTTCCAATCGTCTGAAACTTGCTACACAGCAAAATTGTAACTGTGTGTTTCGTCTCGGCATAATAAAAATGAATAATAATTCAAGTAACCTTGAACGGTGTGCAGATGCCGATAAAGACAATCTGCAAAAACCGGATATTTATCTTCGCCATCTACCATGTCCCGAATCGATTCCACAACAAGCATTCACTTTCTTCGAAAAGATTCGTGAGAACCTCTCACGAACGATTCAAGTTGGTGAATATCATCCAGGTTTTATTCTCTGGTCGAAAAAATTGAAAGAATTCATTTCACTCTACGGATTCTCGTTTACCAAAGAGGATCATATCAAACTAATTAAATTGTACTTATCGATTATATCTTCAACTGATATAAGTTATTCGGTTGCACAGATCTGCTTCGATTCGCTGATAGAACTGTTACAGTACGTAGATACTTTTTTCTCTCACTTCTTCCACATTGAATCATTTCGTCTCTCAGGAAGATTGAATTGCTCACTCGAGATGATTTGACAATTGATTGGTGGATATTTTATCGATGGGTGAAACGTATTAAAAATCATCAACACAAAACTTTTGTCATGGTACCATCATTAAAGTTAGTATATTTGTCAATTACCGAAAGTAAATGGTTAACTCTTCGATTGTTGTTCGTTTCCATAGAGAATTTGAAACAGTCATTCTTCACTGTACACAAAGTTGTTCGCCATACTTTTCATCGACGGCGACTCAAGAACTCCTCGATGAATTTTGTCCACATCTATGTCCTTTTGATCGAATTGCAATTTGTGATACCATGCAAATATTTGACTATTTCCTACCGATGAACTTACCACCACACCTACATGATCAAGGATTCAAGTAAGCTCATTCGTGGGTTCCTTTTGTCAACGTCTGACCGTCTTACTACTCGTCTTAGATTATGGTTACCAGAATTCTTTAATCTTTGGGAGAATATCAATAACGAAACTATATGGGAAGCGGTAAGTTTAATTAAAATAACGATGAGTTCATTATTTGTTCGAATGGATTCATTTTAGTATCTTGTTAATCTTTTCTCACGACTTGCTTGGTACAATATCGGCTATATCGACTGGACACCATGGTTAAATCAGGTTTGATTATTTTCCTCTTGCATTTATGTTACTTAAGTTTTTTCGATTACAGATTTTTACACATTTTCTTCGAGGTTTTTCATTACCTATCGGTAAAACCCAAAAAACAACAAAGAAATTCATCTATTCAATGGGTGATGTCGCACAATGGATTGTCGCTATGATAGGCAATGGCAGCTCTTGTCTCGAACATCTTCAGGATTTACTCACGGCTGTGCGAAGTTTTTATTATCCATCGAACACGGGATATTTTCAGAAACAACTTGTTGAGTTTCTTTTCGAGNTCGTTCTGGATCAAACGTTTTGTACGTGATTCCGATATAACAATTTTCGCATAGCATCGACCGACTTAAGAATGATCTATGTTCTCGACGCTAACGTTAATAGTGGAGAGTGTTGTTTCACGCTGCCGTTAACATAGCGTGTAGAACGGATGAGATCGAGAATTTTTCTTGTTCTAAAGCGAGTTGTATATTTGTATGTATAATGTGGACAGCAAAGATGGAACGAATCGGTTCGACGTCCCACAAACCCATTCTCTGGTCAAATCTACGGTAATCCAGCATAGCAACTACCAATCATTCTGTGTTCGTATGCTTTTAAAATTAATGTTTCTATGGTGATGCGCCATGACGTTTACATAAATATAAGCACTTGTTTGCTAATGATCGTAGAGATGCTAGACAGGTTTTTCGAAACATCATGCTCAAATAATAATTGATGTAAAATGACATGCCATACTTTGCGTAATAAATGACAACGCTCACTTGTAGAATAAGATATTCGATCTGTTGTCGTTCCACGCTCTTCTTTGCCGAACTAGTAAGCATCGAGTATGTGTACGTGGCAGTACGTTGAGCTTCTATTACACTTGCCAGAAACGCATATGGAAATATCATGAGAAGCAGTTGACGATTCGTTCGTTGAACGGCAAGTATTCGATCATCAGGGATGGAAACAGTCGCAACACGACGTTTGGATTGTTGTAGATGCTTCCAGGTCATGATACCAAACATGATCATGCCACTATGAGGAAGGAGAGCAACGAAAATGTTACCGTACAGCGAAGATATAATTGCTTGAAAGCCAGGCAATGATGCACACGTACCATTACGAATGTCGAATATGAATAAATGAAAGCTGCCTAAGAGTAACAAGAAGAGCATGGTGAGAATGAGAGCACGCTGAGCAAACTGAATCGAACTCAGTCGCCGCCAACGATCAAGTGATGATGTGGACGCACATCGATCGAATGCTGCCAGCAAAACACACGTCGATGCCATTGCTGGTAAACATACGAGAAGATAAGTACGCATTTTGCAAATACTACTGTTTATCAAAGAGACATTATTTCCGAAGTACTCAGTGGAAAAACGTAGTATGATACCGAAATTGCTAAAACATATATCGAATAGTGACGAGCAAATGAGATAAAGGACGCAGGCTCTCGTTCGAAAGTCTTTCGAGAAAAATGTAATAAGATTGAGTACATTGCCAATGTTGCCTAGGATTAGTACTGTGAACAGACTGTAGATAACGAAATAAGAGGTGATTTCTGGTAGAGATGCCATGACGATCGAGAATACTGAAAAAAGGATTTTGAAATTCAGATCTATAAAGCTTGACGAATGAGACTATCGAAGCGTGAAATAGCAACAAATGGAACAAATGGGAAAGCTTTTTAAAGTTCTTTTTTTTCCTTTTAATTGCTTCGTGAAGAATGTATTCTCAGTTCATTTATATCCATCGGTACTTTACCTTTTTAAGCATGCACCAATTAATATTTCTTTTTTATTCGGAAAATAGAGAACTTCGTTCATTATTAAGAAAGAGCAGGTATAATTATGAAAAAGTTGGTCTAATCTGAATCCTAATGTTCATGAGTGTAAGAAAAATCGAAGTAGTTTCTAAACAGAGTCATGTCTTGTTCATCGTTATTTTTCTCAGCTATGTCGCGAGCACTTTGCCCATGAATATCTTTTTTGCTGAGGTCAACTTTGTTGGCACATTGACGCTTTAGAATGTCGAAAATCTTGCCATCGTTCAAATGTGCAGCCCAGTGTACAACAGTTCGTCCGTGATCATCTTGCGCATTGATATCTGCGCCGAGTTCGATGAAGCGTTGCAGCAGAAAATAATCCTGGTGATGAGCGGCATGTAACAGATGTCGAGATTCACATGACAGATCGAACTTTACCAAGACAGGATCAGCTGTTGCAGTTGACAACGCATATTTCAATCGAGTGACTATCTGTTCAACATTTTCACTAGCGAACATTTTACTATGTTCGCAATGCACGCTGAAGACCTCGATTTCAGATTGAATTATATTTTTACATCCATTGAACGGATCGATGAAATCTGTGTCATTCGTATTATGATTGACAGAAGCTTTGATCAAAACGACACGTCCGAAATAAGACCGCGGTTCGTACTTTGACGATAAGATAACGTTATTTTTTATTTCATTTGCTAAATACTCGGCTTCTTTTGAGCATAATTCTACACCTTGATTAGTAACGTACTTGCGAAGAGATTGCTCAAATGCTTCATCATCGCATATATTGAATTCACGATATGTTTCAGTTAGGTACGAATCTAATAGGATGAGAACTTCGGTACCTTCACCGAGTTTTTCAAGTTGACAGGCCATTTCAAAGGCAACTTTACCTCCAAAACTCCATCCGCCGAGACGGTAAGGACCTTTTGGTTGTTTTTTCCTGATTAATGATATGTAAAACGTAGCCATACTTTCAATATTATTGAACTTATTCTCAGCATCCGTAAACATTGGGTCATTCAAAGCAATGATAGTGTGTTGTTCTTTGAAATACGGTGCCAATGAAGAATATATGAATGAAATACCTTCTATCGCATGGATCAAGAAGAGAGGCGTTTCGTCTGTTCCCGAACAGATCGACAACACCGAATCGTCATTAGTCTCTCGAAGTTCTTGATTGATATATTTACTCAATTTCTCAATAGTCGGGTTGGCAACGATGGATGTTACGGTAATAGTACGCGTAAAGACTTGTTTGATTTGAATAATCATTGAAATGATTAACAAGGAATGCCCTCCTAAATCGAAGAAATTCTCGAGTATTCCGAAGTTGTTTGTGCCTAAAATTGACGACCATATCTGATGGAGACGAAATTCAGTTAAATTTCGTGGATAAACGTGATTTGTCTCATGGGTTTTCCAATAGCTGCTGTCTCTAGCGAGATTCATAAGGAATGTTGAATCGACTTTGTCGTTTGTCGTCAAAGGAAACTGATCTATAAAGACATACAGTTGAGGTCGCATATATTCCGGTAATGTAGAATTGAGATGATTACGTAAATCCAATTCAATTTGTGAGTGATTTTCTCGGAGGCCGCCGATGAAAGCAATTAGTTTCGACGTGCTGTCCGTACTTTTTAGTACATGGATTTGAGTCAGGTTCAAATACGATTTGATTTGATACTCGATTTCACCTAGTTCCACACGGTAACCACGAATTTTTACTTGATGATCGACTCGACCTGCACACTGTACATCCATGGTCGACAAATAATACACCAGGTCGCCTGTTCGATACACGCGTGTCTTCGTACTTGCAAGTTCAATTTCAACAAAACTTCTGTGGGTCAGATCAACACGATTTAGATAACCTCTAGCAAGACTGAACCCACCAATGCATAGTTCGCCAATGAGTCCGCTTGGTAAAACTTCGTTGTTTCTATCCAGAATATAGAACGCTGCATATGGAAAGGGCTTGCCGACCGGTAGACCCTTTTCGTGTATTGCCACACTAGTAATACTATTTGCATCAGCAAGAAACTCCGAAACGCCCACGGTGGTTTCGGTTGGACCGTATTCGTTGAAAATTTTGTGGTGAGAAAACTTCTTAAGCCATTGACGCACGGAATCTACGGGTAGGATCTCTCCGCCAATAACGAACGTAGTTAAATATGGCAGTTGGATCTGATCATCGTTACATAGAGCATTGGCCATCTGTATGAAAAAACTTGGTGTGCATTTGATTAGCTGGATGCGATTTTGTACGAGATGATCATGGAATTTGAAAATATCACGTTTGATGTCATCATTGCAAATGATCACAGTTCCAGCAGTTAGCATAGGAATTAACGTACTTGTGACGGACAAGTCAAATGCTATTGACGATGAGAAATCATAGAGCATGCCGTCAGTCAGTGAATAGCGATGTTGTAATGAATCGCGGTACCATAAAATGTTTTGATGCTCAATGAGAACGCCTTTTGGAAGTCCAGTCGAGCCAGATGTATAGATTACATAAGCGAGACTACGAGAAGTAGCAGGTTCGTATCCGAAAGATAGGATGTATTCGAATGTTGTATCCGCGTCATCGTTGCTTTCGAGTAAAATAGCGTCTATCTGGCATACAGCAACTTGTGTAGATAGACGTGTTTGGCATTCGGACATTCGTTGTTCTGAGTCGATAAGTACGAGATGCGTTTTTGTATCGTTAACAATGAAGAGGAGACGTTCTAAGGGTGTCGCAATGTCTACTGGCACATAGGCACCACCAGCTTTCAAGATCGCCAGAATCAGAATAAAGAAATTAATGGATCGATCGCATGAAATGACAACGAGATCGTCCGGTTTTTGTATATATCCTTTAAGGATAAAAAATTGAGCCAGACGATCTGCCACTTTGTTTAGTTCACCATAACTAATGGATCTCTGATTATGAACGATAGCTATGCGTCTCGAATAGCACTTCGCAACGTCCTCTATGAGTCCATGAACAGTCGAATTCGGCTTTCGTTTGTACCAAGGATTCTCGACTGTTTGATTGTTCCACATTACCAATTGTTCATTCAGCTCTTCATTCGATAAAAGACGAACATGTTGCGGCGAACAATTTGGCTCAGTGACAATATTTTCTAAAACGTTCAGATAGTGTTCTGCTAGACGTTTGACAATCGATGTTGACGACGGAAAATATTTTGTTTTATAGTTGAGAGCGAGTCGAGTAGTTTTATCATCGAAAGTAATACATACAGTAAGAGGATATTCTGTCTTTTCGATTTCACCCAGAGCATGTTGATCGCATTTCAAAGAATAAGTATGCCGTTTCGAAATGTCAGGATAGTTTTCAATGATAAACAGAGTATCGAAAAGTGGTTGTCCATTGCCCAGTTTCCCCCACGATTGAATCTCGCCCAATGATACGGCAGTACCCATTTCTTGTAGACGACAAAGTTGTTCTTGAATGGAAATCAACATATCGATTGATTGGTTGTAAGCTGTAGATATATACAGAGGTATTGTATTGATAAAAATACCGATGCTATGTTCGATAGATGCAACTGGCACAGTGCGACCCGAAATTGTTATCCCGAATGCGATATCTATACGTTGCAAGTATCGTGAGAGAATGATTGCCCAGCAACCAAGCAATAGGTTACTCATCGTAATCGGACAACGACGACAAAATGCATCGATAGATTCGAGTAATTGAGAAGGTAAATGAACAACAATTTCATCATGGTTTTGCTCGCTCGAAGTTTTTTCAGTGTTGGTAATTAGATGTTGAAAAGCCGATGTCAAGTAGCACGGTTCCTTGAGATCTTGCAAATAAGTCTGCCAAAATGTTTTGATATTGTTAAAGTATTCGTGTTTTTGCGTTTCAATGTGTTGGATAAAATCACCGTATTGAGATCCTCGACAGATGAATTGATGACGTCGATCGTAAGCTTTCAAAAACTGTTCGAGTACTAGCGGAGTACTCCATCCATCGAGAAGGATATGATGATGCGTGAAAACGAGCAAATAGTCATCGGACGATAACTTGATTAATGTAATGCGACACAATGGTGCCGTATGAAGATCAAATAGTCGACCGCGATCAGCTATTAAGAAATCATTCAGTTTCGTTCTTTCGACAGACCAGTCGAGAAAATCAAAGGGAATCCGAATACCAACAGGTTCTACTCGTTGATACAGCCCAGCAGTCGTATCCCAATCAAAACTCGATCGAAGTATGTCATACGAATCGATCAATATTTGCCATGCATTCAGCACACGCTGTGTATCGACGACACCGCTCAATTTGAACACACCTTGAACCAGATATTCATCCGAATGTGGATACTGCAAACAGCGATATAACATGCCCGACTGCATAGGTGATAAAGGATAAGATATGACTGAATTACAACTAATTGGTTCCGATGTCGAAGAGCTCAGTTGAAAGTTACTTATTTCTTGGATAGCTGTTAAAAAATTCTTCACTAATTGTTCGATTGTCTTAGATTCAAAATGATTCTGGCTGTAAGTAACATACGCATGTAACTGATCGTCTATGATATAACTTTCGAAATCAATCAACCGTTGACGATGATTCATTGGCCCAATCTTGTCAAGTGCTGAACAACCTTTTGTTTCGATTAATTGTCGATCACTCTTGGTCTTCCATACTCCAAGATAATTGAATAGTATATCTGGCTCGGGCAATGCTGCGAGGACGTCGTGTATGTTGGCATCTTCATTTAAGTATTTCAATAGACCAAAACCGAAACCTCGATTAGGGACAGCTTGCAGTTGATCATGTACACTTCTCAAATGGTGTATGCTCAGTTGCTGATGAGTGCAAGTAAAGTCGAAGAAAATGGGGAATTCTGTTGTAAACCATCCGATTGTTCGAGATATGTCCACGTCAGCATCAATCGCTTCTCGACCATGTCCTTCTAAAATCAAATAGAATTGATCGTGATGACACCACAATCGAAGACTGAATAGTAATGCTGTCAAAAGGGCATCGTACATGGTAACACTGTAGGATGAAAGCATAGGCAATAGAAGATCTGTAACTTTTTGATCTAGTGTCGTGTGTACAACGCTACTCTGCTGCATAGTGTTCGTTCCGTGATCGAAATCACGTGGTATTTGTGCGGCATTTTTCGACTTTGAATTTATCTGAGACCAGAATTTAAACTCATCCGTAATCGTGGTGGATTGAGCTTCGTTTACTAGAGCTGCAGCCCATTCTGAAAATGAGTCTGATGTAGAAGGTGAAATTTCGTTACGACCGAAGCAGTGTGAGTTCAGTATATCTTCGAGATCTTCAGTGAAAATTCTCCAAGACACGCCATCAACTACCAAATGATGTATAACAATGTAAAGTGTCAGCCCGACATCGTCACCAATTGATACCAAAAGAGCGTGCCAAAGTTTACCAACAGTAATATCAAGAGAACTATCAGCTTGCTCGATTTTATTTGCTATGATAAAATCTCTTTCATTTGCAGGCAAACTTATTAAATCTAGAAGTTCTAGGCTTGTTTCGAGATCAACGGTTGATGAATCGAAACACGGCAGATGTAACCAACGATTTGATGTTTCATCTTTGTAATACTTTGAAAATAGGCCCGGATGTTTGCGTACTAATTCAAACAAACTTTCTTTGGCCTGGCTAGACTTGATTTCTACGGGAAATGTCATTAAAGCACATTGACTCCAATTGTTGAAGTTCTCGAAATTCTGTTCGAAAAACCATTGTTGAATAGGCGTAAGTGGAATAACACTATTTTCGTTAGTCGCTGCATTTTCTTTACGACAGTTTTGACTTGCATATGAAACAGACGAATCCTTTGGTAATAAAGTTTGAAGTTCTTCTGCTAATTTCCGAATTGTCGGCGACCGGAATAGCTGACTAGTTGTCATCGGTATTCGATACATTCGCCGAATGCTGGAAATCAGTTGAATGGCCAAGATCGAATCACCTCCGAGTTGAAAAAAAATTGTCATTGAGACAAATCGCAGTTCGATGCAGGACACGTTGCCATATACTAAGAAGATCTTTCTCAACAGGAGTTTCAGCTTGAATTTGATTTTCATCTGATGCTCGGTCTAGAAGTCGATCAACGTCATTCGGCATTGGTAATGCCTTTCGATTGACTTTTCCGTTGGGTAAAAATGGAAAAAATTCCAAGATAACATAGGCATTTGGCACCATGTAGCCTGGTAGATGTTTCATAGCATGATCACGAAGAGTACGACGGATTTCTTGTTTCTTCTCACTGTCGAATTCGGTTCTCAGAAGAACATAAGCAACAAGTGAGATCTGTCCAGCATTATCTTTTTGAGCCATTGTAATTGTTTGCCGTACTTCGGGTACTCTCGACAGAATGCATTCGATTTCGGTCAATTCAATTCGATAGCCGCGCACTTTGATCTGCTCATCTATACGGCCGACAAATTGAAGTGTTCTTCCATCAGAAAGATAACGTACAAGGTCTCCTGTTTTATACAGACGATTATTACTCAAAGTTTTCTTCAACGGATTCACAAGAAATCGTTCGTCCGTCAATGTTGGATTGTGTAAATAACCTCGAGCTACCGATGGTCCACCAACAAAAAGCTCACCTGTAACACCGCGTGGAACGTGCATAAAATGCGCGTCAAGTACATATATTTCAACTCCGGGGAAAGGAATGCCAATGGGAACTGTTGCAGTTTCATTATTCCAAGTTAATGTATTACATTCGAAGTATGTCGAATCAATTGTTAGCTCCGTAAGACCATAAGAGCTGACAAGTCGTGCTCCAGCGCGTAAGCTTTTCCTGATGTTTTCATATTCACCTATCGACCACTTTTCCGATCCGCAGATCATCAACGATAGCGATGCCAGATGGCGTTGTCTCTCAACAAGGCTGGTATTCTCAATAATAGCACGCACACTTGCAGGAACGAATTCAGCGCATGTTATACGTTCACGTTCAATGAGAGTCAATAATTCTTTTGGTTGAAATAGAGTTTCTCTAGGACAAAGAATCAAACAACCACCGAAGCAGAGAGATCGAACGATATCTCCAACAAACACGTCAAAGGCGACATTTGCCATGGAAAGATGACGCATTTCCGAAGATAATTGATAAATGGTTTTCCATGCCTGAGCAATATTCTGTAGACTTCTGTGTTCAATCATCACTCCTTTTGGAGCACCAGTCGAACCTGATGTGTATATAACATAAGCTAAATTGTGATTTCTCACCGTTGACAGATGCTGATCATCATTAAATAGAGTACTCTTTGAATTCTTCAATGTGTCAAGTTCGATAATCGTACAAGTACCATGATCGATCATCAAATCCGAAAAGACAGGTAACGTTTTGTCTATGACCATAAATTGACAGCGACTGTGCAAAAGCATATCACGGATTCGTGGTGATGGATGTTGATTGTCGATAGGTAGAAATGCACCACCTGCTTTGAGTATAGCAAGAATCGTAGATACAACATCAGAAGATCGATTAAGACATACAGCAACGATTGTGTCGGTATCTACGCCGCACTGAGCAAGTGTGGCAGCCATTCTATGCGATTGCATGTTAAGTTCTGCATACGAAAGAATATGATTAAGATCTGAAACGGCACGAGCGTTCGGATGAAGTGCGGCCTCACGTTCGAACATCTGATGTACAAGTAACGTGTCGTCGTACTTCTGAGTTCGGTATGTATCTTTGATCTGAAAAGTATCGATATTGAGTTGTGAGATTGGAATTTGTAAATTTTGAACCATTGATTCAAGTAATTTGATGAGGTTATTTCCAATAGAGACAACTGTAGATTCATGATAAAGTCCTGGATTATAATCGAATTCAAGAACCAAAGAACGATATGCATCGTTGATCAACCACAAACATTCCTCGTGTACAGTTACGAACATATCATATAAACACGTGGTACTTGGTACATGATGCATGGACACTTGAACTTGTTCGTCGAGAATAAAACTATTTATTGGGGAAGACGATGCGTACTCGACATTGAAAATCATTTGAAAGATTGGGTTATAATTAAGTGCGCGATTGACTTCTAGTTGATCAATTATCTGTTCGAACGTTACATCTTGGTGTGCATACGCTTCGATGAGTGTTTCATTGATTTGACGAAAGAATTCGACGGAGTTCAGTTGATTGCCACAGGACATACGTACAGGAAGAATATTAACAAAGGGGCCAAGCATATTATCAACATTTGGATATTGCCGATTAGCAACGGGAATTCCAATAATAACGTCATCCTGGTGTGTGTATCGATATACTAGAATACCAAAAGCTGTGAGCATCAGTGTGAATAGTGTCGTGCCGAATTTTTCAACCATACTCAAAAGAGTGTTAGTAAGAAATTGTGGAAGAGGAAGTTTTACAGTTTCACAGCGATGTTTCATTGTCACTGGTCGAACAGCATAATCGCTGGGGAATACAGATGTATCCGGTGCCTCATGAAGTTTCGTTTTCCAATAGCTGAATTGTTCGTCGACAATCTTACCTTTTAACCATCGATGCTGCCAAACTGCAAAATCAGCATAGTGAAATCGAACTGGCTGGATCATCGGTGGTGTGGTCGACTTATCTTCTCCCCACATATTGTAAAACGACGATAATTCTCGAAGAAAAATTCGTAAGGACCATGTATCCATGATGATCGGATGAAAAACTAGGGCGAGCACATGTGTCGACTCGTTGATATGATAGGCAATTATTCTCAGGAGAGGACCACATTCTAACGAAAAAGGTTTGTCTAGTTCATCTCGAATCAAATCATTTAGACGTTTTTCATCATTGACAGTATCAATAAATTGAAATACAAGTTCCATTTGAGGATACGAAACAATCATTTGCTCACGATGTTTAAAATGTGTGTCTTGTACTTTATTTTCATCATCATTTTTCTCGATACGTTCTACAAATACAGTGCGTAGTACTTCGTAACGCTCGATCATATCGGCTAGCGCAGATCGAAAGCGAGTGACATGAAACGGACCATGCACTCGCAATGCAATATGAAAATTGTCTGCATGATCTATACACCAGCGTTTTTCTTGTTGATACGCCATTGGGAGTGAAGAAGTGCGATCATATCGTTGCATAACGATTGAATTGTACTTGTCAGTTGTGCTTTGAAGTTGTACATGCGTACACAGAGTACTCAATGAAGCATCGCGTATCAGTTGGCTGAATTCCAATTCCACTTGATGTTGCTTACGTAATTGTACGATAAGTTGCATAGCAAGAAGCGAATGTCCGCCAAGACAAAAGAAATTGTCATTCATACCGACCTGTTGAAGAGACAGAAGATCGCACCATATTTTCGCAATTGTTTGCTCGATTTCAGTTGCCGGTTCAATGTAAACATTAGCTTGAATAAAATCGCTTGCAACAGCATTTGGTAGGAGATTTCGATCGATCTTCCCATTCGGTGTCAGTGGAAAATCAGCAAGGAGTACGAAAGCATTCGGTAGCATATAGTCAGGTAGAGTTTGTTTTAATTGCTGATATAGTAGAGAGATTAGTTTAGTTTTCGAATAGGAATAGTCCATGTTTCTTTTGACATAAGCAATTAATACATTACCATCATTGGAAGATAGGCAACGTGCGAGTACAATGACATCTTCGATGATAGATGTATCTATGAGAGCTTTTTCAATTTTTCGTAAAGAAACTGTATGTCCTTGTATTTGTACTTGATCGCTAGTGCGACCTATGAACTGTAGATAGCCACCGAGCGAGCAGCAAACAATGTCACCTGTACCAGTGCCGTCAATGTATAACTCTCCGTGTTGAGTCAGCTTGTGATCATCCGAAAGGATGTATGCTGCACCATTCGTAATAGGCTCTCCGATTGGAACGTAGTCGTCTTCACTGTTGAATTCCAATGGAAGAGCGTGACTATAAACTTCGTCGTGTCCGTAAACATTGAGTAGTGTTGCTTGAGGAAATGTATGAATAAATCGAGTAGCCAAAGAAGTTGGCAAAGGTTCGCCACTTGAGACCATCAATGATAGTGCATCCCAATGAAGTATATCGAATTTTTGTAATTTCACTAGAAGCTTCAGAAGCGATGGAGTCATTGTTAGACGATTGACACTATATTTAATCATTAACTTGATCATTTCTAATGGATTGTTCTCGACGTGTGACGGAATCACCAGTAACGGTATGCCTTGGAGCAATCCTCCTAAAGTTTCCCATAATAAATCGGAGAAACTTAGTGCAGTCTTGTAGCAACAAATATCACGTTCAATTACGAATGGATAGTGTTGCCACATCCATTCAAAGCGATTTTTCAAGTTCTCTATCGTTCCTACGATTCGCTTTGGAGAATCTGCTGATCCGAATTTATAAAAAATGTAACCGATCGTAGTTGATTCATCTACTATACGTTTCGCGTTCACAGCACGCAAAGTCTCTGCATCAGAATAATCAGGTTCCGTATTGAGATATATTATATGCACCTGATCTTTATAATCATATCCGAGGAAATCGTACGGTTTCTCAGACAATATCCAATTGAGACCCGTATCCTGTACAATGTAATGAAGCTGTTCTATTGAATAAGTTAAGCCGAGTGGTACTATCGCACAGTTCATTTTCAATAGAGTTATTAGACATACGATCGAATCGATTGAACGGCACACATTAACACCAACAAGAGTCCGTTGGTCAATCCCATGACGTTTCAGCTGAGCTTCCAATTTGCGAATACGTTCGTTAAGATCAGCAAATGTTTCCTGTCTAGCATCATATATCAAAGCTGTACTGTTTAGTACGTTTTGAACTAGACGATCAAGAGTTTCTTCAATCCAATTCATCACTGTAGAGCAAAAATCATAATTTCGCTAGCATGTAACTTTAAAATTGTTTGTCCTCAAAGTAGCTCTGAAACGAAGAATATTTGGAGGCGTTAAAACAACTGTCTTTTAGATATTCCCAAAAGATAAAATCGAGTGCTGAATGCGTTTAGACTTACGTGTTACTCTGTAGAGTCGTTCCTATTAGAGAATACTACTTTCAGACGAATCAATTGACGAGAAACAATCGACTGCTGTATAGTTAAGTACGCTCGGATGAAATCAAAACACAAAAGCCCTTTTTACTTTTGCTTCATTTTTCAAATCACGAAAGCAAAAGAACACTTCACTGTATTTTGGTTATTCACCATTGGCGGAGCATCACGCGTATGCAACACCCCAACAAAAAAAAATGTACCTCGCCCTAGTTCCGTGGAGTATATGGCTCAAACAAGCAACATGCTACAATGCTTCTGGAGATTAACTTCACCATGCGAAAAAGTCTCGATACAGATAAAAACATCAGTGAACATCCTTTCCTAAAAAAAAGTTCGCGAACTTCGATCCCTGTGAAAGAGCAAAAAAAAGAACATTTGTGTTTGTATAGCACACACACATGAGTGAGAAAAAAGCCATTGTTTTTTCCTATTCTGCATAGACGATCAGTTCGAAATGAAATTTCATTGAGAAAATGATGTATTCTCAGTCATTGCAAGCACGAATCTATAGTGTAATATTAATAACCAGAGCGTACGTTATCATGTGGAAAAATTGTTCTTTATCACATAAGAATATGCATTTTTATTTTCTAATCAAGTTCTTTGCTTGTAAACAACATCCTAAGCTGGGATTAAAAAGGAACGACTTTATTACCGACATATAGGTGTTTCTGTTTTTATAGGAAGATTCTCTTCCGCCTCCTATAATAATTATTCATCACATTGTATACTGTGAGACAAGGTAATTAGAATTTATAATTACAAAAAAAAAATGAAAAGTGCTTTAAACAGATAAAAGTGTTTGACTTCATCTATTCAAAGTGCTCATCCCGGTAGAACGACGAAAGCCTTTCTATATCCTAAAAGAAACCCCTATCTCACATCAACAACAGCGCTACGGACAAGATGATGAGCAATGTTGCATTTGTGCTTAACATCATTGCATTAATTATTGATCTATGTACCTGTGTGATTATATTATTCATTTTGTGTATCGCCATTTACCATATTGTTTGTAAAAATCTCAAACAAGAAGATCGAGTGGTTATTTGCGTTTGTTTAACAATCTATCCTGTGATTTTTCTTTTTACCATAATCGCAGTTTCATTTCACATTCAAACACTTCTCGGTGATCTATACGAGAAAACGTTCAATTCAGCATCATGTACTCCTATTGGATACATATCTTATGTTTTTCTCAACATGTTTTACTGGGCTTTTATCAATCAAGCTCTATTCCGTCTCTGTCGAATCGTCTATTCAAGATACCAATATCTTCAATCTTTCTGGTTTTACATATGTTTATCTCTAATTGAACTAGTTTTCAGTTTCATTGTTTTATCTCCACTTCTGTTCTGGCATGCCATTGTTTATCTAACAGACGATTTCTATTGTTATGTGAAGTTCACACACACTCGAGGCATACTCTGGCTTGCATTCGGTATTTACGGAATTCCACTTTCGATATTATCATTGATCTATTTGCGTATTGCCATCTTTCTTCGTCGACAACCAGGAAATTTAGCAACAGCCGTTCGACAAAGGCAACAACGAGATTTAGCCGTTTTCCAACGTATTCTCGTAACTATTGGTATTCTAGTCATTCTTGGAATTGCACCAATCATCTTCTTAATAATGGCACAGATAACCGGTGAAGACTATTTCCTCGCTTTTCGACTTATCTGGCCTTTTATTAGTTTGACGATGATTGGATCAAGTTTAGCATTGCTTCTATTTACACCACAATTGAAACATATGATTTTAAAAATAGCCTATCAAACTCAAATTGTACCTTTTGACAGTGCTGCAGGGAACTCAATCGAACAGCAACGCGCTACGACAAGAGTATGATTATGTATGTAGGCGTTTTTCGAGCGAAGTAGAACTATGAAAATCAGGCACCTACACTCGACATGGTTTGTTCCAGCATTTACTTCAGTAATAAACCATGCTTATGAATTTCTTTCTAATAAAACATCAATTATTAAGTTATTCATATTCGTGATATACACCTGCGTCGTCTTGCACTTTTTTCTTCGAGAAAGTACTGTTTGATAACAAGGGAGATATTAATATCAGCATATATTTATAGAATTGAAGTTGACGCACATGTAGATATGCATGCGTAAAATCGAGAAAAATCAACATCGCACAAGAACAGAATAGAAACGATCGCGCACAACTACCTACTGACGTCGTTTATTTGTTGTGACGAACAAGGCAATCAATGATAGAAAAAAAAAGGAAGCGCGCAAGTCGATGCGTTCGCACTACAGATGAGTCACACGCTTGCCAGTAGATAAATACACCTTGTAATTATAATTTCAAATAGTAATATATTTTTTTCCAATCGTCTGAAACTTGTTACACAGAAAAATTGTAACTGTGTGTTTCGTCTCGGCGTAATAAAAATGAATAATAATTCAAGTAACCTTGAGCGGTGTGCAGATGCCGATAAAGACAATCTGCAAAAACCGGATATTTATCTTCGCCATCTACCATGTCCGGAATCGATTACACAACAAGCATTCACTTTCTTCGAAAAGATTCGTGAGAACCTCTCGCGAACGATTCAAGTTGGTGAATATCATCCAGGTTTCATTCTCTGGTCGAAAAAATTGAAAGAATTCATTTCACTCTACGGATTCTCGTTTACCAGAGATGATCATATCAAACTAATTAAATTGTACTTATCGATTATATCTTCGACTGATATAAGTTATTCGGTTGCACAGATCTGCTTCGATTCGCTAATAGAACTGTTACAGTATGTAGATACTTTTTTTTTCTCTAACTTCTTTCACATTGAATCATTTCGTCTCTCAGGAAGATTGAATTGCTCACTCGAGATGATTTGACAATTGATTGGCGGATATTTTATCGATGGGTGAAACGTATTAAAAATCACCAGCACAAGACTTTTGTCATGGTACCATCGCTGAAGTTTGTATTTTTGTCAATTATCGAAAGTAAATGGTTAACTCTTCGATTCTTGTTCGTTTCCATAGAGAATTTGAAACAGCCATTCTTTACTGTACACAAAGCTGTTCGCCATACTTTTCATCGACGGCGACTCAAGAACTCCTCGATGAATTCCGCCCACATCTATGTCCTTTTGATCGAATTGCGATTTGTGATACCATGCAGATATTTGACTATTTCCTACCGATGAACTTACCACCACACCTACATGATCAAGGATTCAAGTAAGTTCATTCGTGGGTTCCTTTTGTCAACATCTGACTGTCTTACTGCTGCTCATCTTAGATTATGGTTACCAGAATTCTTTAATATTTGGGAGAATATCAATAACGAAACGATATGGGAAGCGGTAAGTTTCATTAAAACAACGATGAGTTCATTATTTGTTCAAATGGATTCATTTTAGTATCTTGTTAATCTTTTCTCACGACTTGCTTGGTACAATATCGGCTATATCGACTGGACACCATGGTTAAATCAGGTTTGATTATTTTCCCATTGCATTTATGTTACTTAAGTTTTTTCGATTACAGATCTTTACACATTTTCTTCGAGGTTTTTCATTACCTATCGGTAAAACCCAAAAAACAACAAAGAAATTCATCTATTCAATGGGCGATGTCGCACAATGGATTGTCGCTATGATAGGCAATGGCAGCTCTTGTCTCGATCATCTTCAGGATTTGCTCACAGCCGTACGAAGTTTCTATTATCCGTCGAACACGGGATATTTTCAGAAACAACTTGTTGACTTTCTTTTCGAGCTCACTCAACAATTCGTCAATCGAGTCCATTTGTAAGTAATGAGAACTTAAGATAAAAGACAAAAATTCCTGATAATCAAAAATGTTTTAGAGAACGGCAAACTACTTCGATTTGGTTCTTTGCACCGCATGAATCATCTCGCCTTACTGAACAGGATATTACAGATTTTGTCAATTGCATCAAGGAATATGTATTCATATCGATATTCAATAAAGATCATTCGGAGAAAGCCGCAGAAATTTGCCAAGATTTATCGATTTTACGGCCAGAACTCATTGTACCGACGATTGTCGACAAGTTCGTCGTTTTTACTGAATAGTTCGAAATTTACACGCATTTTCCTTTAGACTCTTCATATCGATCGATGATATCGACGAAGCACATCGTTTCACGTCATTGATGTATTGTGTGACACGTATAAGTCGTCAATTAGTGCGTCAAAGCCCATCTTATTCTCAGGGGCAAACTTATGTTGTGCCCTTACTGTTGTCTGTGTTAACCGGCATCGATGTCAATGATATTGAAAAGACATCGGTGACAATCGATTTTATTGATGCCATTCTCATGCTGATTACATGTGTTGACTGCTCGTCAGCAACAGAAGTTCGAACCGATCTGACTGAGGTAATATGTCCGTTCAATCTTTCGATAATGAAGCTTACTTTGATTTAATTTAGGTGGAGAAAGAAGTTTGTCTATCAACAGCAATGTTTGAAGAATTTATCACAAGATTCCTGAATGAAACCTTTGAAGTTATCGATAGTCTATCGACAGATTATACGGATGCGTCGATTATCAATGAACATTCAACCGAATATGATACCTTTCAAAGAAAATTGATATCGATTGTCACGAGTATTGCCCAACAGTGTAGTACCAGCATCTTTCAAGTACGTATCGATTGTTAGAAGAACAGTATCTTCGAAATAAATGTATATATGTTCAGATCGTACGACAGAAGATCATCAATTTTGTCACTGGTTCAATTTTCTCCTCGAAAGTTAGATCATTGGCCATTGGACTTGTTCGAGCGATTGTTAAATGTCATCCCGAAGACACACTCAAGTATTTACTACCACAGACATGTCAAACTATCGAAAAAATCTTTCACAAGGCGGAACGAAATCTCTTGCATGATCATAAAGGTGATCAAGAACTAACTTGGTATATATGTTTGTTTGCGGAACTTCTTCAAGCTCGTGGTGATGTTCTACTTGAATACAAAGAAATGATTCAAAACTGTTTTCACAGTTGCGTTCGTATTCTTCACATTGATTCCTATGAAACTGTTGCTCTAGCAATTAAATATTTACTTCAATCACTAATAAATGTCTATCCGATTGATTCGAGTTTGATCATCGAAAATCTCGACGGATCATTCGCAGACTTTCTGCCGATTCGGGTGAGTTCATTGGAATGGCTAGACTTAAACGTAATGTATTCGTGTTTAGGCATGGGGTCAAAGTGTTGATTTTGATCGACTTCAAGTTCGTTATCATATTCCCACTACAGATGAAGTCAATTTTGCTTGCGAATTTGTCAATGATTTTCTCTATGCAGAATTATCGCTATTGAGCGATATGAAATCAAAACTAGCGAAGGAAGAACGAAGACGATCGCTAACGATTATACACAGTATCGCCGTCGGATGTTTTCGTATCGTACCACGAATCGAAAGCAAAACCATAGAATATCTGTAAGAAAGAAGAGCATATTTTATGAATGTACCATCGATTTGTTTCTCTTCTTGTTATAGGTCTCAATCGATGGTTTCGTTCGATTCACCATCTCAAAGTCGATATTCAATCTACTATCGAGATGTAAAACCAAGTACGTATGAAATTCGTCAACAAGATCTCGATAGTTCGTCAATTCTTTTAGACTTTCATGAAAATCTGCGAATGCGTTTACTCCTCGATATTGGCAAATTGCTTGGTGAGTCAGTCTCGCATATTGTATAAAATGCAACTCATTCTCATTCTTATTTAGATAAACTAATTGAAATTCAATCACATGATGTCCTATCCATCCGTTTAGCACTCTCCGTATGCATTTCACTCAATCCATTCGAGTATCGTCTAAGTTTCTATGTAGATTTGTGTCTTATCATCTGAATACTATGGGATCTTTGCTCGTGAAGTCGATCAAATGCGTGAAGATATTCGATCAATCACCAGCTTAGTTCAAAGTCCTATTCTTGGTAAACGAGATTATCCTCGGTTTTTATCGATCAAACAACTTCAATTGCAAATCGAAGCATTTGAATTACATAACTTCCGATTGTTGACTGAAACTGACCAACAAATCGGATTTAAACTGTTTGATTTATCAATCAGTCGACATAGTGAAGTAAGGTCTACATGCTAAAAATGATTCTTGCAAATTGTTTGTTATTAGATTCGTTCCAAAGCTCAAGAAGAACTGTTTCATTTTATCAATCATTATAATTTATCTTGGATAAAATTTCTCGATCGCATCGTCGAACAACTTTCAACATCTAATAAAACTAATCATCATCAAGTTAAAGTTCGTTCTCGTATTCAGTTACTCTCCTCTTTTTATCAATTCGTTTTTAGGGTTGCTTATATATTCTTCTCGGCAATGATACATTCTTCTTACCAACGAAGCATTCATGGTCAATGATGAGTAAAATCTGGCCGTTGATGGTTAAGATCAACCATACGAATAGACTTAGCATTCAAAATCTAATCGAACGTATTAGACAGAACGTTGAGAAAGATTTTGAACCGTTGGAACTGAGTTTGGATATCGGACACGATGCTCAATGTGCAGCTGTTGACCTTTGGCACGAACTAGAAAACGACGAGCTAGAACGAAGCCAACAAATCCGCGAAAGACAGCGTGAAAGCAATCTTCAATCATACCATCATCTAATTGATACACTTCACTCCTTACTTCGAGATGAAACTTTGTATGTATAGCTCCGCCACCTTTGGTTTTGTATTTGTGTATGGAAATTTTAGAACTTGGGGACAGGAGAAGATTGCCATGTCATTTTTACACTTACTCCTTCGAAAAGATGTGCCATTGTCCGCATCATGCGTTAAAACATGCGTTGATTTTCTCATTCATGACAACGCAGAATTGCGAGAGGTAAGGCGATCCATTTTAATCAATGAATCGAAAGACATGCTTTCGTTTAGTATGCTTTTAAAATCATGACGACATTTTGTCGTATACAAAAACCACCGCGAATATTTATTGAAAAATCAATTGAAGAAATCTTTCGCGATGCTGGCCAATCATTAGCAGTGCCCGATAAAGATCAATGTCAACCGGGCGCACGCGAAGATAATCTATGGATCACATTCAACGATTACGAACTTCCAAAAACCCAAGATGAATGGGAACAAACATGCTTTCTGGATGATGTGTTCTATGGTTATTATCAATGGCCGAAGACAATTAAGTATGCAATGAACAAACGAGAACGTTATACTATAAACAATATGCCCAAGGAAGTCTCGATTATATTCAATCGTTTTATGGATAAGAATTTTGTAAAACAAATGTTGAAAGTCAATGTTAACAATGAAAATACGACACGATTCGATAGAAGTCGATTTGAAATGTTTAAAGTAAGATAGGATGCATTTCTTTCATAGTGTATTCTAAAGGCTTCATTTTTAGGCTCTCTTTCGAAATTTTGGTCTTGCATTTGTTGATAATTTCCTGGAAGAATTGACTGCGCTCATGCGTAAAAGAGCACAAATCCGACAAGAACATCGACTAGTGGCTGAAATTATCGCTGGTATGATTCGTGGTTCGAAGTATTGGACATTGGAGATGGTAAGACAGTGGGTGCAACTTTCATTCTTCTCTTAGTACTTCATTTAGCTTGATACATTTTGGCAAAAGTTAACGCCATTTCTCAATGAAGTTATTGCTAATCTTAACCCCGATCTCTTCATTTACTGGGGCTCCTGTCTTCAATTTAGCATGGTTTGTTTGAATCAATTTGATTTGAACTGTTTCTTTACAAGTCTTTTTTTTTATCATTTCAAAGGAAGATCAAGATCCTCGTCGAATGTTTCACGCAATAGAGTTCACTCTCAGTCTCATTGACAACCAGACATGGGTCAATACATTCAATGAAGCATCCCGTTGGTATCTAGTACAAAGTCTCGCTGTGTTTCAATGGCGTATTCCATCCATCTGGTGCACTATCTATGAAAGTGCCAAAGAACTCATTGATCACCCGTCGAAATTAATACGACAATTAGTTACCGTGTAAGTAGAAAGATTTCATCCACGATCAAGTTTCATTCTTCATTATTAGTACATTACCATTGACGCTCAAATTTGATTTGACATTGTTCGAAGGAAAATCAACATACCATCCTACGTTTAAACAGTTAATTGAAGATATACGCGAACGATTAGACCGAGCTATAGCAATTTGTGAAAGCAAATCACGAAGTAAGATATTGCTCCTTGATTAGATTTTTACACAGAAATCTTCTTTAGTTAATCATGCGGCGGAAATCGATATACTTGACAACGAAGTTAGCCAAGCATTGAGCTTGATCCAATCAGGTAGAAATACTCATAATACATCTACTCGTTCTATTTCGTCTAAATATGCTCTAGTGATTGCAATACAAGGACAATTATTCGCTCTGTGCCATCAGCCCATTAGAGATACTACCCTTCAAATGTTTTCCTACGTACGTGTATTCACACGAATATTGAGATAATTATAGATTTTGTTTAGTTTTGTGACACTGGAAGTATCATGGTTAATGATGATGGTTTCAGAAATCATTTAGCAGGTATTCGAACATACATCGGTATGGCTTATTTGCACACAGACCTATTAGAAGCATTGATTGAACAAGTTGAACATGTGTGTATAGATATCAGCCGAGTGTAGTATTCATTTTTACATTTTGTGAATATACACATAGGTTTGTACGAAAAGCAAGTGGCAAGCCCGTCTAGCGGCTATGGAATTCATTCAATACTTTGTATTTTGTAATTTATTCAACATTCGTCCTTATTTGCGACGATTGCATAAACTTGTGGTTGCATGCTTGTTTGATGACCGATTGGAGGTACGTTTAACAGCGTCTATGACTCTCTCGGTCTTCTACCAATGCAGCTACACTCCAGTTACGGATGCAGATCTGGTAGGAAAGATTTTGTTTTGTATTATTATTGGTTAAATTCTAAAATAGAAACATTTTCGCCTGATGAGCAAAACGCCTTACCGCTCAATTATAAATGGCGAGAAAGTTGTATCTACAAAAGATATTGTCAAAAGACATGGTGGTAAGTACGATTATCGTTCTATAAATTCTTATTACTTCGCGTAACATTAGGCATTTTGGGCTTGTGTGCTATCATTCAAGCTAATCCTTATGATATTCCAGCTTATGTACCAGACACATTGATGATTCTATGTGAACATTCACACGATCCTCATCTAATACAAGTAAGAGATTGTATTCTAGTCGATGATATGTAAAAACATTTCGTTTAGCGATCCATCAAACAATGCTTGTCGGAATTTCGTCGTACTCATCATGATTCTTGGCATGAGCATCGAATGAAGTTCACCGGCGATCAACTTGGAATTTTGGCTGATGTGCTCATCTCACACAACTATTATGTTTAACATAGCAAAAGAATAACGCTTTTTTTTTCTTTTGTAAATAAATATTTATCGAGTAGATGTTATTACGTAGAAACTATACGTAGGTATGCTGATGTCGCACGACGTAAGACTGAATTTTTATCATTCGTATGGTAAAATAACAGTTGATTCATTCATAAATCTGTCGAGTATAGCATTAGTTTTTACTCTTCCTTTTATATGGATTCAAATTGGTTGTATTGTTGAAACTCCCCATCATAAACAATGCAGATAGAGTAGCATAAATGGAAACACATACGTCTTCTTTCATTCGCTTTGCTTACCTTTTCCTCCAGAGACGATATCAATCATTTGTTAAGTTTGGACATCTAGAAAGATTTACACGAGACGAGACGAGCTACTCATTGAAAAATAACTCATATTAAATAAATTCCATTGATGAGTTGTTTTCACAAAAGCATAAGTTCGCTTCAAAACGAAATGTACTTGTTTGAGAACCATAGTGAAAGTACGTCAATAGTAATCTCAATGACAACAGTGTACTTTCAAATAGAATTTGTACAGTATCAGTGAAAGAGACGAAAAAACACTCTTTCCTACTTTTCTTCATTTCGAAGATTGGACAAAATTTCGCTGCCGTACAGCAATGAATGAAATCCTTTATTTGGAGTCGACTATCATCAGCACTGACGACAGCCACTCTATTTGAGATACTAATCGAAACGAAGTGATCACAACGTCATCAATAAATAGTGTGTCGATGCAATTCAAAAATACAACATTATTCAGACTTCAACACACTTTCGAAAAAAAATATCATTAGACGTCGATAACCATAAGAGTGTGTGTCTATGAAATTGATTCCAGTGCATGCGGAGATGTAAAGCAAATATGTAAACCTTTTAAAAAACACCAATCGTGCACAAGAACAAAAAAAAGCAATTTCACGAAACTATCTACAGATGTATTTCTATTCGTCGTAATGAACAAGGCGAGCGTAAAAGAATATTGAGAACGAGACGCAACAGCGAATTACAAAGACAATAAAAAAAAAGGACGCAAAGGAGTAGACTACGAACAATACATCATTTATGTGTCGACATTGATGTCTCCTGTTCTCTATTATACTTTTTTCTCTCTTTCGTTCGTTTTGTCGTCTAGTATATTATGAAGTAGATATACAGACAACGAGTACTCGAAAAGAAAGTTTCAGTCTAAGTTGAAGTCTCATTCACTGAAGTTCCAATGACGTTGTTCATCTTCCTACTTCCGTGGATCTTCGTGTTATCATCGGTTCAAAGCAGAAATTATTCAACATGGATGGCAGATAACGCGCTACTACTTTCATCTAAAACATTGGGAAGTATATGCTTAGCTGCAACACATAACTCAGCAGCCTATAACCTATCGAATAAAGTAATCAATACGGAGGCGCATGAGTCGTCTTTTGCGACATTTTATAGTAACCTTAACAATATTGTCAATGCGACTGGTCGATCATCTGATCAGCTCGTTAGACTGTTTACAGATGGTATTCGAGCTGGAAGTGAATGTATCACGAAAAGTATCTATTCTCAGTTGACGGATGGCAATCGTGCATTGGATCTTCGTTTGAGCGTATTTGAGAACGACATTTACACCGCACACGTACTACAGGGACCTTCTTTGTCTGATGTGCTTGCACAAGTTTGGAAGTTTTTATATGCAACAAACGGTGAAATTGTGTTCATGACTTTGGGACATCCCTACGGATTTAATCGAACGTATATCGATCGACTTGCTTTGCTCCTTGATCTATTTGTCACTAGCGGATTAGCCATCACGCCAGCTGCCTATCCGAATGATCTATTGAGTTACACTTATGAGCAATTGGTTAGCAAAGGCCGTTCACGTGTTATCATTGTCATTGATGATACTATCAATCCTGATTTTAAATCTTTCTTCTCTACTTCCCTTTATTCACCACCTGATGGAGGCAGTCACAAATTGTATGGATCATACACCAATACTAATAATATCAATACAGTTATAGATCATCAAACTGCTAATTACGCTCATGCTCGAAAGATTTCCGCACCAGCAGCGATGTACATGACTTTGACACCGACATATAATGATATGATCAGTATTATTGTTTCTACCGTCGTAGCAGACTTTCATCCACTGATGAGACCACTCGTACTTGCTGGCCTTCGAGCTATTTTAGCATCTGAGAATATGAGTGATATTGACCTTACCTGTACGTCACTGTCTGATATCTATCTTCGACAAAATATGATTTCAAGACGTACTAGTATCCTCACAACTATTCAGTCAACATCGCTCTCCTTGACTAAGAATAGTATTTTTCTTATTTACACCGATTTCTATGAGAACAACAGAGACATTATCGACCTAGCTATTTCGTACTCACTCATCTGAAATGGCTAACCTTATTTTATTTGTTGTTCATTTTGATGACAGAAAAGATAAAACGAAATAAGTTTATTGTCAAATATGTATCTCCTTCCAAATCGAAATATTGCATTGTGTATAAAAACAGGATCATAGTTAGTTCAATCGAACACCATACAGTCCTTGGTTTCGTCATTTACACGAACGATGATTATACTATAATGATGACAAGAAAGTTTTCTGCGTCATTCGATGTTTTTATGTTCATACATACGCACAACGTGTGCGCTCGTCATGATCGACTAAAATAGCATTATGAGTACTCTGTGATGAATAAATAAGTGCGATCAGGGCACGAAACCGGTGTAAAATTTACTTGTAAAATAAATATCCAGTTTTTTTTTATTTACCTTGCACAAGCAGCATTGACGTCAGCAGCAATCTTTCAAAAAACAAGATCAGCATCAACATACGAATTCAGTCAGCAGGAAGCAAAAGCTCCATAATACATACAATGCAACTGAATTTGACGCGAGAAAAGTGAATAATGTGCATGTCAGTAACCGGTACGAGAACAAGGGAAAGAGAGAGAGAGAGAGAAAGAATATTTACACAACCTTCTCTCATACGATTATTATCGATACAATGTTCCCCCAATTCAGGTCAAGAAGAAACGCAAGCGTATATAAAAAAGAGATGAAAATGAAACATATTCATTAACGGCTCCAATCGAGCAGAAAAATACTTTGTCAACAGTATAGTTCCTCGACATATGTATCCGCAGAAGTTATCACTATCGGCTCCAGCATCTGCAAATGCTGGTAGGCGACATAACAAGGCCCATGATTCTGTTTATGCGCCCAGCACTACTGAAACGAATGTACATACTACTGATACAATACAACAAGATCGCATTGCTTGGCAAACTATGTCTCAATATTTGACTCTTCGGCTGATGCAAACACGACGATCCAGCACAACAAACCGTACCGATCGAGCATTTTCACAAGCAGACGTACCTTCACAATACATTCGAAAGCTTCCTCATAAGAGTAATCATTTAAAAGTGCCGCCATCAGCTATATCCGATGAAATATCGGAACGTAGCTTCAAACACTTGGATCCAGTTACATTGGAATTTGATGAAGATATCGTCGAAGGCACACCAGCACTTGAAACTGATGTACATATCATACCATTGGACAGGCTAGTTGAACGTTTTAACAGTAATTTAACAATCGGACTGGCCGATAGCATCGTAGAACAACAACGTACAATCTACGGAAAAAATAAACTAACACCATCACGTCCGCCAAGTCTTATTTGGATGTTCATCAAACAATTGCTTATCGGATTTAATGGTGTCTTATGGCTTGCTACTCTGTTTGCTTTTCTCAGCTACGTAAGTTTCCTATTTCTTCCATTGAATAGTATCAATAGAGGGGCACGTTTGTGAACAATTTGATTTTGTATAGAAACCATTTGGAGGTTCCGATCCTGACGTGACCAATCTCGCTTTAGCTGGCATACTGGTTTTTGTCATTGTGTTCAATGCATTGTTTAACTTCTATCAGGAAGTAAAGTCAATGAAAATTGTCGCATCCTTTTCAAAAATGCAACCTGCACTTGCCACCGTTAAACGAAATGGTGTTGAAATGCAACTTAGTGCAGAGGAACTTGTGCCTGGCGATATCGTTCGTATTCGTCTCGGCGACCGAATTCCAGCTGACTGTCGATTGATTTCGTGCGATGATCTTCAAGTAGACACGTCTCAATTGACTGGCGAGTCGCTACCGGTTACGTGTACGGTTAAATGCACAGATATGAACTTTATGGAAACGACCAATATGGTTTTCTACTCGTCCCTCGTTGTTCAAGGCTCAGCTGAAGGCATAGTAACTAATATTGGAGACAAAACTGCACTTGGACAAGTTGGTCAAATGACTCGAAGCACTGGTAATTCAGAAGTGACAGGACTTCATCGAGAAATCAACCGTTTTGTCCTATTTATCATCATCGCTGCATTCACATGTGTTATTCTCTTATGGATTACTTGGGCTGCCTGGCTCAATATCGTCCATGAAGGATATATCACCGTTAATGNTCCACCCGATCTGACTGAGGGAATATGTCCGCTCAATCTTTCGATAACAGAGCTTACTTCGATTTAATTTAGGTAGAGAAAGAGGTTTGTCTATCAACAGCAATGTTTGAAGAATTTATCACAAGATTCCTCAATGAAACATTTGAAGTTATCGATAGCCTATCGACAGATTATACGGATGCGTCGATTATCAATGAACATTCAACCGAATATGATACCTTTCAAAGAAAATTGATATCGATTGTCACGAGTATTGTCCAACAGTGTAGTAGCAGCATCTTTCGAGTACGTATCGATTGTTAGAAGAACAGTATCTTCGAAATAAGCGTGAATATATTCAGATTGTTCGACAGAAGATCATCAATTTTGTTACCAGTTCAATTTTCTCCTCGAAAGTTAGATCATTGGCCATTGGACTTGTTCGAGCGATTGTTAAATGTCATCCTGAAGACACTCTCAAGTATTTACTACCACAAACATGTCAAACTATCGAAAAAATCTTTCACAAGGCGGAACGAAACCTCTTGCATGATCATAAAGGTGATCAAGAACTAACTTGGTATATATGTTTGTTCGCGGAACTTCTTCAAGCTCGTGGTGATGTTCTACTTGAATACAAAGAAATCATTCAAAACTGTTTTCACAGTTGCGTTCGTATTCTTCACATTGATTCCTATGAAACCGTTGCTCTAGCAATAAAATATTTACTTCAATCACTGATAAATGTCTATCCGATTGACTCGAGTTTGATCATCGAGAATCTCGACGGATCATTCGCGGACTTTCTGCCGATTCGAGTGAGTTCATTGGAATGGATAGAATTAAACGTGATGTATTCGCTTTTTAGGCATGGGGACAAAGTGTTGACTTTGATCAACTTCAAGTTCGCTATCATATTCCCACTACAGATGAAATCAATTTTGCTTGCGAATTCGTCAATGATTTTCTCTATGCAGAATTATCGTTACTAAGCGACATGAAATCAAAACTGTCGAAGGAAGAACGAAGACGATCGCTAACGATTATACACAGTATCGCCGTCGGATGTTTTCGTATCGTACCACGAATCGAAAGCAAAACCATAGAATATCTGTAAGGAAGAAGAGCATTTCTTACGAATGTACCATCGATCTGTTTCTCTTCTTCTTCTTCTAGGTCTCAATCGATGGTTTCGTTCGATTCACCATCTCAAAGTCGATATTCAATCTACTATCGAGATGTAAAACCAAGTACGTATGAAAATCCCCGAGAAAAGCTCGTTAGTTCTTCGATTCTTTCAGAGTTTCATGAAAATCTGCGAATGCGTTTACTCATCGATATTGGCAAATTGCTTGGTGAATCAGTCTCGCATATCGCATAAGATGAAACTCATTCTCATTCTTATTTAGATAAACTAATTGAAACTCAATCACACGATGTCTTATCCATCCGTCTAGCTCTCTCCGTATGCATTTTACTCAATCCGTTCGAGTATCGTCTAAGTTTCTATGTAGATTTGTTTCTTATCATCTGAATACTATGGAGTCTTTGCTCGTGAAGTCGATCAAATGCGTGAAGATATTCGATCAATCACCAGCTTAGTCCAAAGTCCCATTCTTGGTAAACGAGATCATCCTCGGTTTTTATCAATCAAACAACTTCAATTGCAAATCGAAGCATTTGAGTTGCATAACTTCCAATTGTTGACTGAAACTGATCAACAAATCGGATCTAAACTTTTTGATTTATCAATCAGTCGACATAGTGAAGTAAAGTCTGTATGCTGAAAACTATCCTTGCAAATTGTTTGTTATTAGATTCGTTCCAAAGCTCAAGAAGAACTGTTTCATTTTATCAATCATTATAATTTATCTTGGATAAAATTTCTCGATCGTATCGTCGAACAACTTTCGACATCTAATAAAACTAATCATCATCATCAAATTAAAGTTCGTTCTCGTATTCAGTTACATTCCGCGTTTCATCAATTCGCTTTTAGGGTTGCTTGTACATTCTTCTCGGCAATGATACATTCTTCTTACCAACGAAGCATTCATGGTCAATGATGAGTAAAATTTGGCCGTTGATTGTTAAGATCAACCATACAAATAGACTTAGCATTCGAAATCTAATCGAACGTATCAGACAAAACATTGAGAAAGATTTTGAACCGTTGGAACTGAGTTTGAATATTGGATACGACGCTCAATGTGCAGCTGTTGACCTTTGGCACGAACTAGAAAACGACGAGATGCAACGAAGCCAACAAATCCGCGAAAGACAGCGTGAAAGCAATCTTCAATCATGCCATCATCTAATTGATACACTTCACTCCTTACTTCGAGATGAAACTTTGTATGTATAGCTCCGCCATCTTTGGTTTTGTATTTGCGTACGGAAATTTTAGAACTTGGGGACAGGAGAAGATCGCCATGTCATTTTTACACTTACTCCTTCGAAAAGATGTGCCATTGTCCGCATCATGCATTAAAACATGCGTTGATTTTCTCATTCATGACAACGCAGAATTGCGAGAGGTAGACGATCTATTTTAATCAATGAATCGAAAGACATGGTTTCGTTTAGTATGCTTTTAAAATCATGACGACATTTTGTCGTATACAAAAACCACCGCGAATATTCATTGAAAAATCAATTGAAGAAATCTTTCGTGATGCTGGTCAATCATTAGCAGTGCCAGATAAAGGTCAATGTCAACCGGGCACACGTGAAGACAATCTTTGGATCACATTCAACGATTACGAACTTCCAAAAACCCAAGACGAATGGGAACAAACATGCTTTCTGAATGATGTGTTCTATGGTTATTATCAATGGCCGAAGACAATTAAGTACGCAATGAACAAACGAGAACGTTATACTATAAATAATATGCCCAAGGAAGTTTCGATCATATTCGATCGTTTTATGGATAAGAATTTTGTGAAACAAATGTTGAAAGTCAATGTTAACAATGAAAATACGACACGATTCGACAGAAGCCGATTTGAAATGTTTAAAGTAAGAATGAATGCATTTCTTCTCCGGTGTATCTAAAGACTTCATTCTTAGGCTCTCTTTCGTAATTTCGGCCTTGCATTTGTTGATAATTTCCTGGAAGAATTGTCTACGCTCATGCGTAAAAGACTACAAATCCGACAAGAACATCGACTAGCGGCTGAAATTATCGCCGGTATGATTCGTGGTTCGAAGTATTGGACATTGGAGATGGTAAGACAGCGGATGCCATTTTCATTCTTCTCTTAATACTTCATTTAGCTTGATACATTTTGGCAAAAGTTAACACCATTTCTTCATGAAGTTGTTGCTAGTCTTAATCCCGATCTCTTCATTCACTGGGGATCCTGTCTTCAATTTAGCATGGTTTGTTTGAACCTGTTTGATTTGAATTTTTTCTTTACAAATCTTTTTTTAATCATTTCAAAGGAAGATCAAGATCCTCGTCGAATGTTTCACGCAATAAATTTCACTCTCAGTCTCATTGACAACCAGACATGGATCAATACATTCAATGAAGCATCTCGTTGGTATCTAGTACAAAGTCTCGCTGTATTTCAATGGCGTATTCCATCCGTCTGGTGCACTATCTATGAAAGTGCCAAAGAACTCATTGATCACCCGTCGAAATTAATACGACAATTAGTCACCAGTTAAGTAGAAAGATTTCATTCACTGCCAAGTGTACTTCTCCGTTAATAGGACAGTACCATTGNGTTGGTATCTAGTACAAAGTCTCGCTGTATTTCAATGGCGTATTCCATCCGTCTGGTGCACTATCTATGAAAGTGCCAAAGAACTCATTGATCACCCGTCGAAATTAATACGACAATTAGTCACCGTGTAAGTAGAAAGATTTCATTCACGGCCAAGTTTCATTCTTCATTATTAGTACATTACCATTGACGCTCAAATTCGATTTGACATTGTTCGAGGGAAAATCAACATATCATCCAACGTTGAAACAGTTAATCGAAGACATACGTGAACGATTAGACCGAGCTATAGCAATTTGTGAAAGCAAATCACGAAGTAAGATATTGGCCCTTGATTAGATTTTTGCACAGAACTCTTCTTTAGTTAATCATGCGGCGGAAATCGATATACTTGACAATGAAGTTAGCCAAGCATTGAGCTTGATCCAATCAGGTAGAAATACTCATAATACATCTACTCGTTCTATTTCGTCTAAATATGCTCTAGTGATTGCAATACAAGGACAATTATTCGCTTTGTGCCATCAACCAATTAGAGATACTACTCTTGAAATGTTTTCCTACGTACGTGTATTCACACGAATATTGAGATAATTATAGATTTTGTTTAGTTTTGCGATACTGGAAGTATCATGGTTAATGATGATGGTTTCAGAAATCATTTAGCAGGTATTCGAACATACATCGGTATGGCTTATTTGCACACAGACCTATTAGAAGCATTGATTGAACAAGTCGAACATGTGTGTATAGATATTAGCCGAGTGTGGTATTCATTTTTACATTTTGTGAACATACACATAGGTTTGTACGAAAAGCAAGTGGCAAGCCCGTCTAGCAGCTATGGAATTCATTCCATACTTTGTATTTTGTAATTTATTCAACATTCGTCCTTATTTACGACGATTACATAAACTTGTGGTTGCATGTTTGTTTGATGACCGATTGGAGGTACGTTTAACAGCGTCTATGACTCTCTCGGTCTTCTACCAATGCAGTTATACTCCAGTTACGGACGCAGATCTGGTAGGAAAGATTTTGTTTTAAAGTATTATTGATTAAATTCTAAAATAGAAACATTTTCGCCTGATGAGCAAAACACCTTACCGCTCAATTATAAATGGCGAGAAAGTTGTATCTACAAAAGATATTGTCAAAAGACATGGTGGTAAGTACGATTATCGTTTTATAAATTCTTATTACTTCTCGTGACGTTAGGCATTTTGGGCTTGTGTGCTATTATTCAAGCTAATCCTTATGATATTCCAGCTTATGTGCCAGACACATTGATGGTTCTATGTGAACATTCACACGATCCTCATCTAATACAAGTAAGACATTGTATTCTAGTCGATGACATGCAAAACCAGTTCATTTAGCGATCCATTAAACAATGCTTGTCGGAATTTCGCCGTACTCATCATGATTCTTGGCATGAGCATCGAATGAAGTTCACCGGCGATCAACTTGGAATTTTGGCTGATGTGCTCATCTCACACAACTATTATGTTTAACATAGCAAAAGAATAGCGCTTCTTTTTTTCTTTTGTAAATAAATATTTATCGAGTAGATGTTATTACGTAGAAACTATACGTAGGTGTGCTGATGTCGCACGACGTAAGACTGAATTTTTATCATTAGTATGGTAAAATAACAGTTGATTCATTCATAAATCTGTCGAGTATAGCATTATTTTTTACTCTTCTTTTTATATGGATTCAAATTGGTTGTATTGTTGAAACTTCCATCATATACAATGCAGATAGAGTAACATGAATGGAATCACATATGTCTGTTTTTCATTCGCTTTGCTTATTTTTCCTCCAGAGACGATATCAATCATTTGTTAAGTTTGGACATCTAGAAAGATTTACACGAGACGAGCTACTCATCGAAAAATAACTCATTTTAAATTAAACTGCATCGGTGAGTTGTTTTCACAACAACATAAGCTCGCTCCGAAAAGAAATGTAATTGTTCGTGAATCATACTGAAAGTGCATCGATAGCAATCTCAATGACAACTGTGTGCTTACAAATAGAATTTGTACAGTATCAGTGACAGAGACGAAGAAACACGCTTTCCTATACTTTTCTTCATTTCACAGATTGGACAAAATTTCGTTACCGTACGGCAATGAACGAAATTCTCTATTTGGAGTCGACTAACATCAGCATTGACGACAGCCACTCTATTTGAGTTACTAATCTCAACGAAGTGATCACAACGTCATCAATAAATAGTGTGTCGATGCAATTCAAATATAACATTAGTCAGACTTCAACACATTCTCGAAAAAGAAAAATCATCAGATGTCGATAGGCATATGAATATGCGTCTATGGAATTGATTCTATTGCATGCGGAGATGTAAAGCAAATATGTGAAACTTTAAAAAAACATCAATCCTGTACAAGAACAGAAAAAAAAGCAATTTCACCAAATTATCTACTAATGTATTTCTATTCGTCATAATGAACAAGACGAGCGTAAAAGAATATTGAGAACGAGACGTAACAACGAATTACAAAGACAATAAAAAAAAAGGACGCAAAGGAGTAGACTACGAACAATACATCATTTATGTGTCGACATTGATGTCTTCTGTTCTTTATTATACTTTCTTCTCTCTTTCATTCTTATTATCGTCTAGTATATTATGAAGTAAATATACAGACAACGAGTACTCGAAAAGAAAGTTTCAATATAAGTTGAAGTCTCATTCACTGAAGTTCCAATGACGTTGTCCATCTTCCTACTTCCGTGGTTCTTTGTGTTATCGGTTCAAAGCAGAAATTATTCAACATGGATGGCAGATAATGCGCTACTACTTTCATCTAAAACATTGGGAAGTATATGCTTAGCTGCAACACATAATTCAGCTGCCTATAACCTATCGAATAAAGTAATCAATACGGAAGCGCATGAGTCGTCTTTTGCGACATTTTATAGTAATCTTAACAACATTGCCAATGCGACTGGTCGATCATCCGATCAGCTCGTTAGATTATTTACAGCTGGCATTCGAGCCGGAAGTGAATGTACCACGAAAAGTATCTATTCTCAGTTGACGGATGGCAATCGCGCATTGGATCTTCGTTTGAGTGTATTTGAGAACGACATTTACACCGCACACGTACTACAGGGACCTTCTTTGTCTGATGTGCTTGCACAAGTTTGGAAGTTTTTACATGCAACAAACGGTGAAATTGTGTTCATGACTTTGGGACATCCCTACGGATTTAATCGAACGTATATCGATCGGCTTACTTTGCTCCTTGATCCATTTGTCACTAGCGGATTAGCCATCACGCCAGTAGCCTATCCGAATGATCTACTGAGTTATACTTATGGACAATTGGTTAGCAAAGGCCATTCACGTGTGATCATTGTCATTGATGATACTATCAATCCAGATTTAAAATCTTTCTTTTCTACCTCTCTTTACTCACCACCGGATGGAGGCAGTCACAAATTGTATGGATCATACACCAATACTAATAATATCGATACAGTTATTGATCATCAAACTGCTAATTACGCTCATGCTCGAAAAATTTCCGCACCAGCAGCGATGTACATGACTTTGACACCGACGTATAATGACATGATCAGCATTATTGTTTCTACCGTCGTAGCAGACTTTCATCCACTGATGAGACCACTCGTACTTGCTGGCCTTCGAGCTATTTTAGCATCTGAGAATATNAAACATATTTTTTGAAAACCATACGGTCAAATTTCGAGTGAGAATCCTGATTTTTCGAAAACCTCGGTTTTTGTAGTATTTTGAAGATTTCTCCTCGAAGACGACTTTCTATGTCACTAAATTATACATATTCGGATTCAGCGCATCAAACTGCATCATATCACATAAAAAAAATCAACAAAAAAAAATTTGCTCCACTTTTGCCTGTCGCCAACCTTACTATAATGATGACAAGAACGTTTGCTGCGTCATTTGATGTTTTTTTGTTCATACATACGCACAACGTGTGCGCTCGTCATCATCGACTAAAATAGCAGTATGAATACTCTGTAATGAATAAATAAGTGCGATCAAGGTACGAAACCAGTGTAAAATTTACTTGCAAAACAAATATCCAGTTTTTTTTATTTACCTTGCACAAGCAGCATTGACGTCAGCAGCAATCTTTCAAAAACAAGATCAGCAGGAAGCAAAAGCTCCACATTACATACAATACAACTGACTTTGATGCGAGTAAAAGTACATGATGTGCATGCCAGTAACCGGTATAAAAACAAGAAAAAGAGAGAGAAAGAATATTTACACAATCTTCTCTCATACGATTATGATCGATAAAATGTTCTCTAAATTCAGGTCAAAAAGGAACACAAATCTATATAAAAAGGAGATGAAAATGAAATATCTTTATTTACGATTCAAATCAAACAGAAAAACACATTGTTAACAACATCACTCCCCGACATATGTATCCGCAGAAGTTATCACTATCGGCTCCAGCATCTACAAATGCTGGTAGGCGATATAACAAGGCCCATGATTCTCTTTATGCACCCAGCACTACTGAAACGAATGTACACACTACTGATACAATACAACAAGATCGTATTGCTTGGCAAACTATGTCTCAATATTTGACTCTTCGACTGATGCAAACACGGCGATCTAGCACAACAAACCGTACCGATCGAGCATTTTCACAAGCAGAAGTACCTTCACAATACGTTCGAAAGCTTCCTCATAAGAGTAATCGTTTAAAAGTGTCGTCATCAGCTATATCTGATGAAATATCGGAACGTAGCTTCAAGCACTTGGATCCAGTTACATTGGAATTTGATGAAGATATCATCGAAGGCACACCAGCACTTGAAACTGATGTACATATCATGCCATTGGACAGACTAATTGAACGTTTCAACAGTAATTTAACAATTGGTCTGACAGATAGCATCGTAGAACAACATCGTACAATCTACGGAAAAAATAAACTAACACCATCACGCCCGCCAAGCCTTATTTGGATGTTCATCACACAATTGCTTATCGGTTTCAATGGTGTCTTATGGCTTGCTACTCTATTCGCTTTTCTCAGTTACGTAAGTTTCCTATTTCTTCTATTGAATAGTATCAATAGAGGGGCACATTTGTGAACAATTTGATTTTGTACAGAAACCATTTGGAGGTTCCGATCCCGACGTGACCAATCTCGCCTTAGCTGGCATACTGGTTTTTGTCATCGTGTTCAATGCATTGTTTAACTTCTATCAGGAAGCAAAGTCAATGAAAATTGTCGCATCCTTTTCAAAAATGCAACCTGCACTTGCCACTGTTAAACGGAATGGTGTTGAAATGCAAGCTAGTGCAGAGGAACTTGTGCCTGGCGATATCGTTCGTATTCGTCTCGGCGATCGAATTCCAGCTGATTGTCGATTGATTTCGTGCGATGATCTTCAAGTAGACACGTCCCAATTGACTGGCGAGTCGCTACCGGTTACGTGTACGGTTAAATGCACAGATATGAACTTTATGGAAACGACCAACATGGTTTTCTACTCGTCCCTCGTTGTTCAAGGCTCAGGTGAAGGCATAGTAACTAATATTGGAGACAAAACTGCACTTGGACAAGTTGGTCAAATGACTCGAAGCACTGGTAATTCAGAAGTGACAGGACTTCATCGAGAAATCAACCGTTTTGTCCTATTTATCATCATCGCTGCATTCACATGTGTTATTCTCTTATGGATTACTTGGGCTGCCTGGCTCAATATCGTCCATGATGGATATATCACCGTTAATGGTAACGTAGTCAATTCCATTGGTATGGTAGTGTGCTTTATTCCTGAAGGTCTACCGGCGGCTGTCACTCTTGTCTTGACTATCGTTGCAAAGCGAATGTATAAACAAAAGGTGATGGTGAAAAGTCTAGTCACCATAGAAGCGTTTAATTATGTTTCTGTAAGCTATTCTCTCATCGACTTTTATGCCAGTAATGATTTTTGTATGTTGATAGGTGATAGCTACAGACAAGACTGGTACTTTGACAATGAACCAAATGACTATTACCGCTCTTCTTTGGGGAACTCAAGGAGAATATATGGTTCCTATACACAGCGAACATCAAACAAATATCACATCGGAGCACGAACAACACCGTCTGATTGATCGAAAACGACCATCATTAACTGCAACCGATGTTCCCAGTGCTATGAAAGATCTAATTCTTGGTGCCTGTCTTTGTAATAATGCAACAAAACAATCGTGTATTACACACAATAACGATAATGGAGTTAATAATCCAGTGTTAGACACCAGTGCTGATGATCAGACACCAGCAAAAGAAGCACAGATCATTGGAGATGCAGCTGATGTGGCAATGTATCATATGTGTAACGAAAAATGTTCTATCAATATTGAACAAGTAAAGAAGGTTAATCCGCGTATTAATAGCGTTCCGTTCAATTCGAAAAATAAATTCATGATTACGGCCAATCTTCTAGAACATGTATCAAATGACGAGGAAATGGTGCTGATTACATTGAAAGGTGCACCTGATTTTATTTTATCACGTTGTTCAACGTACAAAACCGACTGTGATGAAGACACGTTGCCGATGACCGATGAATTTCGAACTATCCTTCAGCAACGACAAGAAACATTAGGTGAATCAGGATATAGAGTGATAGCGATGATTCAACAAAAACTGACGAAACGGCGATACGATGCTATGATGGAGTCGTACAGGGCAGGCAAAAGCCATCCGCAATCAACCGAAGAGTCATCGTCTAGTGTACTCGACTTGAATGGATTACCAGCAGATAACTATTGCTTCATTGGTAAGTAAAAATACAAGTAAATTCTACAAATCAAGCCTATTTGATCAATATTCTACTTAGGTATGTTTGCACTGCTTGATCCAGCGCGTCCGGAAGTACCTGAAGCTGTGCTCAAAGCACGCCATGCTCATATTCGTGTTGCTATGGTCACTGGCGACCATCCGACGACAGCAGCGGCGATTGCCAAGAAGGTCAATATTTTTACCAAAGAAATCAGTATTGACGGTGGTACTGACAAATTCAAAATAGAATACAATAGTGAAACACAAGAAACTGTAGCCCATTTTCTACGTAATACACATACATTGCTTGAACGTCATATTGTTGGAGATTTAACAACACCCACCAATATAAAGGGCATAAAATCAATTTCGAATCCGAAGAAAAAGTCGAACATTTTTAAAAGACTCTGGAACGGGTTTCTCTACTACTTGCGCGATCCAAATCAAGTCAAAAGTGTGAAAAAACTTGATATTATTCCATACGGAGTCATTGTTACCGGTAGTGACATGCATTCAATGGACGTATGTATCTTCATTAACAGATGGGAGTTCTATTTTTAGTTAAACGATTTCATTTCTTTAGGAACACATGTGGGATTGGGTCTTGTCTCATAGAGAAATTGTTTTTGCTCGAACATCACCAGAACAAAAACTACAGATTGTTATGGCATTTTCCAAACGTGGTGAAGTCGTCGCCGTGACAGGAGACGGAACAAACGATGCGCCTGCACTTAAACAGGCCGATTTAGGCGTAGCAATGGCAGCGGGAACAGAAGTTGCCAAGGAAGCGGGAGATCTGATCTTACTAGATAACAACTTTTCATCAATTATCAGTGCAATTGAAATGGGTCGATTGCTAAGTGATAACTTGAAAAAAGTTGCCATCTATCTGCTACCAGGAGGTAAATATCTCATCAACCTTGAGTTCGTATAAAACCATTATCTGATATGATAGGCACATGGTCTGAAGTAATTCCTGTACTTGTGAGTACTTGGATGGGCATTCCACTTTCACTATCTCTTTTTCTTGGCGTTGTTTTCTGTATGTTTAACGACATTGTTAATTCTTTGGCAATGGTTTCAGAAAAAGCCGAGCAGGATATTATGTCTCGACCGCCAGCCATTCGTCATAAAACTCATCTGATTGATTGGAAACTACTTGTGCACGCTTACTTAATTATGGGAAATATTGAATGTTTTACTGCGTTTTTCTGCTTTTTCTGGTATTATGCGTCGGAAGGTATTCCCGTCAGCAGTATCTTTTTCACTTACGCTAGTTTTGGTACCAATCCTCCCATCGATAAGTCAGCGGATGAGCTCACTAGTATTCTACAAACCGGTCAATCAATATATTATGTATCGTTATGTATCATGCAAATGTTTAACCTTATTTCGACAAGAACACGCTATGTATCATTCTTTAAACATAATCCATTCTTTGGAAAAACGCGTAATTTAACCATCTGTATCGGAGTTGTTTTCTCAACCTCTGTCGGTCTACTTATTACACTAGTACCTTGGTTCAACTCAGTATTTAAAACTAAACCAGTGCCAGTAAAGTATATCTGTCCAGCGCTAGGCTTTGGTGTTGGTTTATTTGTATTCGATGAAGTACGTAAGTTTCTTGTGCGACGTTATCCAAAATCATTGCTGGCCAAAATCGCTTGGTAACATGGTACATTTCACATTTTAAACTTAACTTATTAATTTGAAGTAGTGTGGATTTTCATTTAGTTACATAAATATAGCTTTTCTGCAACATATTCCTTAGTATATTCTATTATTGTTTTTGCTTCTGTGAGAAATCGCTTTTCTCAATAAATATTTCAAAATTTGCCATACTTATCTTCATGAAAAAAACACAGATCAATTCTAAATAACTACGCAATGGAGAATATGACGAGGATAATCGAGTACAGTTTAAACATAGTCATGCAGTATTATCTATCAATGACGACGTTAAATAAAGAACAAGTCTCCATGACCATCATCTCTTTCTCTTTATATATAAATATATATATTCAAATATTTGTTCTTAATACATTACGCTATAAATCCTCGTCTACAGTTAAACGTACGCCATGATAATGGCTGGTACCGTAGCTGAAGATATTAATTATCTTGATTCAACAACCGATGATTGTCTTCCTTGGCCAGTACAGCTGTCCATACCAGCAACAATGCGAACAAACTTTGCACACACACCGACTCACGTTCCCATCCATGATTTACCAGGCAAAGAAAATAATTTTACTTTGAATGCAAATGCTATCGAAGTAGTGCACTATGATGATTCTATACAAACAGAATTTGAACAAGATAGTGAAGAGCAAAAGATTTATTTAAGGAGATGGAAGAATTTCTCAAAAATCACCTGCATGCATCTCGTGTCATTGCATATCATCAGAGTTTTCGTTCTCGTGCAGTTCATCAAGAGCTGATGACGACTGTGATAATAAACATAGAAATCCTGTTTATTATCCTCATGTTGATGTTGACTCTACTCAAGCTTAGAAAACATTGAATAAAGAGCTCGATAGACATGGTGAACGAACAGATCTAGACGACAAAATCAAACGATTTCAAATAATCAATCTTTGGCGTTCATTAAGTCCCAACCCAATTACAGACAATCCATTAACCATCTGTGATTATCGTTCGATTGATCCAGTTAAGAATGCTCATATGCTGACCGTTCGTGGAGAAACTGACAATACAACAGCGTACACAATCTCGGAAAGTGCACACGATACTCATATGTAGTATTATTTAAGTGAAGTGCGTTCTAATGAAATGTTTGTTTTGAGAACGTGCGATAGCAAATCTGATGTCGCTCAATATGCATCTCACACTGCTTTTCATAATAGTAGTGCGTCCGTATCAAACGGAGAACAGAAAAGCTTGGAGATTCGTTGTATAGTTTTGTTTGCATTCATTCACTGGAGATATTAGTCATAAATAAATATCCAATAAAAAAGAGGGGAGTGATAGGATAAAATTTTATTCATAGCTTTATCAACCGATGACGACATGGGATAGAAAAGAAAAATGCATCTTTTGTGCTGATTTACGTATTCGACCTCCAAATCGATTGGTTGCTTTACATTTATCATTATACATAAACAACGATACATTCATTTACTTTTCTTTTTTCTCTTCTCTTTTTCGCACATCATAATATGGTTGCTGACGTGCTTGGTGATATTAATTATCTTACTTCCACTACAGACGGATGTCCAGCGTGGTTAAAAACGTATTCCGAAGCTGCATCACAACGGTCAAATCTCGTACAAGCTCCTACCAACATTCTCATCCATAATTTACGTGGAAAGGAGAATAGTGTTGATTTCGACACAAATGCTTTTGAAGTGCTCAAATACAATGGTTCTATACAAGCAGAATTTGAGGATGCTAGTGAAGAACAAAAGCGTTGCTATAAGGAAATGGAAGAATTACTTGAGAAGCACCTTGGTGCTTCTCGTGTGATCGTCTATCATCATAGTTTTCGCTCCCGTGGTAAGCCGCGGCCAAATGAAGAATTAAATGATACTCATAGAAATCCAGCTTATTATCCCCACACTGATATTGACGGTTTTGGTGCCGAAAACTTAGTTAAACGACTAATCGATGAAAACAACTGTGAAAACGAAAAGGTCACACGAGCGCAAATAATGAATGTCTGGCGTTTGTTGGGTTCTAATCCATCGACTGACAAGCCGTTGACGATTTGCGATTATCGTTCGATTGACACTGAAAAGGATGTTCATTCACTCGAAATTCGCGGAAATTTGGCACATAAAGAACATCGCACAGCTCGTATTTTGTCTCGAAATCCAGAAGACGCACACAAATGGTATTATCTTAGTGACATACGTCCTGATGAAATGTTTGCCTTTAAAATGTATGATAGCAAACCTAATGTGGCTCAATATGCATTTCACACAGCTTTTCATAATACTAGTGTGTCCGCATCAGATGAAGAACAGAAAAGCTTGGAAATTCGTTGTTTAGTTTTGTATTATAATTAATACTGAGTTCTTTCAGTCTAATAATTTTACGGTTCAATAAAAAGCCTTAACTTATTTGAAGGTACAAAACTGCTCATATATGTTAAATTTTCTGATAGTCATCGGCTTTGTCGAGAGTAAGTAACCCTAAGCAAATCAGTATTGACTTTCAAATTTATATTGACGATTGTACCCGCTATAAGATATTACTTTTCACGAAACGGACTCGTACTAACATCAACTGATGAACTACAATTTACCTTGCGTTTCGATCGGATATTTCCTGAAAATCACACTATTCAGTAGCGTTTTCGTTGGTCTTCCTCTCATCGAGTACATCACTTATAATAACATATTCATTCTAGTTTAACGTCGACTTTGTCCAAATGAATATCTCAAAAGTCATTCATTGGAGAAGTTCAGAAATTTTAGAATCACAATTGCGGATCAAACGACGAAATCTATACGCTTTTTATTTTACCATTTATTGATTTTAGAACAGAACGAGATATAGCTGTCGCTATTTGCCTAACGTCTGTATATTTACGATCATTGTGTGACATTAGATCAATTACGCCGTTGCGTAGAAACGTTCTTGTTCGTTGACACGAAGTCAAATTTCAGATGAGTGAAAAATAATCTTTTGGTCATTCATTGTCTCTATATCTATACATTGTTTAAAGCTGCTGGTTTGAAATACATGACAATGCAGTTTTCGATCCAATAAAAAAATGCTCCGCTATGTGCAAATGTTAATCTGGCCTTGTTACGTATTTCTTTAAGAATGACAAAGCAAAAATTCAATGGCATACGGCATGGCGAAGCAATACTTTGCTCTTACATAAATAGAATCGTATTTTGTACAAAATTTTCATTCCTCATACTTTAGTCATCTTGACTACATACACACATACACATACATTTGATTATGGCGTCATACAAACTCTATTATTTCAATGTTCGTGGCCGTGCTGAAGTTTCTCGTTTACTATTCGCTGCTGCCGGTCAAAGATTCGAAGATATCCGTATAGAACAAAGTACATGGCCAGCGTACAAATCTCAAATGCCCCTAGGTCAAATGCCCGTTCTAGAATTCAATGGTACACAACTGGTTCAATCAATAACAATTGCACGGTTTCTTGCTAGACAATTTCGATTAGGTGGCAAGGACGGCTTTGAATTAGCTAAAGTTGAAGCTGTTGTTGATACTGTCAGTGATTTAGTATCCGCCATAACGCCAATTCGACGTGAACAAGACGAAAGAAAAAAACATGACATGTTACAAAAATTTCTAAGCGAACAGTTGTCAAAACATTTGCAAGATCTCGAAATTTTGGGTCGATTATACGGTCAAGGTGGTCCATACTTTGTTGGAAATAGTTTAACATTGGCAGATTTAGCGTTCTATGATGCTGGACAATCTCTTCTTGAAATGGATAGAACTGCTCTAAACAATCATCCGTGGTTGAAACAAAATCGGTCGGAAGTTGAGCGACACCCAAGAATTGCAGAATATCTCCGAAATCGACCCATAACAGCATTTTGAAGAACTTTTCAATGAAATAATGTTTTTTTGTTTCTTTACGATTAATCATTTGGAAAATATAAATGTGCATTTTTAAATAACTAAAAGAGTTAACTAATCACGAACCTATCTTAGTCAACAATTGAGACTGAATTTTGTGATGTATAGTACTGCTAGAACTGAAGGAAAACAACGATACTCGCAGTCGATTGAATAACATTTATAATGAAAACTTTGGATGTTGTAAAAGAAATAGGAGTTCTATAGGCGACAATATGCTTGACATTAGTTACAAGGTGTGCTTTCTCAAATTTAAGTTTAACTAGCTAGCTATTGAAGATGATTTCTGGCAAAGTTTAACCCTCTCACTCTCGGTTGCTGCTATATCTTATGATACAATTGAAGAGCACATATGTCACTTCTTTCTTCCAATGGCAAGATTGATAACACTATGTGATGACCTCTATTATAACCAATTATGCAATTATATTGGAAGACAAAATATAACGACTAATAGGCAACAAAGAAAGAGCACAATGTATAAAATGGTTTGCATCTATGGCCTCAATGCTACACAACAAAGATGAGAACAAAACGTGAGTAATCATGAATCTAAATATGGCTATTTGTAAGCTAGAAGTTTGCATTTCTTTAGAAGCAACAGTTTTACTCTCGTTACCTGATGAATTGTTCATCTATCATATTTTCATTTATCTTCGCTCAACAGATTTATTATATTCATTTGGTCAATTGTACAATCAACCCATGAATAGTCTTGTTTGTGCACATGTTCGTCATATTGATCTCTTAACTACTAACACACCATTTGTTCCGATTGACAAATGGCTATCTTACATTTCGTATTTGAAAAAAGCAACTTTATCTCTTCGAACGGATTTAGAGTATTTCGACTATTCACTCTCCTTCCTGTTTTCGCGACTTGATCTTCAACTCACAGCAACAACACATCAAAATATCTCTAGATTATCCTCATTTACCCAACTGAGAAAACTTTCAATTACTTCAACTGCTACCAAAGCAGAAAAAAATAGAAGGATTGGTCTCGTTTATATGGCAACCTGATAGTTGTCTAGAAGATTTATCGACTTCCAATTGTTTCATTTTGGATTGATATGATTTACTTCCTAGCTCAAGTTCTCTCAAGGTTAACCGAAAACTTACACGTTTATCCATTGATTTGGGTCATATTTGTTTTGCCATTGCGTTGATGCCGTTTGTACCAGCTCTTGAACATGTTGAGGTTTGCCAAAGTTTTTACAAAAACGAAAAGAGTGGCCTACTAATGTTATATCATTACGTTTTATCGCTTATGACCAATTCATGGATACTACAAGTTTCTGTGAATTTGTGAAGCGTCTTTCTTCATCATTCGAACATCTATCATTCTACATGAGGACGCATCGACGTTTTCTTATGTCGACACCATGCACATTCGAGCAACATTTACTCAATTACTTATCACGTTTAAAACACATCAAGTTTTGTGTCTACAATGGAGTGGTGAACACTAAAAGTGATCGTCGCATAGCATTTGATTCTTGAACAAAAACGCAAGTCGTTTCAGTATATCATTGGCGTAAGTTTGACATACGATTCACACTTCCATTCACTTTCGATCGTCTTGAATATGTATCCAATGACTTTATTTATTATCACTGCAGTGTTTATCAATCTGACATCATTACACTTCCATCAATTGTCATGATTATCTTTCATTCTGGCTCTGCCTTAAGTCTCGCACTATTCACACTTCTTAAGCAAATATGTCCTTTTCTTCGTCATCTTTGCTTTGACAGGTTTTTCAACTTAAGCGATGATTTAATACAAGACACAAAATTAACATTGCCAAATGTTACATTTCCTATTGATTATCTTGTGTTACGTCGTATTTTCTCTGTGGCACCTTATATAAAACATTTGATTGCTAACCGACTCAATATCACTGCCATTGACATCATGAACAATGATATGCAGATTTTCGGACACAGTATCCAAATAACAATAGTCGGTTACCATTCATAAAATGAACAACAATACATTTAATTATGTCAACTTTTGAATAAATAGAAAACGTGCGGGAAAAGTAATATGCTGTCTATGATTTCATCAGTTTTCCCAGATAAAAGAATACTAATATTGTAATGTCTATAATAGGATAATTATTGATCGACATGTGCACGAAAAGATCTCATGTTTGATTATTTTCTTACAGATATTTCGTAGGTAAAAGCAAATCATTTGCAGCATTATTAAGTTTCAACTACTTCCTTCATAAATACATCGCTTATATTGCATTCTAGATGCACAGCTGTAGTTGTTGATTTAAGGATATCTTGGACGAGTAATAGAGCTCCTTCCAGATAGTCTTGGAAAATTGTTAAACGCCGGAGTGTGCATTCGATACTTTCCAACAATCAACAACCAGAACTGCGAGAGTGAAATCCTTTTCTTGAGTTTACTCACATTTTTTGATGACCCGTTTATTTCGATTAAAACATTGATAACTAGTGGTGCAGGTCGTCAGTCGATATTTTTGCTAGAGTTGCCGTACTTGCAAGCCGACGGGTGACACCCATTGATAATAATGGACATGTACCAGTACAGTCCGACTACTCTTCTACCAAAAAAGTGTCGAATGTAGCACCCGAAGGGACGAGTTAGAAGCTGCGGAGTCCTTAGAAAACATTTTCTTGAATTCAAAGTATGGATGAGTTGTGTTCACATAAAGCGTAGCTTCGACATAAAATATTCCGAAAAAATAATTTATCAGAGTCGGGATGAAGGTGGGTTTCTATCGAGTGAAAAACGATCGAAATGGAGACGAGAAAAAGCAATTCTGTCGCACTCTAATTGCATAAGTCTCAATCAGGTGATAATCAATCCAACCTAGTTCAAGTGGATGATATTCAGTTTTGACTATGGATATTGATCGCACTGAAACTAAATTTGACTTGGTAATGGGCTCAAAAGCTTCTCTCCAATGGCGTCAAAAAGAAACTGTTGAAAATAGAAACGACGCAACTTTTGATAGATGGGATTGTTGGCAAAAGGAAGTTAAGGAGAAATGGAGCCTTCCACACCCTCGTCTTGTGATTTCGACATTTTTATTTTTCGATCTAATTAAGGATACTTCAGGAAAAATGCCATAAAATCAGCTTTCTTTCAACATATCTCAAAAAGAATCTAAGTTATCAATAGGAGAAGATATTTTATCGTAAAATTTGTAGCTTTATCTATGAAAACTAAAAAATATTTTGTTATTAAATTATTCGGACATAGTCAGTTCTGCCGACAACGTCCTAAAGGACCCAATGGGATGTATTTGACTCAGATAGTTTAAATAGAAAAGTACGTGTCGATTCGATTTTCCTCTCTATAACGGGCGGAAAGAAAATCGAGGTATATTTGTATTTGTATGTCGATAGGAATAGACAGACTATGGTGTTCAGCCAGAAAGGAAAAGAATACATCGACGCACATTTCTAAACATATCGCATTTTCGATTGGAAACGACAAAGTAAGATGGAGCTGATTAATAACATACAAATGGAAAATTTTGGTGTTGATTCGAATATTTTGTGTACTACTGGGGTCTCATCCTGCGTAGCTGCATTAGTTGAACTTCAAGACAAAGTCTTTATCTATCACATCGATCCCAGTTGTTTCCAAAAATCCACAACCGGCTCAATAAATCATGGTCACAGTCTTTTGATAAAAATATTTGACAAAATATGTCTAACAGATGGACACGCAAGTGTTCAGAAGACATATTTAATAGGTGGTTGGAAGAACGATCAATATAAAAAACTGCGTGATCAAATTGATTCATTGTGTAGCAATCCATCATCAGTGATGGATTACAAATATGCATCATCTTGCAGTTTTTATTCGTTTATTGATTCCATTAAATTAAATCTTATTACATTTAATCTACCTCAAAAGTCACCAGATGGTCGAGTAAAAAAAGATGATGATGATGATGACGATCCGAATGATTATATAATGGATTGTACAATTATCTTTGGTCGATCATCAGATAACGTTTTGGTAATTTACCAGTATGATGGTAGAGAACATGAAAGGAATTCTGACAAGCACCGGTCATTATTATTAGGCACATATGTTATCAATGTCGTATCACATGATATAAAAGCATATTTATTTGATGAAAAACAATCACTTTTATCATGATGAAGCTGTGAAACAAATGATTGATAATATGAAAAGTACTTCTAATGTATTAAAATGGACCAATGATCATTCAATGGAAAAATTCCAGTGTTTGTTATTGCGAGTGAAACCAACACGTATTCTCTAGGATGGTGATTAGATCTCTATGGATAGTTCTTTTTTTCTTGTTTCAACAATTTATTACGGTGAAAGAAATCTATGGCATAGTAGAATAACTAGGAACTTCAGAAAGTCTGCTCAAGGTTCTTGACTCAAGCCTTATGCCTATTTAGGAGTGGTTTTTCATTTAGTTTGCTGGACATTTGATGAAGATTTATGTTCGCCTTTTCTTCTTGTTTCTTATCTTCATTATTTTTCCATTGGTGATTAAGTTTGTTAGAAGTGTTGTAGCACATGTTTTATTGCAAGCTGATTTCTTTATGTCTATTCTCTTTCCCGCAGAGAAGAGTCTTGCAAGGTATTTTTGAGGATGAAAAGGTAGGTAAAACATATGCACCTTCTCAACCTTCAGATGGTATTGGCTTAAATGGTAATTGCACAAATCAATAGGTAAATAGTTCTTGCATATGAAAAACAGGAAGTTAAACCTCAAGTACTTACTTTGCTAAAATCATAAATTTTCTCAAGTTTAAAACTACTGCACCACCAAATTGGAATCACTTGCTATATCTAACCAAAATGATCATATACATAGATATTCGAATCTGAATGTTGAGTACAAGAACAGTTGGACAATAGAACTCAACTTTGAAGTTAATTGATACGACACATTACTGAAACAGAACATATGTTTATACGGATAATTTTTTCCAACCTTCAATCTTAAACATCTCAAATACACTATTATTCAAATTTTCCTTCGATCATTCTTTTTACTCTTCATAGTCCTTTACCTTCGTATCGATCATCAACATTTTCTGTTCACGTTCGTTTTTGTCCTTCAGTTTGCTTTCAACATACTTCAATCGTCTATATTTATCACAAACAAAACAATTTCAACCATTATGTCTCATTGTCCTTCACATTGTTTTATTTCTTCAACTTCAATTACCTGTATGCTTCTTTTCACATCAGAACAATTTCTACATGCCATCTGTTGAGCACAGGATGAAGACCCAGATTGACAATTTCAGGTAAGATTACTTCATCTGACATGCTGTATGCAACATAAACCTTCTTTCTGTAGTGCCGAGGAAACCATTGAAGAGCCTTCGCATGGTAACATACGTAAACTACTCATTATGGGCTTAGAAGGGAGTGGCAAAACATCGCTGATTAACAATTTATGTGGAACATCGTACCTTACGGGAACAAATCGATATGGTTATAGAATTATGGACAATCAAAGAGGTTCGTTTAAAACCATCTCTCCACCTTGTGAGATTATTCTCTACGACACGAATGGTCTGAGAATCAATGAGCCGGGCAAATGGCATGAACATCTTAGAAGTACATTAGAAATCCATGGTGTCATCTTCTTTATTGATGGACATGATAAACGATGCAGTTTACACGGTGATCTACCACGATTGATTGAATATTGTCGAAATTTAGAATTACCTGTATTGTATCTATTTCGATCGGATCTCGTCGATTGGTTAGACGAGGAGTGCAGTTTTGATAATTTANAGCGTTCCGTTTAATTCGAAAAAATAAATTCATGATTACGGCCAATCTTCTAGAACATAAATCAAATGACGAGGAAATGGTGCTGATTACATTGAAAGGTGCACCTGATTTTATTTTATCACGTTGTTCAACGTACAAAACCGACTGTGACGAAGACACGTTGCCGATGACCGATGAATTTCGAACTATCCTTCAACAACGACAAGAAACATTAGGTGAATCAGGATATAGAGTGATAGCGATGATTCAACAAAAACTGACCAAACGGCGATACGATGCTATGATGGAGTCGTACAGGGCAGGCAAAAGCCATCCCCAATCACCCGAAGAGTCATCGTCTAGCGTACTCGACTTGAATGGATTACCAGCAGATAACTATTGCTTCATTGGTAAGTAAAAATACAAGTGAATTCTACAAATCAAGCCCATTTGATCAATATTCGACTTAGGTATGTTTGCACTGCTTGATCCAGCGCGTCTGGAAGTACCCGAAGCTGTGCTCAAAGCACGCCATGCTCATATTCGTGTTGCTATGGTTACTGGCGACCATCCGACGACAGCAGCGGCGATTGCCAAGAAGGTCAATATTTTTACCAAAGAAGTCAGTATTGATGGTGGTATTGACAAATTCAAAATAGAATACAATAGTGAAACACAAGAAACTGTAGCCCATTTTCTACGTAATACACATACATTGCTTGAACGTCATATTGTTGAAGATTTAACAACACCCACCAATATAAAAGGCATCAAATCAGTTTCGAATCCGAGGAAAAAGTCGAACATTTTTAAAAGACTCTGGAACGGTTTTCTCTACTACTTGCGCGATCCAAACCAAGTCAAAAGTGTGAAAAAACTTGATATTATTCCCTACGGAGTCATTGTTACCGGTAGTGATATGCATTCAATGGACGTATGTGTCTTCATTGACAGATGGGAATCCTATTTTTAGTCAAAGATTTCATTTCTTTAGGAACATATGTGGGATTGGGTCTTGTCTCATAGAGAAATTGTTTTTGCTCGAACATCGCCAGAACAAAAACTACAGATTGTTATGGCATTTTCCAAACGTGGTGAAGTCGTCGCTGTGACAGGAGACGGAACAAACGATGCGCCTGCACTTAAACAGGCCGATTTAGGTGTCGCAATGGCAGCAGGAACAGAGGTCGCCAAGGAAGCTGGAGATCTGATCTTACTAGATAACAACTTTTCATCAATTATCAGTGCAATTGAAATGGGTCGATTACTAAGTGATAACTTGAAAAAAGTTGCCATCTATCTGCTACCAGGAGGTAAATATCTCATCAACCTTGAATTCGTATAAAAATCATTATCTGATATGATAGGCACATGGTCTGAAGTAATTCCTGTACTTGTGAGTACTTGGATGGGCATTCCACTTTCATTATCTCTTTTTCTTGGTGTTGTTTTCTGCATGTTTAACGACATTGTTAATTCTTTGGCAATGGTTTCAGAAAAAGCCGAGCAGGATATTATGTCTCGGCCGCCAGCCATTCGTCATAAAACTCATCTGATTGACTGGAAATTACTTGTTCACGCTTACTTAATTATGGGAAATATTGAATGTTTTACTGCGTTTTTCTGTTTTTTCTGGTATTATGCGTCGGAAGGCATTCCCGTCAGCAGTATCTTTTTCACCTACGCTAGTTTTGGTACAAATCCTCCCATCGATAAGTCAGCGGATGAGCTCAATAGTATTCTACAAACTGGCCAATCCATATATTATGTATCGTTATGTATCATGCAAATGTTTAATCTAATTTCGACAAGAACACGTTATGTATCATTCTTTAAACATAATCCATTCTTTGGAAAGACGCGTAATTTAACCATCTGTATAGGGGTTGTTTTCTCGACGTCTGTCGGCCTGCTTATTACACTAGTACCTTGGTTCAACTCAGTATTTAAAACCAAACCGGTGCCAGTAAAGTATATCTGTCCAGCGCTAGGCTTTGGTGTTGGTTTATTTGTATTCGATGAAGTGCGTAAGTTTCTTGTGCGACGTTATCCGAAATCATTTCTGGCTAAAATCGCTTGGTAACATGGTACATTTCATATTTAAACTTGATTTATTATTTTTAAGTAATGTGGATTCTCATATATTTACATAAATATAGCTTTTCTGCAACATATTTCTTAGTATTCTATTACTGCTTTTGCTTCTGTGGAAAATCGCTTTTCTCAATAAATATTTCAAAATTTGCCGTACTTATCTTCATGAAAAAAATACAGATAAATTCTAAATAACTACGCAATGGAGAAGTACGATTCAAACACAGTCATGCAATATTATCTATCAATGACGACGTTAAATAGAGAACAAGTATCCATGACCATCATCTCTTTTTCTTTATATATAAATATATATATTCAAATATTTGTTCTTAATACATTACGCTATAAATCCTCGTCTACAGTTAACCGTACGCCATGATAATGGCTGGTGCCGTAGCTGGAGATATTAATTATCTTGATTCAACAGCTGATGATTGTCCTCCTTGGCCAGTACAGCTGTCCATACCAGCAACAATGCGAACAGAATTTGAACAAGATAGTGAAGAGCAAAAGATTTATTTAAGGAGATCGAAGAATTTGTCAAAAATCACCTGCGTGCATACATCTCGTGTCATTGCATATCATCAAGAGCAGATGACGACTGTGATAATAAACATAGAAATCCTGTTTATTATCCTCATGTTGATGTTGACTCTACTCAAGCTTAGAAAACATTGAATAAAGAGCTCTATAGACGACAAAATCAAACGATTTCAAATAATCAATCTTTGGCGTTCATTAAGTCCCAATCCAATTACAGACAATCCATTAACTATCTGTGATTATCAGTCGATTGATCCAGTTAAGGATGCTCATATGCTGACCGTTCGTGGAGAAACTGACAATACAACAGCGTACACAATCTCGGAAAATGCGCACATTACCCATATTTAGTATTATTTAAGTGAAGTGCGTTCTAATGAAATGTTTGCATTCATTCACTGGAGATATTAGTCATAAATAAATATCCAATAAAAAAGAGGGGAGTGATAGGATAAAATTTTATTCATAGCTTTATCAACCGATGACGACACGGGATAGAAAAGAAAAATGCATCCTTTGTGCTGATTTACGTATTCGACCTCCAAGTCGATTAGTTGCTTTACATTTATCACTATAAATAAAGAACGATACACTCCTTTACTTTTCTTTTTCTCTTCTCTTTTTCGCACATCACAATATGGTTGCTGGCGTGCTTGGTGATATTAATTATCTTACTTCTACTACAGACGGATGTCCAGCGTGGTTAAAAACGTATTCCGAAGCTGCATCGCAACGGTCAAATCTCGTACAAGCTCCTACCAACATTCTCATCCATGATTTACGTGGAAAAGAGAATAGTGTTGATCTCGACACAAATGCTTTTGAAGTGCTCAAATACAATGGTTCTATACAAGCAGAATTTGAGGATGATAGTGAAGAACAAAAGCGTTGCTATAAGGAAATGGAAGAATTACTTGAGAAGCACCTTGGCGCTTCTCGTGTGATCGTCTATCATCATAGTTTTCGCTCCCGTGGTAAACCGCGGCCAAATGAAGAATTAAATGATACTCATAGAAATCCAGCTTATTATCCCCACACTGACATTGACGATTTTGGTGCTGAAAAATTAGTTAAACGACTAAACGACGAAAACAACTGTGAAAACGAAAAGGTCACACGAGCGCAAATAATGAATATCTGGCGTTTGTTGGGTTCTAATCCATCGACTGACAAGCCGTTGGCGATTTGCGATTATCGTTCGATTGACACTGAAAAGGATGTTCATTCGCTCGAAATTCGCGGGAATTTAGCACGTAAAGAACATCGCACAGCTCGTATTTTATCTCGAAATGCAGAAGACGCACACAAATGGTATTATCTTAGTGACATACGTCCTGATGAAATGTTTGCCTTTAAAATGTATGATAGCAAACCTGATGTGGCTCAATATGCATTTCACACAGCTTTTCATAATACTAGTGTGTCCGCATTAGATGAAGAACAGAAAAGCTTGGAAACTCGTTGTTTAGTTTTGTATTATAATTAATACCGGCTGTTTTTCGGTCTAATAGTTTTACAGTTCAATAAAAAGCCTGAATTTATTTGAAGGTACAATATTGCTCATATATGTTAAACTTTCTGATAGTCGTCGGCTTTGTCGAGAGTAGCCCTAAGCTAATCAGTATTGACTTTCGAATTTATATTGGCGCTTTTCACGAAACGGACTCGTACTAACATCAACTGATGAGCTACAATTTACCTTGAGTTTCGATCGGATATGTCCTGTGAAAATCACATTATTCAGTAGCGTTTTCGTTGGTCTTCCTCTCATCGAGTACATGCCACTTATAATAACATATTCATTCTAGTTTAACGTCGATTTTGTTCAAATGAATATCTCAAAAGTCATTCATTGCAAAAGTTCAGAAATTTTCGAATCACAATTGATCAAACGACGAAATCTATACGCTTTTTATTTTACCATTTATTGATTTTAGAACAGAACGAGATATAGCTGTCGCTATTTGCCTAATGTCTGTATATTTACGATCATTGTGTGGTATAGATCAATTACATCGTTGCGTAGAAACTTTCGTGTTCGTTGACACGAAGTCAAATTTCAGATGAGTGAAAAATAATATTTTGGTCATTCATTGTCTCTCTACCCATATACTGTTTACAGCTGCTGGTTTGAAATACATGACAATGCAGTTTTCGATCCAATAAAAAATGCTCCGCTATGTGTAAATGTTAATCTGGCCTTGTTAAGTATTTCTTTAAGAATGACAAAGCAAAAATTCAATGGCATACGGCATGGCGAAGAAATACTTTCCTCTTACATAAATAGAATCGTATTTTGTACAAAATTTTCATTCCTCATACTTTAGTCATCTTGACTACACACGCACACACACACACACACGTTTGATTATGGCGTCATACAAACTTTATTATTTCAATGGCCGTGGTCGTGCTGAAGTTTCCCGTTTACTATTCGCTGCTGCCGGTCAAAGATTCGATGATATCCGTATAGAACAAAGCACATGGCCCGCATACAAATCTCAAATGCCCCTAGGTCAAATGCCCGTTCTAGAATTCAATGGTACACAACTGGTTCAATCAATAACAATTGCACGGTTTCTTGCTAGACAATTTCGACTGGGTGGGAAGGACGGTTTTGAATTAGCTAAAGTTGAAGCTGTTGTTGATACTGTGAATGATTTAGTAACAGCAATAACACCAATTCGACGTGAACAAGACGAAAGAAAAAAACATGACATGTTACAGAAATTTCTAAACGAACAGTTGTCAAAACATTTGCAAGATCTCGAAATTTTGGGTCGATTATACGGTCAAGGTGGTCCGTACTTTGTTGGAAATAGTTTAACATTGGCAGATTTAGCGTTCTATGATGCTGGACAATCTCTTCTTGAAATGGATAGAACTGCTCTAAACAATCATCCGTGGTTGAAACAAAATCGGTCGGAAGTTGAGCGACATCCAAGAATTGCAGAATATCTCCGAAATCGACCCATAACAGCATTTTGAAGAACTTTTCAATGAAATAATGTTTTTTTTTGTTTCTTCACGATTAATCATTTGGAAAATATAAATGTGCATTTTTAAATAACTAAAAGAGTTAACTAATCACGAACCTACCAGAACTGAAGGAAAAAAACGATACTCGCAGTCGATTGAATAACATTTATAATGAAAACTTTGCATGTTGTAAAAAATATAGGAGTTCTATAGGCGACAATATGCTTGATATTAGTTACAAGGTGTGCTTTTTCAAATATAAGTTTAACTAGCTAGCTATTGAAGATGATTTCTGGCAAAGTTTAGACTTCTCACTCTCGGTTGCTGCTATATCTCATGATACAATTGAAGAGCACATATGTCACTTCTTTTTTCCAATAGCAAGATTGATAACACTATGTGATGACTTCTATTATAACCAATTATGCAATTATATTGGAAGACAAAATATAACGACTAATAGGCAGCAAAGAAAGAGCACAATGTATAAAATGGTTTGCATCTATGTTTTACTCTCGTTACCTGACGAATTGTTCGTCTATCATATTTTCATTTATCTTCGCTCAACAGATTTATTATATTCATTTGGTCAATTGCACAATCAACGTATGAATAGTCTTCTTTGTGCACATGTTCGCCATATGGATCTCTTAACCACTGACACACCGTTTGTTCCGATTGACGAATGGCTATGTCACATTTCGTATTTGAAAAAAGCAATTTTATCTCTTCGAACGGATTTAGAGTATTTCCACTATTCACTCTCCTTCCTGTTTTATATGGCAACCTATGGTAGTTGTCTAGAAGATTTTATCGACTTCCAATTGTTTCATTTTGGATCGATATGATTTACTTCCTAGCTCATCATGTTCTCTCAAGGTTAGCCGAAAACTTACACGTTTATCAACTGATTTGGGTCATATTTGTTTTGCCATTGCGTTGATGCCGTTTGTAACAGCTCTTGAACATGCTGAGGTTCGCCTCCATAACGTCTACAAATATCAATCATCAGTTTTTTCGCCGAAGTTTTTACAAAAACGACAAGAGTGGCCTACAAATGTTATATCATTACGTTTTATCGCTTATGACCAATTCATGGATACAACAAGTTTCTGTGAGTTTGTGAAGCGTTTTTCTTTATCACTCGAACATCTATCATTCTACATGAGGACGCATCGACGTTTTCTTATGTCGACACCATGCACATTCGAGCAACATTTACTCAACTACTTATCACGTTTAAAACACATCGAGTTTTGTGTCTACAATGGAGTGGGGAACACTAAAAGTGATCGTCGCACAGCATTTGATTCTTGGACAAAAATGCAAGTCGTTTCAGTATATCATTGGCGTAAGTTTAACATACGATTCACACTTCCATCAATTGTCATGATTATCTTTCATTCTGGCTCTGCCTTAAGTCTCGCACTATTCACACTTCTAAAGTAAATATGTGCTTTTCTTCGTCATCTTTGCTTTGACACGTTTTTCAACTTAAGCGATGATTTAATACAAGACACAAAATTAACATTGCCAAATGTTACCGAACTTTGTCTTAAAAACGTTACATTTCGTATTGATTATCTTGTGTTACGTCGTATTTTCTCTTTGGCACCTTGTATAAAACATTTGATTGCTAACCAACACAATATCCAAATAACAATAGTCGGTTACCATTCATAAAATGAGCAACAATACATTTAATTATGTGTTTTGATTAAACTAATTTTAAGAACCACATATGATATGTAATTATGATGTATGAATCAATAACTGGCAAAGTAAATAGACGATAGATATTCTACATGGATTATACTTTAGTTCGATTGTCAATAATTTATACATATGCTTTGAAGTGCTATTGATTATTGTATTACACATTGAAGATTCGAAAAAATATACACTTAATTATGTAAACTTTTGAATAAATAGAAAACGTGCGGGAAAAGTAATCTGCTGTCTATGGTTTCATCAGTTTTCCCAGATAAAAGAATACTAATAATGTAATGTATACAATAGGATAATTATTGATCGACATGTGCACGAAAAGATCTCATGTTTGATTATTTTCTTACAGATATTTCGTAGGTAAAAGCAAATCATTTGCAGCATTATGATAAGTTTCAACTACTTCCTTCATAAATACATCGATTGTATTGCATTCTAGATGCACAGCTGTAGCTGTTGATTTAAAGATATCTTGGACGAGTGATAGAGCTCCTTCCAGATAGTCTTGGGAAATTGTTAAACACCGGAGTGCGCATTCGATACTTTCCAACAATCAACAACCAGAACTGCGAGAGTGAAACCCTTTTCTTGAGTTTACTCACATTGTTTGATGACCCGTTTATTTCGATTAAAACATTGATAGCTAGAGCTGCCGTACTTGCAAGCCGACAAGTGACACCTATTGATAACAATGGACATGTACCAGTACAGTCCGACTACTCTTCTACCAAAAAAATGTCAAATGTAGCACCCGAAGGGACGAGTTAGAAGCTGCGGAGTCCTTAGAAAATACTTTATTGAATTCAAAGTATGGACGAGTTGTGTTCACATGAAGCGTAGCTTCGATATCAAGTATCCCGAAAAAATAATTTATCAGAGTCGGGATCAAGGTGGGTTTCTATCGAGTGAAAGACGATCGATATGGAGACGAGAAAAAGCAATTCAGTCGCACTCTAATTACATAAGTCTCGATCAGGTGATAATCAATCCAACCCAGTTCAAGTGGATGATATTCAATCTTGACTATGGATATTGATCGCACTGAAACTAAATCTGACGTGGTAATGGGCTCAAAAGCTTCTCTCCAATGACGTCAAAAAGAAACCGTTGAAAATAGAAACGACGCAATTTTTGATAGATGGAATACGCAAGTGTTCAGAAGACATATTTAATAGGTGGTTGGAAGAACAATCAATATAAAAAACTGCGTGATCAAATTGATTCATTGTGTAGCAATCCATCATCAGTGATGGATTACAAATATGCATCATCTTGCAGTTTTTATTCGTTTATTGATTCCATTAAATTAAATCTTAATACATTTAATCTACCTCAAAAGTCACCAGATGATCGAGTAAAAAACGATGATGATGACGATCCGAATGATTATATAATGGATTGTACAATTATCTTTGGTCGATCATCGGATAGCGTTTTGGTAATTTACCAGTATGACGGTAGAGAACATGAAATGAATTCTGACAAGCACCAGTCATTATTATTAGGCACATATGTTATCAATGTCCTATCACATGATATAAAAGCATATTTATTTGATGAAGCTGTGAAACAAATGATTGATAATGTGAACAGTACTTCTAATGTATTAAGATGGGCCAATGATCATTCAATGGAAAAATTCCAGCGTTTGTTATTGCGAGTGAAACCAACACCTATTCTCAAGGATGATGATTAGATTTCTATGGATAGTTCTTTCTTTTTTTTTCTTGTTTCAACAATTTATTATGGTGAGCTAAATCTATGGCATAGTAGAACAACTAGGAACTTCAGAAAGTCTGCTCAAGGTTCTTGACTCAAGCCTTATGCCTATTTAGGAGTGGTTTTTCATTTAGTTTGCTGGAAATTTGATGAAGATTTGTGTTCGACTTTTTTCTTGTTTCTTATCTTCATTTTTTTTCCATTGGTGATTAAGTTTGTTAGAAGTGTTGTAGCACATGTTTTATTGCAAGCTGATTTCTTTATGTCTATTCTCGTTCCCGCCCAGAAGAGTCTTGCGAGGAATTTTTGAGGGTGAAAAGGTAGGTAAAACATATACACCTTCTCAACCTTCAGATGGTATTGGCTTAAATGGTAATTGCACAAATCAATAGGTAAATAGTTCTTGCATCTGGAAAACAGGAAGTTAAACCTCAAGTACTTACTTTGCTAAAATCATAAGTTTTCTCAAGTTTAAAACCACTGCACCACCAAATTAGAATCAGTCGCTATATCTAACCAAAATGATCATATACATAGATATTCGCATCTGAATCTCGAGTACGAGAATAGTTGGACAATAGAACTCAACTTTGAAGTTAATTGATACGACAAATTACTGAAACAGAACATACGTTTATACGGATAATTTTTTCCAATCTTCAATCTTAAACATCTCGAATGCACTATTATTCAAATTTTCCTTCGATCATTCTTTTTACTCTTCATAGTCCTTTACCTTCGTATCGATCATCAACATTTTCTGTTCTCATTCGGTTTTGTCCTTCAGTTTGCTTTCAACATACTTCAATCATCTATATTTATCATAAACAAAACAATTTCGACTATTGTGTCTGATTGTCCTTCACATTGTTTTATTTCTTCAACTTCAATTACCTATATGCTTCTTTTCACGTCAGAACAATTTCTACATGCCATCTGTTGAACACAGGATGAAGACCCAGTTTGACCAATTTAGGTAAGATTACTTCATCTGACATGCTGTATCTAACATAAACCTTTTTTCTGTAGTGCTGAGGACAACATTGAAGAACCTTCACATGGTAATATACGTAAACTGCTGATTATGGGCTTAGAAGGGAGTGGCAAAACATCGCTGATTAATAATTTATGTGGAACATCGTACCTCACGGGAACAAATCGATATGGTTACAGAATTATTGACAATCAAAGAGGTTCGTTTAAAACCATCTCTCCATCTTGTGAGATTATTCTCTACGACACGAATGGCTTGAGAATCAATGAGCCGGGCAAATGGCATGAACATCTTAGAAGTACATTAGAAATCCATGGTGTCATCTTCTTTATTGATGGACATGATAAACGATGCAGTTTACACGGTGATCTACCACGATTGATTGAATACTGTCGAAATTTAGAATTACCTGTACTGTATCTATTTCGATCGGATCTCGTCGATTGGTTAGACGAGGAGTGCAGTTTTGATAATTTAGTCATTGCGAAAAAAATTGAGAAGACTAGCAACGGCAATGATATTGCTTGGTACACTCAAAGAGACAAACAACGTTTGAAACAACTTATCGCCAGTCGATTTGCCTCTGCTACGGTCTCGAAAGCACTCATCGATCCTGTTCAATTGGCATTGAAAATACGTGAGATCGAAACTCGCCATCAGCAAGAGATGAGAAAACTGAAGGACGAATATCAACAGATTATTAATGAAAAAGATCTATATTATGTCAATCTCGAAAAATTGTATGAAAACGAACAGAAGCATTTAGAATATCTACAAAAGAATTTAAATGATGCTCAAAAACTTTGCGAAGATTTTAGAGCCAAATGTGATCAGATGTCAACGGCGAAGAGAAAATTACAGCAAGAGATCGAAGATTTGAAACGGAAAAAGCAAAGCAGTCTACAAACGATAAAAGTCACAATGAATTATCTACGTACGAACATTAATGCAGTCGCAGTTCCCAACATTCGCGACGATGGCAAATTACGTGTTCGAAGCAAAAGACATCAATGCAAAAAACACAAAGCCTGGTTACCTTTTATCGGTCTGACGATTTCCAATGACTATGATATCTTGAGTGAGAAGATTGCAGAACTTCTTAATGAAGTTGCTAGTAAACTAGAGGATGTTGACGATACATTCTTATAGATCAATCGTTAATAGGACTGACTCTTTGTGTAATACATAACAATTGTTTAACTATAAATAATGTAATAAAACAAGTAACGCTCGTCGAGGCAGACTCGCTTGACCCTCGACTGAATGATCATATTGAATTACATTCTCTGTTTATGAGACCTTTCAAAATAATTTGAATGAGCTGTATTTTTCTCTTCTTCTCCATTTTACTTTGAAGCCACTTTCGTTGCAATTGCAAAAAATATTGATTTGAGGTACAGCTAGAACGTTTATTTACAAAACTCTCCTAAACAACTACATAACAGAAAAAAACTTGCATTATATGTGATTAAAGTAAAGAAAATTTCCTATATACCCGGCATCATGCATAGCATAGCCAAGAAAGAAAAAAATCTAATTAAAAGAATATCAAATTTTTAAAAATTCACGATTATATCGATTAGAAGGGAACCTATGGAAAAGACAAATTGTTTATAGTAAAATTACGCAGCAATAATGAGAATTCTGTTGTAAGGACGAAAATTTATTGAAACCATTCTGAGAAATGTCTTTGGGTGTTTGTATATAGTTGATCAAGTCGTGCTATTTCCGCAACTTGAGACTGATTTGGCTTCATAAGTAAAATGTTGTAATCAAATGGTCGCAATATTGCTAGATCGACTAAACGTTTTACACGGGATAATGGTACGTATACTGCTGCGATGTCATCAGTTTCACTTGGCAATTTTAAATGAACAACCACTTTGTTTAATGTTTGACCTTGACTTTTATGTGTTGTAATACAATAAGCAGGTACAAGTGGTAGTGCAGATCGTTTGATTGATAGAAGTGTCTTTTGATTTGATTTTGGTTACTTGTCTTTCGGAAGGATATCGGCCACATCAACATGAAATGTTTGCTCCACTAATGGGATTGGAATAAGTTTCGGTCCAAGATCTTGAAGTTTACATTCGATTTTCTATTTAGTAATTTCGATCAAAGCATATATTGGTCGACGAATATATGTTGTATTGCTTGGAAACATTTCAGATAAAGTTTCTGTTGATACCGATTCTTCATGATATACTAGCTGTCGAAAGATTCCATCAGAGATGAGCAAATACCAATACAATTTGTACTCTGAATTTTACTATGAAATATTTTGATCTCACAATACTGTATTCCATAAATCTACAAGTAACGCTCGTCTAGCGACTCGCTCAGCTCTTTCTCGTAGAAATCGTGCTTTCAGATATTACACTTTAAAGCTATTATTGTGTACATTAATTTATTTTTAGTGTAGATTAGATATTTTCACGAAAGTAGTAATAGATATTTATACCAAATATCAAATTGAGAATCAGGCATTCTAAATAAGTGTCAATACAATTAAGTAGATTATGAGTTATTACANCCCTAAAAACCCTTTGGTAAAATTTTATGAAAAAAAAAACTTTTTGTAAAAAATTGGGCCTTTGTCTCAAAAAAACTTTTTTTATGAAAAATTTCCAAAAAATAACATCAGATTCGAAGTCTCCGCATCGAAATACATCTATAAATGTCTTTTCGGAAAAATCGATTTTCAATGTTTTTTTGACCCTGCGGACATACAAGCAAACAAGCAAACAATTTATGTTTCTAAGACTCTTCTCTACGAGAAAGAGAACATTCAAAATGTACTCTCACGTACTGACTTGTATTGCCATGTACTGACCTACTTTGGGTCTGGAAAAGCTAGAGCCGATTAGCTAGTGGGTGATTCCATGGGACTTGTGACACGTTTACACCGACAGTCTCCAAATCGTTTGAAACTTTCAGGACTTATATAAGAGGGTGTGGGTGAGGGTGTGGGTGTGGAGTGTGGGTGTGGAGTGTGGGTGTGGAGTGTGAGTGTGGGTGTGGAGTGTGAGTGTGGGGTGTGGGTGTGAGGTTGTGGGTGTGACGGTGTCGGTGTGGGTGAGGGTGTGAGGGTGAGGGTGTGGGTGAGGGTGTGGTGAGATTGGCTGACGTTTGGTTGGTAGTTTAGTGATTGATTTGCAAAAGATTTTCTACGGGTTATGTGCCAATTTGTACTGACCAAAAGCGATTTTTCTACTGACCAAGAATGAGTTAGTTACTGACCAATTTATGGAACTGATCATTCACAATAAAATACTGATTGTTCACAAAAAAATACTGATCAGTTAAATACGACCATTTTTTTCGTGTGACCCTCCTTTCAGTCGAAGGAATGAAATATCAATGATTCTTAACAATGCGAATGGCAGTCTAGTGCGGGTGGACAGTACGAAGCACAGCCAGTGTAGCAATACAGTTCCCATCTCCACTGAACACCTGCGGACACTTTTTGTCCACCCGGCAAAGTGCAGTGACACTCGCTTGGGCTACCAAGCGTACAGCAGCAACCATTATAGTTTGCGTTTGTTGGTATTGTTGTCGTTTTCTTACAATCGGTCATCAAAGTATTAATAGTTTTTTTAAGAGCTTCAGCCGTATCGGCGGCAATAACGAGCCCGCCGACACCCTTCGCAATCACTTTCAGAGATGTTTCGGCCATAGCCTGTTCGAATTTGCCAAGGTCTTTGAAATAATCTTTCGGAATATTGCTGATTATTTCACCTGGCACTTTGGGTCCAACGCCTTTCAAATAATCTTTCAGGGCGCTTAGAGGATCACTTGGAGGTGGCGGACAGTCTTTCCAACACTCAATAAGAACAGGTACTGCTGTCCTATTAACAGGAGTAGGGTATAACATAAGTTCAGCAAAACAAACGGTTGAAAAAAATCTAAAACTTACGGGATAAAATCAGTAAGAAATCCCCTTACAAAGCACCATGCAAAAGCAGCCGGTGCCGCGGGGAATAACAAAGCGGCTCCTATGGCACAAGCCACTAGATTGTTAATTGCAACACGGGCTAAATCTCTAGCCATTCTATTTTCGCAGGCTGCGTCCAAGGCCCTCTTGGAGCGTTGTGAGGCGACACTGTTCAAAGAAACATTTGCGCAATTTTCACCCATAGCTAAAGCATTTTGATTTGTTATTGGTTGATATCCTTTGATAGAGGTAAGAGGTGTGTCTATGCCGGTTTTTATCAGCTGATCAACAATATGTTCCAGCGAGTCCAGCATTGCTGTAACAGCTTGTTCGTTTGAGAAAAAGCCGTCCAATATGTTGATGCAGGGTTGGCAGGTGCATTGCTTTGATGAAGAAGCAACTACGTCAGTACAACTCGTTTGTACAAGTTCACCCATGCACCAGTGTAAAAAGTGTGGATCTTGTGGGCAAGTATTCTTGTCGCTGACGCACCGCTTTACCAATTGATTCGAAATGGACTGGTCGCTAGATTTCTTCACAAGTTTAAAGTAAATTTTGACACCAGCAACAGCTGCGACGATCAAAAGCCCGAGTGTAACACTAATGATAACTGCCCACTTTAAGCTTCGTCGCGTTTTGGAACAGCCTGAGCCACGACGTGAAGAAGAAGAAGAAGCTGGTTGTCTGACTTGTGTTGTTGTTTCTACCACGTCCTGACAAGTGGCTGCCTTACTATAAGTCACTTTGGCATAGGCTGATTTACTCCGACTAGCTTTCGACATATCTCTAAAAAAAAGGGAATCTGCAAACAATGAAATATAATGAATTTGTGGGGCTGGCATGGGCCTAAGTATTCGAATATAAAAACATCATGTGAGCGAGGGCTGCGCGAATCTTTTTTGAGGGTGAGGGTGTGGGTGAGGGTGGGTGACATTTTTTTATGATTGGAATCGATAGAGCTGATCGAGTTGTATCTGGAACAAGTGTTGGAATGGTAGTTGAAAGTGAAGAAACGAATCGGCGCTGGGTTTTTTTTAAATTTTCATGTTTTTTTAGGACTTTGTTTGCAATGTTTTGCATTTTTATGGGCAAGGAATGATATTTTCGGGAGTATTTTTTTTGAATAGATAGAGCTCACCGAGTTCTACTTGGAACGAATGCGATCAGAGTTGGAATACACTCCTGTGCGAATCCGTTACAGAAAAGGTCGAATCCGTGTCCAAGATATCCTACATCCCGATCTTTGACCACTAGAGATGCACCGTTACTGTTTCAGGAACGGAGAAAGGATCAAGTGGGAAACAGCGGATTTTCGGGGTTGTCAATTCATAAAAAATCCTTGAAAATCCTTGACGTCCGTGAAATACGAAATCCGTCATTTCCCCCTTGCTTGGACATAGTTTGTTGAACGGGATTTTAACCCTTATTGCAACGTGCAGTTGACTCATTAAGTTTTCTCAGGTATAAGCCAGGATTTAGACTTAATAAGCTAGAAACTCATAGATCGCAATTTTATCTCAGCTGGATAGGACTCGAATCGGGATTCAACCAGATGCGCACTCGTCTAAGCACAAATGTGGCTCAAAAGGCACCATCCACATCTTGTGCTAATGTCAGTATGGTAGTAGCGCGAGCGAAAATGCGGACGAAGAAAACTCGTATCACGCCCAAGTATATTTTCAGTGATCTTCAAATTCTATTGGAACACAGCCTTTATAACTAAAACCTTCTTTTGGATCAGGCCGAACAATATCAGAACCACTTAGGATCGAGCAGGGTTATGAAAATGTGGTCCATTTCGAGCTCTACTGGGTCACATAGTAATGTGGAAGAGATACGCTTACCTCAAAGTGTTCTAAACGTCGTTATAATGTTTGCCGATTCTGCGCTCCTATGTCTGTGTATTAGCTTTTTGTTCTTTTCTATGCACTTTACAAAAAAAAAATCACTAACGACAACCAATAAAATTCACCATTCTCCACTTTTTTATCAGATATTTACTTCGCAAATAAAGGCTACTATTCAAGTACGCTACGTACATGGATATCGACTTTTTATGAAAGAAAACAAGAGCACATGCGTCAACGACGCTGTTTTTTTCTCTGTGAATACCTGTTGTGATACATGGCATACACTGGTAAAAATTTTCGTAGAATGATAAGCCCTCAAAAAAGGGTTTGTAGCTGAGAAATGCGTTTATCAACGTGATTCACCCCTTGATCAACCCTTTTCTCTTGATAAACCCCAAAAAGGTATATTATCCGTTGCAAACTGATAAACTCTGACTTTGAGGGTTGATCAAGGGGTGGATCACGTTGATAAACGAATTTCTCAGTTATAAACCCTTTTTTGAGGGCTTATCATTCTACGAAAATTTTTATCAGTCTATGATTGTAGTCCACTAATTCCATTGAACCATCTGGTGATGTTCATATTAAGATTAAGTGATATAGTCTTCCTTGTCTGTATCGAGAAACTTTCGGATTTCGATCGATACGTTTCATTTACTAGTGGGTTTATATGAGTCTGACGAATACTAAAGACCTCTACGGATTCCACAATTTTTCTAACTTCTCTAGATGCTCAAATGACGATAAACTATGCACTATGTAGCTGAAAGACTCCTATTTATCATCTATATTGATGCTTAGTGATGTTTAAACGAATAATCTATCTTGATGAAGTTACACTTAGAAGAAAAACATTCGTTTATTACAATCGTGCAGCTGATTGATCGTGATACTGCGCATTGTTAAACAGCCTAACGAGCTGAGAGATCATAACTGCTATATCTGTAAATCGATATTTTGAGAAAACAGCACATATAGTATTTAGTACACGTATTTCAAATGTATCCGTTAAAAAAGATTTGTTCAACACTGAAAAATCTGTGGTGAATAATAAACTCTTCAAAATGATTTATCAAACTGATCAACTCTATAAGATACTTTTTTTCCGTTTATTAGCATCATAAATCTTTCGATATGCTGTCTCTTGTGATCTACTCAAACAAAGTATTTTATACGTTGCAATCTGATAAACGTTTTAGGTTATATCAAAAGATTTATTGTGCTAATAAACAGAAAAAATGTATCTCAACGAATTAATCAGTTTAATAAATCCTTTTGGAGGGTTTATTATTCCCTACGGATTTTTTTGCAGTGAATCTACGTTTGAGTTTCAACGATATCCTTGGATTGTGATAAACAGCTGTCTTTTACTGAAATCTTATCAATATTTTAAACTATTTTAGAACTAAATTTTTAATGAAATACATGTATGAGAGCAAATTGACATTTATTAAATCTTTATATAACTCTAACGACGAATATTATCTACATGGGCGAGCTTATCTGTAAAAAAAAGTACTCCTTGTTTGAATATCTTCAAGGTACATTTCAAGACAGATAATAACAAGTAACGCTCATGCTTTGGATTCGCTGATCCTTTTCTGAAAGACTTTTCCGAATGCTGAACGCATTCAGAGATTTCGAAAGAGAAAAAACACACTGCGATTGCTATTAGGGCTCAACTGACTCATGGCACTATGTCACACACTAGAATGAATGGGATGCAAAAGTCTTTTTAGGAATCAGATCGATTAGCCATTTGTCACTGGATAATTCTCCAGCACTAACTATGTTGACTGAAAAATTCATCGATCAACGGCTAGCCAGACGGCCACTCACAGCCAACCATTGACCTTTGTCATCTGTTTTTCTATTTTCACATCACGCGCATGGAAATTTTCATAAATGCTTCACTAAACCACTCATAGACGGCCGATATACAGTACACTACTTGAAAAGTGTGAACATTCGCCTGTGTCGTCCAGCGATAAACCGATTCTTTTCTCTCCTGTCAATAAAATGATACCTTGTCGAATATTTTCAATGAGGAATATCCATTCGTCAAATCCCTTTCAAAATTATTTGAAGCCTGGCAAGGTTATTCTAAGCGTACACTTTAGGATTAATCTAGCATTTAAACGCCTGGTCGTTCGTCGACTTTCCTCCGTTGAGCCACTCACGGCTAGTCTTTGCCATGCTGTCTCTGTTATTCCTTTCGCTTTTGATCAACTTTTAAACTGAACGATTGGGCTTTCTTTTATGGTCACTTCGACTGCCCAAAGAAACTAGATGAGAAAGTCTTATTATATGACTTGCTTCGAAACGAACATCTTTCAAAGCGCTGCATGTGTTCACAATACTGTTTCTACAGCCCACGCGTCTGTGGTTACTAAGATGGAATTTCACCGATGGGTATATCGCTTTGCGAACTACTTCTACTAAATTCCCATGAAGGGACATGATGTATGTAGCCTACAAAGCAAAGATGATACTAAGCTCGTATCACTTTTTCGAATTTCTTGAATTAGAAACATCATTATGTACATTGCATTAGATCTTCTCGTGTAAGTTCTTGAGCTACTATCTTTGTACACATGACGTCTGTGAATAGCGTTCAGCTCACCATCTCCTGCAAAAGATTTTAGAACAGATAAAGAAAATTATCTCCTTTGTAAAGAGGAAGGAACAACCCCAGGCTCAGCGAATAAAACGAAATTCACCCTCAAATTCGAATTTCCCGACGTCAGAAATCCTTCGGTCTACTCTGACAATGGATGTTAATAAGTTGTGGGTAGTTAATGAAAAGCTAATAATTAATTAATCAACACTAACCTCCAATTCGAGATCCTCGACCTCGATTACCCTACGGGCAATCATTTTCTAGCAACTATCGATCAATTTCTTTGTTTTTAGAAATGCTGATTTCTGATTGGATAGGACAGACAGACAAACTTTAAGCTTTTTAACACAGCATTTAAACGCTGTATAACCCTTTCTTTCAGAAAAGGGAATAAGTAAGTTTTGTATTGATGTTCATACTTGTGGCTAATTCAGGATGTTCATGATGGAATCGAAGAGTAACTCAATTGAGTGAGGATAGTTCATTCAACACAGCCATTTTGGTAAACGCATCTGCATGCGTTCTAAGTAAGATATCTTCACCAGGATCATAAGATTGAAGTATATGAAATGAAACCATCTGCGTTTGTAATCTTAATTTCTCGATAACATTTGTTAGTTTAGACGATGCGTTCATACACAAAAATATGCAGGAACGAAGATTAGGAAAGCTATGCCGATTAAAAAAATATGCGATGACATTTGTCTGATCGCATATTTGATCACAAACATAGAACGAAATGACTTGATCGGAATGAAAAGTCAGATTACGAGATAAAAACTTNATTGTTAAATGGCCTAACGAGTTGAGAGATCATAACTGCTATATCTGTAAATCGATATTTTGAGAAAACAACACATATAGTATTTAGTACACGTATCTCAAATGTATCCGTCAAAAAAGATTTGTTCAACACTGAAAAATCTGTGGTGAATAATAAACTCTCCAAAATGATTTATCAAACTGATCAACTCTTTAAGACACGTTTTTTCCGTTTATTAGCATAATAAATCTTTTGATATATTGTCTCTTGTGGTCTACTCAAAAAAATTATTTTATACGTTGCAATCTGATAAACGTTTTAGGTCATATCAAAAGATTTATGATGCTAATAAACAGAAAAAATGTATCTTAACAATTAATCAAATTAATAAATCATTTTGGAGGGTTTATTATTCCATACGGATTGTTTTGCAGTGAATCTACGTTTGAGTTTCAACGATATGATTGGATTGTGATAAATAGCTGTCTTTTACTGAAATCTTATCAATATTTTAAACTATTTTAGAACTAATTTTTTAATGAAATCCATGTATGAGAGCAAATTGACGTTTATTAAATCTTTATATACCTCTAACGATGCATATTATCTACATGGGTGAGCTTATCTGTAACAAAGTACTCCTTGTTTGAATATCTTTAAGGTACATTTCAAGACAGATAATAATAGAGAGGATGCTGAGTTTATTATCGTTTGATTAAAAACAAGCGGGTTTATATTCTCTCGTTAACTTTTCTAATAAATCATACTGTTTATCAACTAAAAGAGAGATAAATCGATTTGAGTTTGAATTCCTATTTATCGTATCGTGATTTAAAGTATCGAAGTTGTTGCGATACATTCCCATAACAAAAAAATATATGAAAAGTCTAATTAAAAACAAGAACTAAAGTATTCTGGACATCAATATCCTTAGGGAAAATTTGAAGATCGCAGAATATAAACTTGTGGCAGATGACGCCTCTCAAATACCACTGCTAATCTACATTTCACTGCGCATTTTCCGAATCGCGGCGATCAGCAGTATCTGTTTCAAAGTTTTTTCGTGGGTATGTGAATCTTTATGATAAGCGCATAAGGGTGTTAGAATTAGTAAAAGGAGCCATTACCAGTTTCGACTTTGCTTACAAGTCTCACCATATGGCTTTCTTCAATAGAATTCATCATCATACACTGCAACACTGTATCTTCTCTATTTTATAGGGGTTGATTGCGGCTTCATTGTCATTTTATGATGATGAATTCTTGAGGTTGAGTAGAGCTGCTATCTTGAGGGTGATGGTGTGGGTGTGAGATAGATAGAGATAGCTACGACTATAGTTTCCGCCTTTCTCAAGGGCCGTATTCGTCAGGTAGCTTTTATTGTCTTTGCATATGAGATTCAATTCTAATGTCGAAGGCTCATAGAATGAATCTCCAAACTATTTAAATTAAATTCAAAGTAAAGCAAAGGGATCTACTTTTCTACTTTAGAGTATATCACGACCGGTTTCGTCCTTGCTCAAGGGACTCCAGTTGGCTTAAGGCATTTCTATTTGATCTGAATAAAATCAAACTAAAATATCATCTACATTGTGTTGTTATGAAAGCAATTAAAAACAAGTAACGCTCGTCTTTAGACTCGCTTAGCGCTTTCTCGTAAAAATTTGCTTTCAGATGTTATATTTTTAATGCATTACTGTGTATATAAGTTTGTTCGCAGCACATTAGATATTTATACCAAATGTTAAATAGAGCATTAGATATTGTGAAGAAATATCAATACAGTTAGGAAGATTATGGATGATAACATCAAAAAACGAAATCAAGAAAACACGATAGGCAATATCTGATGCAATGAGAGAAAAGAGACAGTTACTACAATAATTAAGATAAATGTAAAGAAAGAGATAAAGAAAATAAACATGCATGAATAAGTATCTGAAGGTAATTTCAAAGTATAACACGTTTTATATGCTTGCAATAACACTAGACTCTTAGCAAAGTATCGATTTACACATGTTTCAAAAAATGAAAGAGGTACACTCTCGTTTTGTCTTTTTTGTCAAGTTCATCTAAACGTTTCAGTTCAGCGTCTTACCCAGAAGAAGATTGAACTTGTAGAACCTTCATGTGGAAAGGTCGAAGGATAACTATATCATCCACTTTCTTCACTCTACTGAATGGTACATATATCGATGCTACTTTCAGTGTCCCAGGCGGAACTTGAAGATCGACTACGATTTTGTTCATTGTGAGTCCTTGCGCCTTGTATGTAGTTATAGCGAAGGCAAGTACAATGCTCGACCCCAAAATGTCTTCGGTGAATTTTTATAAAAAAAACTGTTTTTTACAATAAAGTCGCCCTCTGTATAAAAAAACTAGTCCATGTAAACATTTTAAAAAAATAGCGCCAGATTCGAGTTCATCGGCCCAAATAACTCCTTAGTCAAATTTTATAAAAAAGCTTTTTTTTGTAAAAAACGGCTCTTTGTCTAAAAAATCATTTTTTACAAAAAATTTTGACAAACTAACATCAGATTTGAATTCCTGGACCCCAAAAACGCTTTGGTAAAATTTTATTAAAAAAAATTTTTGTAAAAGTTGGGTCTTTGTCTCAAAAAAAATTTCTTATGAAAAATTTCCAAAAAATAACATCAGATTCGAAGTCTCCGCATCGAAATACATCTAGAAATGTCTTTTCGGAAAAATCGATTTTCAATGTTTTTTTGACCCTGCGGACATACAAGCAAACAATTTGTTTCTAAGACTATTCTCTACGAGAAAGAGAACATGTGTTCACAACGATAAACTTTCAACTCCTCTTTCGTCAAACGAAGATATTCAACGCAGTTTTGTTGGTAATTTATATGGTCCAGTGGGTTGGTATGTTCATAATTTAAAATATGATTGCATTGATAGATGTCATGTCTATTCACTTCCGTATCAATTCAACGAATTTCTTCATCTGAACAATTCGTTTCCCGGTGGTATGTTTGATAAAGTTAGATCGTTGACAATGAATGATACGAGTCCTTTTAAACAAAAATTTTTTCAAATTATTTCTGGAGATTTTCCTTTTCTTAACGAGTTACGTATATGGAATGATCAGCCAGAAAAAAAACAAACAACATTCATCAATACTCATTATCTTTCGTCATCTGACTCGTCTCAACCTGTTTTGCGCACATTCAGATTATGTTGAACAATTTCTCGTTGATAAGACCACTGCTCTTCCTTGCTTGTCGTATCTATCCGTCACATATCAATCACTCGTAAAAGTGACAAAAAATTTTACCAATAATTCAACACGTGTCACTTGTGTTAAGTTAAAAAGACTTCGTGTAAATGATGATCATTTTGTTCGACCAGATAACTTTGACCAATATTTTCCTTTATGGTAACTATTGCTTAATTCTTTCAATAAATTTTTTTTCTGTGAAAAGTAGATTTTTTCATACTAGCGAAAAAAAACTGAAATTTCAAACATTACATGCTTTACTGATTCAGCCAAAGAAAAAATCAGTTATGGAGAAACGAGAAAGAAATTCCCCCATTGGCCAATGTTAATATCTGAAGTTGTAATACGTTACTAATCAAATGTTCTTCCACGAATTGTTCAACTTTTGGTAATTATGAAGTAATTTTATTCCCTTGATGTTGTTTTTGAATATAGTCATTGGGGAAATCATTATTTGGAATATGTTGCTTTACTCGTATACTTTATTCTTCGTCTTGCTAAGAATATACATATATGATTCTTTAGTATTTTTCCCTTCTTATAAGGACGTGCATCTAAATGTATATGCACACATACAGAACTTCGTTATTCTAGTTACTATTCGTTTCTCTTTCTGTTTTTGTGTCTCTGATTTTCTTCCCTTCTGTATCATTCGATTCATTGAATAAAATCAACTGAAGATGAAGAACATCTATGACATCCCACCTAGTTGTTTATTTCGGTTGATTGATATATCGTAAAATCACATATATGTATATACTGACGGTTTTTGCGTTCGTACAGAACGCTCAAAGAAAAACAAATCCGGATTCTATTGATGTGAGCAAAATCTTCTTTATAGATCAAAAACAAAATAAAAGAAAGTTATATAGATTTGAAAAGTTCACCAAACGTTTCATTCACGCCTTCACTTTCCATTGCATTGAAAAAAGAACAATTCCTATCCCATACTTCCGTTATAAATCCGCGATCGGGCGTTATATGAAAATGTTTCGGTGCATACGGATTATAACTCGGCCACTGAATCAGCGGTCTTCCCGTTGTTGCTATGTTTATCCAATGTGCAATGATTCTATTGGAAAATAACCGTGTTGATTGATCCCAAGTGCAATTAAATACTTCTTCGGAATGAAAAGTACTGATAGTGCCGAAGACAAATGGAAGTTCGGCAGAATGTAGACAAAGTCCTTGTTCGGGAACGATTGGACATTTCGGATAACAGTTTAAATGGTATGAAAAAAATTTATTTTGCGCGAATTGAGGACCGTATTTAGAATAGAAGGCATCGAATATTCGGCGAATATCACAGTCGAATAATTTATCCGTGGCGATGACATTCACGATGTGGCAACAACGACTTACATTTGCTGTTCGATTTGCTGAACAATTCTCTAGTTGATAGTATTCAACAATTGACGGAATCCATTTTCGGTTCACCGATTGACTGATCAATCCAACTGCTTCGGTATAATTCATATCCGGATATTGTAAGCACAATGTTAAATCATAATCATTATTACCCATGATAAGACTGATGTTATTGTATTGGCCATTTTGAATTGCTAAAGGTGGATAGAGAGGGAAAAAGTATCTGTCGATAATTGGTTTTGTATAGTAGTCGCCATAGATTTGAAACAAATCTTCAATCGAAGCGTTCCGTATGCAAGAAAGCAGCTTTTGTTTATCTTCGCTAGTACAGTTCAAGTTTCGAACAATATAGCTAGAGACGTTGAGAGCAGATGTGATGTTATAGTAAGATAAATAAGTTCCTGGTGAATCTAAACCTGATTGACTTACTGCCGTTCGATAGAGACCAGCCGATCCTTTCAATGCACCAAGATCGGTCACAGATAAGCCACCAGCACTTTGTCCGAACAACGAAACGTTATCTTCATCGCCACCATAATCACGAATGTTTCTTTTGATCCAGCGCAACGCAGATAACATGTCCAAATACATATAGTTACCTGCTGTTGGCCATTGAGGATCTTCATCGACTAATTCGGTCAGAAACATATCCGCTAACACGCCCAATCGATAATTAATCGTAACGATAATCACTGGTTGATCTGGTGGCGAATGAGCAATCATATTGGTGCCATTGTAGATCAACGGAATACTTTGAGACGAACATCCGATTTTATGTGCACCGCCATGGATCCAAACAAACACAGGCAATAGAGAGTGATTGGAAGGAATGATAGGTTTGTAGATATTCAAATAGAGACATTGCTCGTTTTGTTCAGGAATAGAAGTATTCGTTTTAGGTTGTGGACAACACGGGCCAAATGATGTCGCATGAAATGAACCGTTCGGAAATTTTTCTGATGCAAGATCGATTGGCGGTTTCCATCGAATAACTTTTGCGTACTGAATTCTAGTGAGAGGAAAGTATCAGTATTACATATCAAGAGATTATCATACCCGAGATATTCAATCGAACTCTGCGTTTGTCGCCCGTAGACTATGCCTTGTTGAGTTCGAAGTCCGACATGTACACAAGTGATTGTCGTCACGAGACAAAATAGTAGAACTTCTAAAGCCCAATAGCACCTCATCGAATATGTTCGCCTTATAGAGACTAGTAAACCTACAAAGTGTCTTATCTGACATCGTTCGTTCTGTTCGTATAAGTTATCTTTCTTGGTCAACAGTGACACAATAAGAAAATGACACTGTCATGTTTACATCTCGTATTTCAATTTGTTTATTAACCATCGTCTCACATTCGAAAGTGGAATTTATCACGAAAATCATTAAACCCTATCGCTCTGTTACCTCATACAAACAGATTCAGTCACCTATGACTTTCAATTTCACGTAGGAAAATATTGCCGATGGTCTATCAATAACAATGCGTGCAACAAGTGTAAATTTTTACAATTCAGCCAAATCAATCATCTGTTCATTGTCTATGTTTGAAATCATATTTTATTCAAAAATATAAAACAAAACAATATTTTTATCTTAAAATACGACGATCGATGCCAGTCATATATAAGATACTATCGTATAGCAGAATACCATCGACTAGACATATCTGTGGTCCTTGAGATGAATTACGTCCTAATTGGCAATAAGCAACTAAGATATCACCAGGTCGTAGGTAGATCGCCCAAGGAAACAACGTTTGTCGTGGTTGTGGATTCTGTCGAAAGACTTTCACTTGTTCATCCTCGTTCTCCGATTGAATCTTATGTTGATACGATACTAAAGAAAGTACAACATTAAGTCGATCAGAGTCTAACGATTCAGCAGTAGTTGATGGATTTTGTTTTTTAGTTTTTCGTTCAACTGTAGAATCAAAGGAAGCAATTGCTTGAAGATGCTGTTGGTATTCAACGTAAGTCCACATATGATCAGCAGATTTCAACTTCCCAGGAGATGCGTTCATTCGTTCTTCATTAATATCTGACTTAGATGAAACACGATCAGAAGATCGTAGAATAGCTTCGAGTTGGTCCGATGGTACAGCACATGTGTTTAATTCATAGAAAATTGTATGTTTACATCGTCGCACAGCTCCAATGGTTCCGACAACTAAGATAGGTTTTTGAAACCATGCTGTCGATGTTGGACTACACGTTTTTATGAATGAAGATAATTCTTTTGGTGACCACACTGATGTTGCCCATGGCCACGAATCCAAATCGGCTACAAATCAATCTCATATTTCTTGGAGCAAATCTTATTTTTCCTACCTGATACTTGATGATTGTCATTCATATCGAATGCTTTAATACCTTGATGAAAGATGTGCGGCCACATATCAATTGCTCGTTGTTTCACTCCATGACGGGTAGACAGAATACTTTCCATCTGTTTCAGATCTAAACCCCATACATTTTTTTCTGGCAACACGATTTCATTCGATGTTATCGATGGCGTATTCACACGACAACCTTCTGGAAAATACCATACATTCATTTGGTTCTTGGTACTTAATAAATTCGAATCTTTGTACTGTTGGTGAGGTGACTTTCCCAGCCATTCTTGTTGGTATGGTCCCCATTTGCAACATGGACATGTGACAATACCAACGATGCCTTCTGACGCATCAATCGCTGCTATTGCGTCATCCAGAGTGACATGTGCATGCATCATAACGACAATAGCTTGTCGACAGAGAATAGAAACTGATTGAATCTTTGCACGTGCCATTCGTAAACCTTCCGTCGCTTTCCATTCATTGCAATGATCGATTGTCGTTAAACTTCGTCGATTAAGAAATGCCATGTCAGTATACGAATCGTACTGAAGTATCGGATCGATACTGAAACATTGCCATAAACCTTTGGTTAAATATGCACACAGACCAGCAGTTCGAGGGGTCATACCATCACCAACAACAATAATTGCATTTCGACGACCAGTTGTAGAGGACGTCGATGATAAGTTAGGTAGAATATGTCGTCGAATGGCACTCCAAATCGCAAAAGATTCTGTAACTTCTTTCGCATTTGGAAAGATTCCCATGGAAATTAGATCTGGAGCACATCTTAATCGTAAAAACTCGTCCAAATAATCTAAATGGTATGTAGTAGACGATTCATTGTGTGGAGATTCACTTTCAGCCATTGCATGTGTATATCAAGACTTGATTTAAAGAGAAAAAGAAACGTGTCCGATAGAAGCCGTTAAAAGAAAGGAAAGAAAAAGAAAAACGATGTTTTTTTTCGTTCTTCTCCTCCACGTTGTATTTCTGATGTCTAATAACATGATGAAGGAATGAAAGTGACTTCTGATAGATATAGTAGCTGGTATCAGACTATCATGTAACTCTCGAGGATTTACCACATAAAAATTCGTGTCAACGACTGAATATCATACTTTTATGATAAGCAAACAAATTGAATTATTTTTAGTTTTAATTTTGAATTTGAGAGTGATTTACTATTTCACGAATAAAATTCATTTGACTCTCAGTGGTGGTGATATAATTAACATAGATTCATCTCAATCAGTTTTTAAAACGATTATTCATTGTGATTGTTGACAATCAATAACGTGTGCAGCGAATTGCCATAGTGGATTTCGAAGCTAATTGATTGATGCATTTCATTTCATATCACTTGATGTTTGTCATATTTACGAGAAAAACACTCTCCTCGTAGTTCGAAGTATTACATTTACATGCAAAAAATTTGATTAGCGAAACAGCTTTCATCATTGATACTCTTTCTGGTCAGGAACTTACATTTTGGTTCATTTTACTTTAAATTTCCAACATATTCGTGTTTTATCACATTTAACTGACGAAATGGCACCTGGACCCTTTAATAGTAGAACAGAATGAATATCGATCGTTTGTGTAATCGTTCCAAACTGTGTTTTGTCGATACTTAGTTGCCAGTATTTTTCTTTCTTGTTTCGTTAACGATGTTAGTAATAGAATCGAAATCATATACATAGAGTGTTCTCAGTTATATCAAGGCACTAGATGAATGGAGAAGAAACTGTTTTCAAGTAGGCCGATATCAGTTCGTCGATCCACACGACTTTCATAGACATGTAAACTTCGATAAATAAAGAAAAACAGAGAATCTAAAGGGTGTATATCAGTTTCACAAGTGAAAGATGTCGGTCGAAGTAGGTCAAGGTACGAAGACGATGCGCCATCCGTTAGAACCTCTATCGCTTAGTGAAATTCAACTTGCGATAGACGTTTTGAAACAGCAAAGTGATAAAGTGACGTCGACAACGCGATTTGTATCGGTGAGTTTGCATGAAGCACCTAAGGAAAAAATCCTTCAACCGTGCAATGAATATGTTCCACGCGAAGCCGACGTGATTCTTTTCGATAACGGAACGAATTCGTGTTACGAAGCTCGAGTTTCACTTGAAAATCAAGGTCAGCTTATTTCCATTCAGCATATACCGAACGTTCAACCAACAATGACTATTGATGAACAAGTCGAATGTGAACAAGCCGTACTGAGTTGTGTAGAATTTCAAAAGCTACTTCACGAACATTATGCAATCGATGATATTAGCCGAGTTATGGTTGATATATGGTCTGGTGGTTATTATGGACAAGAAGAAGAGCGTACACGTCGTTTAGCACGGCCATTATGTTTCCTACGATCGGATTCAACTGATAATGGATACGCACATCCTATCGAAGGTTTGAGACCGGTGGTTGATCTGAATCTAAGTAAAGGGAAAAGGCAACATGAAAATAAGAAATCTGGAAAGTTTCTTTCTCTTTTAAGTGGAAGTCATTCGCGTTGAAGTCTACAACAAATTTCCCATTCCTTCGAAAGGTTTCAATTATTCATCAGATCGGGTCACGGAAACTCGTGATGATATTAAACCTTTGGAAATTCTTCAGCCCGAAGGTCCAAGTTTTCAAGTCGATGGCTATCAAGTTTCCTGGCAAAAATGGTCGTTCGTCATCGGTTTTACTATGCGTCAAGGTTTAATTCTTCACCATTTGACCTATGATCATCGTTCGATCTTATATCGAGCTGCATTGAGTGAAATGGTTGTACCTTACGGCGATCCAGCTGAGCAGCAAGCACGAAAAAATGCTTTCGATTGTGGTGAATATGGCATCGGGTGTTGTACAAACAGTCTTGAACTTGGTTGTGACTGTCTTGGCCACATAAAGTATTTCGATGGAAACATGTGTACAAGTCGAGGAGAATTGCTAGTGATTAAAAATGCAGTTTGTCTTCATGAAGAAGACGCAGGAATATTGTGGAAGCATACCGATCGACGACTAAACAATCCGGAAGTAATTCATACTAGATAATGTATTTTGCGCTTTATTTTCTCATTCAGGTACGACGAAGTCGAAGATTAGTTATTTCGAACATCGCCACGATCGAGAATTATGAATACGGATTCTATTGGTAAATATCTATTGACAAAACTTCTGCTAGGATTCCTTGTCTTATTACTAGGTATTTATATCAAGATGGTACTATACAATTTGAGGCGAAGTTAACCGGTGTTCTGTCAGTGGGTGCATTACCACCGGATGCCAAATCTCCCTATGGAACATTAATCGCTCCCCAATTGTATGCGCCGTATCATCAGCACTTTTTTAATATGCGTTTAGATTTGGCCATTGATGGTATCAATAACACTGCCTATATGATCGACGTGGAAGCCGACCCTGACGATGCCGATTATAATAAATTTCACAATGCATTTCACCTGAAGAAAACTCGACTGGAAACAGAAAAACAAGCTCGAAATAATCTATGTTTGGAGACATGTCGTTCATGGAAATTTGAAAACGGGTTGGTTCGAAATGCCATTGGTGAACCGACTGGTTATAAGCTCCATCCTGGGGAAAATTCTGTTCCGTTTGCTTCATCGAAAGCTTGGTGGCGTCGACGTGCGAGTTTTGTTAATTATCATGTATGGATTACACCATTCAATGAAAAGGAAATGTTCGGCGGAGGAGATTATCCGAATCAAAGTCAAGAGGACCACGGTTTATTGAAATATACAGAACAAAACCGATCGATTGTTAATCGAGATATTGTCCTTTGGTATACATTGGGTATAACACATATTCCTCGACAAGAAGATTTTCCTGTCATGCCTGTTGCTACAGCAGGATTTTCCCTCAAGCCCAACGGATTCTTTGATTTGAATCCAGCAAATGACATTCCGAGAGCGAAGAAAATAACCAATGGACATTGTTGCAAAGACTGAAATTAAAAGCTTCTTTTTATTTTATCAATAAAAAAGTGTTTCTTCTAGACTACATAGAATGTAAATCTTTGTTTATGCATAATTAATAAGAACAAGTATTGGCAGAATAAGAATCGCTATTATTTGCCGACAGCTAGATGCCGACGATGCATATCGATTGAGAAAGTTGATATTTTGTGAGGTGTCTTTCGTTGTTGGACTGCACAAACTCACACTCGGATTGTCAGATTCTCCATACGTCCAAACTTGCCACTTTTCACCAACACGCATCGACACACCACAAGATGCGGAATCGAGCGCTGTTTTGGCGATCAGACGACGGTCAGATGGTATCACGCCTTTGAATACCTTCTCTACTTGGAACGTAATTCGATGTTCAAGTTGCTCCTGAACGAACTCGATATGAGTAACAGTGCCGATAAATACATGTGTTGCTTCAGCCAAATATTTTTGCAACGAAATTTCAGCAAAACAACTACAACCATCGACGGATGCAATAAAACTCTGCGAAAATAGAATGAAAATAAAAAGAATGTGTCGTGGCATCTTTATCGATAAGATTTTGCTTCTTCTATATATACGTTTTATTTATCTGCTACATGTGTTGATAGGTTTGATTTTCTGTAGTGTAGATATCGTCGTCAACATTAGTTAGTTTGTTTCTTTATCTATCAGAAGAATAAGCGTACGTGCGGGAGATTTAATACACACATAGTTACTTGCCGTAAGTCATGTGCTGCTGCTTCAAAGAAAACAAAATATTGTTATGCCTATACAAATGCAAAACAGTTTTTATTATTCAACTTCGAAAATTCTCGAGAGCTCCCGGTGACTACTCTGAAGGAGAAGTAAACACAGTCTTCTACGTTGTGTTTCGTTCTGCTTAATACTCCAAACGCACATTTTTTTCTTGGTGCAGTTAACAGATCGCTTTTTACACACTATCGTACGAAAAATTATCGCGCGAGAAGGAGCTTTTGATAAACTCAACGAACAATGGATACACACGATAGTACTGTGTATGTGTGTATAACAAAACGTGAGAGACGTTCTTATCTAGTCTTCTAATAACAGCGAGAAAAGAAAGATATTATGTTGCATTGGTAAGTGCATAGTGTAATGAGATGCCGATATAATCACGTACAGTATAGGACAGAATTGTGCAAAAAGGGAGAAATTCGAGATTTTTTTCTTTTTTTTGTAACGTTTTTGACTCAAGTAAGGTAGATTTTCGATATTATTTAGCGTCGCAGTCTCGCATATTTTCAGAGAGTATTTTGACAACTGACAAACATCATGGATCAAAACTGTACGGATGATGAACACACATATGAAAGACTTTATTATAATACGATTCCTTCAGTCCGTTTGAGCAGCGTATCTGAGAGTGAACCAAGATCATCTCTACTGCCTAAAGAAGAGATCGTTCCGGAGCGTACAAGTCATATCTCTATCAATGAGCAAAGATCTTATCTGCTGCCCGTACCTGAGAAACCCGATCTTATTAAAGAATTACCGCGCCCACAGAGTCCAGTTCCATCCAAATGTATAACGAAAAAAACAATATTATATATAGCTATCGTAACTCTTGTTATGGTTGTCATATCAGCATGTGTCGGCGGCGTTATTGTTTTCAAGGTAGTGCTGAAAAACACGCATAAGTGAGTATTGTTTAGAATTAGAATGTATACCATTGTTTACTTGTAGGATAACCAATGGCACCCTTATTCTGGGCGATAGCACATACGTAGGTGAAATATTTGACGGACAGGCGCAGGGCTATGGAACTTTGACGAAACTGGATGGCCGTCATTATGTAGGCAATTTCAATATTAATAAACTGGATGGGCAAGGAATGTTATTTGTTCGTGATGGCTCGGGATCTGCTAAAAAGGTATACGAAGGAAATTTTCTGGAAAATAAATTTGATGGTCCAGGAGTATATTATTATCGAGACGGAAGTCGGTATGAAGGTACATGGGAAAACAATCTAAGACATGGAGATGGAAAAATAGTTTTCGCCGATGGACGTAGTCGTGGAGGACAATGGGCGTATGATAAACTGATTGAAAACGCGAACACAATAAAAACGAAATGATCATTTCACATAGTTTACATTTCTTCATTACTGCCAGCTGAGAAGAAAAAAAAGTAACTCAGGACCTATAGTTCATTTTTAACTTTTTATTTCATATCCTACATAAGAGGGATTTTGTTTCCCTAAATATATGACATATTCATTGTAAGAATGTGACAACATTTTGCACGCTAGTCACAATAATCCTAAACGACCTCATTCTGTTTCCAAACCAAAACGATGGCGAGGTTACAAGATATTTTGACAGTATTATTAAAATCTAGGATTTATTTCATACACTCGGACAGTTTACATTTGTTCATTGTTCACATGTATAAGAGAAATTGAATTTGATCGAAAAGCTCGTTGGAACAACATTCAGTGAATTGTACATTCCATCTGTAAATCTACCTTATGAAATATATCAATCAAGGTCAACTATAAAATCCTTCAGTTCCATCGAGTCAAAAGCAACTTTTGCTAAAATAAAGCCATCTGGTATAACAGCAAATCTTGTTCAATTAGGAACATCGATGGTTACTCGAGGAAAGTAACAAATGAAATTCATTTTCTGTCTATATGTAAATAGTTGTACCAATATTCAAAATAAAAAATAGAGGGTGCGGTTCAAAAAAGAAACAAGTTCAAATGCATTGAATTTTATTATTGATTAGCCGCCTTACAATGGTTCTTGCTCAATTGATCCTGAAATCAAAGGTCTATTCTTTATAATTAGATGGGAAAAATGATTGATTGCTATCAAATTTTCAAGTTCGATGTTACCAACTGAAGAACTTAATTCAATCATTCGTATATGCTTTCTAAGTTTTAGCTCTTTATTCTTATACTTGACATTCTGATTGCAGATGCAGATCTTTCGATATCACTATTGGGAAGTGAAAAATCTCGATCTGTAGTTTGACTCTTTCCAAACTTCTTTCCTTCTCGAACCGATCTCAATATTATTAAATCTGTTAATCATATTTATGTTTCAACTAACAAAATGATGTACAACTATATTTACTCTAAATTTGGTTTTTTCAAGTATTTTTGCTCCAGTTATAACACTGAAATGGAAACTCGATTCTCTTCACCTTTCAAAAACAGAAAAATATACAAAGTCTTGTGCAGAGTGAAACTTTTCAAACGGTGACTGGTACATTTAGTGAAGAATTTTCAAGTACTAATTTACAGGAAAGGTTCAAAAACAATTTGTACTCCGTTTGCTCGAAGAATCCGAAGAAAGTATACATGAAAAGAAGAAAAGCATTTGTCCATTGTAAGAAAGTTCATGACGATTGAATGTTTTCCTCATTTTTCGTTTAAAAAAAACAATTGATCCGAGTATAAATGTTTTTCTTTATCGAATAAGAGCTGTATCGCGTCGGTATATAAACTCATTCGGATTAGTAGAAACATGACACGTTGAATCATAATAAGTGCCAGATAATCGATCAAGAAATGTCCAAAAAGTCGACACATTCTTTCGACCAAGTTGATGATGAAAATAATGTCCAATTGAACCATGCCATGTGAGTCGACCTAAACGACTCCAATTATGAAACATCCAAGGAAAATCATAACCTGAATGAATATTAGTTGCCACAAAGTGAATAAACAGAATAGATACAAGACGAGTTAATGGATCCATTTGAAGTGGAATCATAGCCGTAAGAAAGAAAATCAGTCCAGCAAAAGCTTCTAATTTGCTACCATAGAATCCATTCCATGGATAAATGTATCTTCCACAACTAGCATGGTGTATAGCATGTGATCGATAGAAAAATGACGCAATCCGTGGATGAAGATGAGTAATATGATGAAATAAATGTGTTAATATATCAAAAATAAATGTATATGCGACAGACTTCCACAGTAAAGTCCACCAAGTGGGTGTCACATAAAAATGAACATTCGGTCGATAAAAGAATATCTCATAGAATACTAATGGTAAAATATGCCATTTAATCATGTTCATTAGAGATGATTTCATATAATATAGAATTTCTTTTGATGATGTTTGTAAATCTTTTCGAATCTTCCATTTTTTACCTGGTAAATAGTCGAGTTCAATTAATGCATATATACACATTAGTATTAAACACCAATAAATACGAATTAGATGTTCAGGTATAATATGATTCATGTACCATTCTTGTTCCAATAGCTTTGTATGTGCATATTCAAGGATTGATGATGACATAGCATATATCTTAAGCAGATTGAAGATAAAATGTCATTTATTTGTGTTTCTGATATATAGTATGTTATTGTTTGATAAGACTTTGCTAACCCATTATTACTAATAGATAAAAATAAGAAAAGAAATACGCAATGACTGTTTTGTTTTCTCTGTAATTCGTAGTGAATATGTTCTAAACGTTATTTTTGACCGAAAAATACTTGTTTTCAACTTTTTAATGACCCATTCTGATACTAACAAAAGTGCATCATAGTTTCCCGATAAAATATTTATATGCTCATATTGATTACAGATATGTTTCCCTACAAGGAATTGAAAGAACAGAAATATTCTTTTATTTATATACTTGTTATTTTACTATGCGCGTGGAAAATATATCATGTAGAGCAACGTCGTTCGTTCCAAATAATGATTTGTTTGTAGCTAAGTGGGATTAATTTCTTCATCAAATTATACAATTAGTTGATTATCTAAATACATAAATAACACTAATTGGAGAGACTGGAACATGAATAATGAAACGCATATTTCTATTCGTAGAGCACTTTCTAATTGATGGAATTTTATGAAATAAAAATATAGAAATGCTGTGAAAACACCAAATAATAACTAATAGACGAAGAATTCAACTAGATTCGAATAAATTGATCTATTTTAACTCAATAGAGAGAATACGAATTATTAGATTAAGTTATATGTGAGGAATCTTGTCAATTGAATCCATCCCATGTGTTCCACTACGATGAAATTACGACGCAGTTACGCCGTAACTGCGATCACGCTGTGACCCGTAATTGCGGAAAACTACGTCGCAGTTACGCGCAGATACGATGCAAAAATCGCAGATACGCGTAGTTACTATGAAAAAATCGTAGTTACGCCTCAGTGTTTTGAGGATTCTATATTATTGAAAGTACGTTTTTGAAAAAAGGTTTCGAAGACGCTGGGGTATGATGACTCGAACAATCTATTACCTCTCTTAGTCAGAGTGATTTTTCGAACGAAGGATAATTTACGATCACTTTTTCTCTGAGTGCCAACAGGTGGAATCGAACACTGGAACGATGAATTAGAAGATCTAGGAAAGAGTCCACTGAACCAAACTTACTGATTAGACTTGACTTCTAATTGACACCTCGTTGTGATGTGGCGCGTGAACAATGATTTTATACGAATATTTATCAAGTTGTTAGATAGAATGAGATGAGTATGTTTCATAGGGAGTCTCGATTCGATCTTAGAATGGCTGAATGTTTCGGAACTTTCGATCTTCTGACTGGAATCTATCCAATTTATATTCTCAATAAGGTGCCCATAAAGACGCAGATAGCGCACAGACGTCTTTTAACTTGGAACAAATGGATTTTGAGGATGATGAGAAGCGGGTACCTGTAACCGTCGACATGTTTATCTTTAAACAAGTTGTAGGATATCTCTAAGTTTCAGCCACGAAAGACTACCTGCTCAGCTTACAGGAATAAAACATTTACGCCGAGCGCACTGACAGAAGAGACCCTCCGCTTCCAGTAGATACGAAAGATACGATTCCTTCTACGAAATATCCTACATGAATCAGTTCGAGAAGATAGCATTTTGTAGTCGAGAGTCGAAACTATCTGCCAGTAAAAGTCGGAGATGTGTATCTTGCAAAAAAAATAGATTAAGCAAGAAACGAGAAGTAACGCGCAGATATTTGGATAAGGCACAGACGTAAACTTATTGGGCAATAGTCGTAGGACTGAAACTTCGCTTTGCTGCTATCTGTGTAAATTTACAGCACCAAGACAACGAAGTTCATCTATACTTCAAGCTACCACTAGTGTTTTATGAATCAAAACTTTTCCATTGCTAAAATGGGATAGAAAAAGTAGATTCTTCTCATCTATTTTTTCACGAAAACTACCAAGTTCCGGCTGGAAGGTACTATCCTTTTCTCATAGTTATTCAAAAAAACTGCACGTATCGGTGTAGAGCATGCAAAAACATCTACGAAAATTCATAATCAGCGCAAGCTGATAGTCACTTTGGAAGAACCGAACGACTCGACCCTAATCGTGCTGATTGAACGTTATCCGTTCTTCATGTTCAATCTTATCACAAGTGTTCCATCATCCTCCAAAGATATCTCAGATACTAATTATTCTTCCTTTTCACACGGTATTGCGAGTTCCTTTATGACTGGCAACGCGGATGTCTGTCTGCTGCCTTATCGATAGGAAGTTTGAAGAGTTTTTCGGTGGTGGTACAAAACTATACAAGCCCTTGATACGTTAGTCTCGAGATCAGTTGCATAGCTCCATACCGTTTTACGGATCATGAAAGTCGAGCGATCTCGAATAACTCTGAAAGACATCTATGCCTAGCTGTTCGCTAAGATTATTTCTATTTAACTATGCGTAAACACATCGCAGAAGACACAATGTGTTTACGATTAATCTCAATAGAAGTGGGGAATCATAGTCACGAGCAGTTACCACGTAGATTCTCCGACACACGTAACTTCGCCGTAGTCGTTGAAAATGTACACGCAGAAGAATACTTGCTGCGAGTATCGCGACGTAGCTACGCAAAAATGCGCCGCAGAGATCGTAATCTCTTTGCGTTCTGTACAAATACGGCTGATGCGCCGCAGTTACGCGCAGCTACTCCGTAAATTCATCAATACGCGTAACTACACCGTAATCGTTAAAAAAGAAGCGACATGGGATGTTAGATAACACTGATGTGCTGTGGAAAGATCGACGTATTGAAATCACAACCAAGACTATAGCTGTGCTGAGAAGTAGATACACTATACAGAATGTAGATTGTAATTTTTCTTTCAAATATCGTTAATCTGATTTCATGTATGTATGTTCTTCAAAGATTCCTGCAAAAGAGATCATATTCATTGAATCGAATAAATATCAGACGAATAAGTAAATTAATGAATATGAAAGCGAGATTTCTTTGATCTAAATAGATTCAAATCAAAAAGTTTCTAATTAACTTTTACTAAAGCTTGAAGAGAGCTTGTAAATCATAATCAAGCAAAGCTTATCAGACAATTTTCATAGTATATT